CAACATGATGCGCAATGTACTGGACCCTGTCTTGGACATATGTGTCGTGGTCTACCTAGACGATATACTGATTTACTCCGACAACGAGAAGGAACATCTACAGCACGTCCGGCAAGTGCTTTCTCTCCTGCGTGAAGCAGGCCTCTACTGCAAGCTATCCAAGTGCTCCTTCATGCAGGACGAAACGGAATTCCTGGGTCATGTCATATCAAAGGACGGACTTAAGACCAACGCAGGACTCGTCAAGGCAATCAGAGAATGGCCAGTTCCTACTACCCAGCGTCACGTCATGCAGTTCCTTGGTTTAACAAACTTTTATCACCAATACATTGACCACTACGCAGATATTGCCCTTCCTCTCACCGCTCTGCTAGGCTCAACGACACCTTTTACTTGGGACAAACCCCAACAGGATGCTTTCGATACTCTAAAGAAAGCGGTGACCACAGCCCCAGTCCTCCGTATCTTTGATCCAGCCCTCTCCACAGCTGTCGAAACTGACGCCTCTGGCTTTGCCATCGGCGCTGTCCTGTTTCAGACGGACCACAACGGCGGATCTAGACCCGTTGCATTCACGTCTCGAAAGTTGAGTCCTGCGGAACGGAACTACCCCACACACGAGCAGGAACTATTGGCCGTAGTACACGCTCTTAAGACCTGGCGATACTACCTGGATGGCTCGCACTTCATCGTTTATACAGACCACGCGACCCTACAGCATTTCCCTACTCAACCGAATCTAACTCGCCGACAGGCGAGATGGATGGAGCTACTCCAAGAATACGACTTTGTTTTCAAGTTCAAACGAGGCAAGGACAATATTGTTCCTGATGCGCTTTCCAGAAGACCCGATCACAAGGCTGGGGATCCTAGCAGCGGCCAGCTCAACTCTCTGAATATAAGCATGGACACAGGATTACGGCAGCGCCTGATGGATTGTTATACTACAGACTCCGCTCTGGGACCAATTTATGAACGCTGCCGCAAGGCAAGTCCATCTGACCGCTACTTTATTGCGGACGACCTACTTTGGATCAATGACAATGGCACACAACGACTTTGTATCCCTAAAGATGCTGATCTCCGCTCGCAACTTTTTCACGACTCCCATGACTCTCCAATGGCCGGTCACCTTGGATTCGACAAAACATACGAGCATATGCGACGGACATTCTTCTGGCCACGGATGGCGCGGGACATTAAGGCTTACATCAAATCATGCGAGCAGTGCCAACGCAATAAACCCCTACTACAGCACCCAGCAGGGCTATTCAAGTCTCTCGATATTCCTAGCCAGCGATGGGACACCGTGTCAATGGACTTTATCGTATCTCTACCCAGGACAGCCCGCTCTTTCGATGCAGTCACCGTATTTGTGGACAAATTATCAAAGCAGGTTCACTTCTGCGCCAGTCGTACCACGGATTCCGCCTCAGACGTAGCTCGCCTCTTCTTCGACCAAGTATTCAGACTGCATGGCATGCCACGTACAATCATCTCCGACCGCGACTCCCGTTTCACAGGAAAATTTTGGACAGCGCTAATGAAGCTGATGGGAACCAAGCTGAACATGTCGACTGCATACCACCCTCAATCGGATGGCCAAACCGAGCGAGCCAACAGGACTCTAGAGGAGATGCTGCGGTCGTATATCTCTTACCACCAGAAGGACTGGGACCTCTTTCTACCGATGATGGAATTCGCTTATAACAATTCGATGAACCCGACAACTGGATTTTCGCCCTTTTTCCTTAACTACGGACACCATCCTCTCGTTCCGGCATCACTAATGAAACCCACCGCCACCAACGCGCCATCAGTCTCGGACTTCGTCGCGTCCCAAGCAACAGCACTTGCTCAGGCCCGGGATGCAATCATTGAAGCACAGAATCGGCAAAAGCAGCAAGCGGATAAATCACGCAGACAAGTACCATTTGCTGTCGGCGACATGGTCCTCCTGAGCACTGAGCACCTTTCTGTCGCAGCGCACTCTAACCGGCCCTCCAAGAAGCTGGAACCCAAATTCATTGGCCCGTACAAGATCGTCGAACAGGTGAACGATAACGCATTTAAGCTCGACCTACCGCCTTCCATGCGTCAGCACCCCGTCTTCAATGCTGATCTATTGCGATTACATGTTGAATCACCGCCGGAATATGGAGACCGCACTCCGCCTCGACCGCCACCGGAGCTCATTGATGGCATGGAAGAGTACGAAGTCGAACGCATTCTCGATTATAAGGTGTTCGGTAAGACACCAAAGTGGCTCGTACAATGGAAGGGATACCCCCTGGAGGACGCTACATGGGAACCAAGATCAGCACTCACCAATGCCAAGGAGGCCTTGGCAGAGTTCAAAATCAATAACAAAAAGTAGACTTTTTTTTTCAAAACGGGAAGGATGCAACAGGTTTATGCTCGGTTAAGTGCATTATGATGTCATCAGCGCTTCGCCCATCTTTCTACGACTTTCTAGAACACTGTTGCTATCTATCCAGCCAGTTTATATAAACCCCATCCACACGTAGAACTAGACAGCAGCATTGATACGAATAAAGCCTCCTTTCCACCCTAGATCCACTTCCACCTGATTTGACCGTTTGCAGCAATATCAAGACCACGCGACCGTCTGAAAAGTTTGACTACCGAAAGCCCGGCCCTTTCAGGATTCTCAGTCCCGTCGGAACTCGCTCATTCCGGCTCGAGTTGCCTGCACAGATGTCTCGCATCCATCCTGTTTTCCATGTCTCATTGCTCGAGCCTTTCCGTGACAACACCATTCCGGGTAGTCAAGCACCGGCCCCACCACCTATTGAAGTTGAGGGTCAAATTGAGTACGAAGTTGAGGCTATTCTGGATTCGAGAGTGCGATACCGTAAACTGCAGTACTATGTTGATTGGAAGGACTGCACGGCCGATGAGCGCTCATGGGAACCTGCTGCTTACCTCACTCATTGCAATGAGCTCATCGCTGACTTCCACCGCCAGTACCCTACGAAACCAGGTCCCGTTTCCGTCGCGTCCGGAGGTCGCTCCTGAGAGGGAGGATTGTCACGAACCGCGCCATAGTTCGTAGTGAAGGTGCAAGTGAGAAGTGCACCATACATTTCTGGAAGCTTACGGGGCGCGAACACCTACTGAGAGCAAAGCACAGCAGCAACTGATACACACGACAAACCTACAACTCTTTAATTGAGATGAATGGTATTTTTCCCAAGCGCTATTGCTGCCTGAACCCCATTTCGTTCTCAAATATGGTCTCGTTTGCAAGTACAGGTGAGGACGTCTTCTAAAAGCGCGCCACTGTCATAAATGACACTGGAAGCCCACGGACCGTAAAATGGTGTGTTGTCTGCAGTAGTAGACCGTGCAGGATGATTGCGCTGCGGGTTCACCAGCCGCGTAGCAAAAATCTGGCTTCTGGCGTTTTTTTTTCGTTGATTATTATATTATTAACATTGTCGCTAAACTTTGCCCTACTCAAAGTAACATGATATCTTATGTCATCATGGATTAGTAACACTATTGCCCTCAGAGGTCGCTATGGGCGTCGCGCCTGGTCCTGCTCCCAAGCCCGTGGTCTGGATCGAGCCATAGCTAGCGCCTGGGATCAAAAGTCCTCTCCTTCCAGCTCTCCTCCTTCCGCCATCTGCACTCATTGCTCCAATAGCACTGAGTAACCCTCTGGACTCGATATCGTCCAAGTCCTCGGAATCCTCGTGAACAGGGTCGACACCAAAACCATGTCTGCAGCCCTGGACCAGGTTGAAGACCAAGGCAACAATAAATGTCAAGAGGAAGAGCCACTGTGCGTAATAAAAGGCGATGCCGAGGACTGGTGTGCCCAAGATAATCTTCAAAATGATGGCTGAGGTTACGGTAGGGGTGCAGAGGCCCTCAGGCGCTCCCACATGACAAGGAATGATTAGGGCAGCGTAGTCGCTGCAGTCTCGTACACCAGCTCCAATTGGGATTGTATGGTTACACTAAGGCACACGTATGATTCGAAGCGTGTCAGTGGGTCTTAATTCTCAATCTTGATATCAAAATGAAGGATGATGCAGTATAGGGCAGCTTACATATTGCTGGCTTCCAAACATCGAGTAGTCAGGAGCGACAGACATGGTCAGCGAGTAGCACATGCCTGCGAGACTGAGCATCAGCAGCATGGTGGCAGCCAAAAGACCCTGAGGTTGCGTTGCAGCTCTGCGGATCTTGTACAGGTTCACCCAGAGCAAACGGATACCGATGGTGAGGATACCTTTTGTGGTGGCTAAGAACAGGTAGAGGATGATCATGATCATCAGAATGTAATCCACCGGGAAGAAGGGTGAAAGCTCCAAGAACAGGTAGTTGAGCGGGTTGGGGAGATTTGCGTGAGTGGGAATGTATCCGCATAGAGCGCCGCACCCTTCTTCATTTGTCAGGCTATCAATGCTGCATATGGAAAAAGAAAAGAAGAAAAGAAGAAAAGATAAGGATTTTGCTGACCTGAAGTATCCTCGCCACTTTTTCGCTTTTCAGCACTTACGTTGTGATGGCAATAGATACGATGAGGATCATAGTAAGAGTAGCTGCCGCAAGTCCGAGAACAATCTATGCAAACGCTCAAATGTCCATAAATGAGTAATATGTTGCTTGAAACAATACAATGTAATCCTTGCAGCTAGGTTGGATAGCCTACCTCAAATGGTCTGACGAGCCAATGGCACTTATTTAACCAGCTGTCCCGAACGCCTTGTACGATCCTCGATCTATTCTCAAGAATCAGCTCTTCTCTCGAGAGCTCGCTGATGGCGTGTCGGTCGCGTTCCGAGACCTGGCGGTTGGTTCCTTGAGGATAGCGATTCAAGATAGCGTTCTGCTGCTCTCTGTTGGCAGCCAGCTCCCTGTTAGTCTCATTCATTTCCGCAAGCGTCGACTTGAGGCCCCCTAGCATATGCATAGGCAATATGGAAAGTCCAGGCGCCTATATCCCACAATACATATGATTAGACGCCGGCTCCATGACATGAGAGATGAGAGCAGCAGGTTATTGTAATGAACGCAGGGTTGCATACCGCGTAGCATATGAGGACGCCCATCCCCAACAGAGATAACACCCCAGCGACAAAGGAAAGCGCACCACCGCCATCTATGCGCGAGTAAATAAACTGAGTAGGTTAGAGAGTATCATTGGCGCGATTCGACATCCCGTTTGTTGTTATATGAAACATAAAAATGACGTGTAAATGAGCGGACGGCCCAGGACCAGAACTCGATATTCGCCAACTTTAAACTACAGCACAACAGTCCTCTGCATATTTCCAACAGGCAGAATAAAGAGCAGGTTCGCTTACCAAGGTTAGCGAGCATCTTTCGAAGCCAATCCAGGTCCTTGTTCTCATGCTTGTTGGGCTTCATAAACATGCCTGTAATGAGCAGGATGGCCGCGACAAGGACAAAGAACAGTGTGTACTTGAACGCAGCCATCATTCTTTGACGCACCGTCTGGCCCTCTTCGATTTCCTCAAAGTAGAAATAGGAGAGCGGGATCCAAAAAAAGACGAAGCTTGCAATTAGACCATAGGCAGCTGTAAAGGCGGCAGTATCGATGACGATCGAGTGGGGCAGTTGAGCCGACGTTGTTTTTATTTACAACGTGGTCATCGTTGCGTTTAATAGGACGGAGCAGGACCGGAGGAGAGAGCCGCATAAAGAGAGAGGAAACAATGGGGTAAGCAAACCATACTTTGAGAACTGATCCGTCCAAGACAAACGCCGACAGCTCTCTCTTTACCATAGTAGACGATCCTAACAGTTAATTGCATGCTAGCAATGGCTTCGTCCGTGGCCCATCCGCGTCTGAGGCCTGTGGAGGGGTCCAGGGTCTTGGAGACCAAGAAAATGTCAACGGGGAAGAGGGCGACGGTGGAGAGACAGAGAGTAAGGGCCAGAACGGTGATGATCATGGCAAAGGGCTCTCGGTCCCTCGTATCAGAGTAGTATAGAGTGAAGAATACAGAGAAGCCGAGGAGTATCTACATATCGGAGACACAGTAAGGTGGAGATTAGCAAGCTTCAAATGATCGACAGAACGGACGGATCCCCATGGATACCCCAAAAGACCCTGCATTTCTCAAGAAATGAAAAAAGAAAAACAAGGTTTTTATCCTTACGGCGACCATGATGCCAAAGGCACCCCATGCCCCGACAATGTGCAGCAAGCTTTCAACCATTGCTCAAATGGATGCGGAGTAGCAAGCAGAGGGAGTATTGTTGCTATGCTGGAGTGTGTGGTGGTGTCGGTAGTTCCGAGGGAGTGAGAATGGAAGGTAGCAAGAGCAAAGGTGTGGTGTCAAGGTGTCGAGATGTCAAGGTGCGAAAGTGACCACATTAACTGAGGTGAAGGTGGCTGGCGGTTCCATACGACCAAGCCTCTGTGTGAAAAGGGTATTTTTCGTGGCAAAAAAGGGCAGCCCCAAACGCGTCTTGCTTTCCAGGCACAACCCATCACTCGCTCGACAACCTCCCTTCCTTCCCATACACCGGCTCGGCAGCAACAAAGGACGGGAATCATCAGTGCCTCGCTGCTTCATTTAGGACCCTGCTTTTGGAAGACTATCCCAGATGGAGCACGATCAAGTCGACGAGGGCACATCGCCACCACAGCACAGCCAGGAACAGGACCAAGACGAGGGCACACCAACATCAGCTAACCCATCACCTCCCCTCTCTCCAGAGCTCGCACCCGAAGACTCACCCCTACAGCAACAGCAGCAAAGCACAGACTCCAACTCAGGGTCCTCTGCGACTACGGCCCAGGATATAGAAGCACTTGATGCTGCAAATACGGCGCTCACTTCCTCTTCACAACAATCCACTTCCTCAAACTTGCTGGCGCCACCACAACAGCATGCATCAAGCTCTTCTCGACCATCATCTCCGCTCTCTAAGCGGAACTCTCTTGCCTTGACCGAGCCTATTAAGGATCCCACCATGGAGATAGTCCCTCGACTCGTGATCGAAAAGATGGTCCTTATCAACTTCAAGTCATATGCCGGTCGTCAGGAAATTGGACCCTTCCACAAGTCCTTTACGTCGATTGTGGGTCCTAATGGGAGCGGCAAAAGTAACGTTATCGACGCACTTTTGTTCGTCTTTGGATACAGAGCCAGCAAAATGCGCCAGGGCAAGCTTTCAGAGCTGATCCACAACTCGTCTGGAGCCGAGGATCTCGACAGCTGTACTGTTGAAATTCATTTTTGCGAAATCTTGGACTTGGTAAGGCGCATCTTATTCGTACTGAAAGCGACAAGCGTCTTTGTCCCTACAGCTCTTGGATCCAAATCTCATCTGAAAACCCTGCCTCTCTGTACCCATTGTAGCCTGGACCCGACAATTTCGAGCGCGTTCAAGGGTCGACCCTGGTGGTGGCTCGTCAAGCGTACCAGAACAACTCTAGCAAATACTTCATCAACAACTTCTTGAGCTCCTATACCGCTGTGACGACACTCTTGAAGGGACGAGGAATCGATCTGGACCACAAGCGATTCTTGATCTTGCAGGGCGAGGTCGAGTCCATTTCCCAGATGAAAGCCAAGGCACAGAACGAGCATGAGGATGGTCTGCTGGAATATCTCGAGGACATCATCGGAACCTCAGCATACAAGGAGACGATTGAGAAGTCCGCGGTTGAGCTGGAGGCACTTAACGATGAGAGGTCGGAGAGGCTGACCAGGGTCAAGTATGTCGAAAAGGAGAGGGAGAGTCTCGAGGTACGGCAATTACCATTATTATTTTTAATCGCATGAAAACCACTGGCTGGAACGATGTTGCTCCAAGTCGTGCACATGGGACTGATACTAATATGTATAATTTTCATCATCGGTCTTAGGAAAAGAAACGGGAGGCGGAGGCATTTCTGAAGAACGAAAACAACCTGGCCGTGAAGCAGTCTGCGCTGTACCAGATTTATTTGTGGGAATGCAGCAAAAAGTCTGCCAAGGAGGAAAAGATGGTGGCTCAACTCACGGCCAAGTTGGAGGAAGATCAAAACAAGCATAAGGGACTAAGGGAGGAGATCCAGACATTGGAAAATGAACATAACGTCAGAGTCAAGGAGTACGAAGTAAGCATCGAAACGGGTTCGTTTTCTTCGTTTGATGTCTCTTATCTAAACAAACATTGATCTTCAATTTCTATCAATGTCTTAATAGAAAATCGATAAAGAAACAAGCGAGATTCTTAAGCAACTAGTGAAGATCGATCGTGAGGATGTTCAAATGCAGGAGAACAGGAAGCATTTGAAAAACAAAGAGAAAAAGGCCTCAAAGGCCCTTGCAGCTGTAAGTTGGATGTCCTTACCGAGGGTTCATCTTGCACAGGGTGTTAATTTGATCCGCTCACGCCATTTTATCGCAACATGTATAGGACAAGCACTCGTTGGCAGACAACCAATCTTGGGTCCGCAACCATGAAGCAGATCTGGTCAAGCACCAAGCTGAGCTCGAGAAACTGGAGAGAAATTTGGAGGCAGCTGAAGATGAACTTGAAAATATTCGCCAGAGCCTTAAAGGTGAAAATCTCCTACCTTACTTTCAGGCTCACGTTCAATATACAAGGGCATCATCGTGTTTTCAAAGCTAATATATATCATGAATACTCTAGGCAAAACGGAGGAGTTCTCACAGCAGATTGAGGTTCATCAGAAGGAACTGGCACCTTGGACAGCCAAGATTGTGGCGAAGCAGAGCGAGGTCGACATGGCACAATCTGAGCATGATCTTTTGCAAGAGAAGGCCAAGAATTTGCGGTTGAATTATGAGGATGCACTCGAGGCCCTGCAAACACTCAAGAAGGCGCAGACCTCCAAAGAGTCCGAGATTGTTGAGCTGCAGGAGAGCATCAGGGCTTCTTCAGGCCAAATCGCAGACATGGAGCGAAAAATCAAGGTAAAGAAGATACTTGTTGTCGTCGCAGCATTAGAGCATTTCAAGCATAAACTCACCCTCGCTAATCTTGTTTTTAATGATTCTCAATCTTAGGAAATGATACAGAGAGAAGCGCTTCTCAAAGACAGGGCTAATCTTGCCCGTAACCGTGCCGAGGAGGGACGTGCATCTCAGCAAAAAACCCAGTCGCGCTCGGCAGTACTGAACAACCTCATGCGTCAACGGGACCTTGGAAAGATCAACGGAATCCAGGGTCGACTGGGTAATTTGGGCGCGATTGATGACAAGTATGATGTGGCGATCTCGACTGCTTGTCCAGCTTTGGATAATATTGTGGTTGACAATGTTGAGGTAGGCCAGCAGTGTGTTGAATTTGTCCGCAAGAACAATCTCGGCCGCGTCTCTTTGATCCTGCTGAACCAATTGCCCAAGCGGAATCTGGGACCCATTCAAACCCCGGAGAACGTGCCCCGCTTGTTTGACCTCGTTCGACCAGCGGACCCTAAATTCGCACCGGCGTTCTACAGCGTGATGCAGGATACACTGGTCGCGGAGGACTTGAGGCAGGCTAACAGGATCGCATACGGAAAACAGCGCTGGAGGGTCGTTACTCTGGATGGACAGCTGATCGATAAGTCAGGAACAATGACTGGAGGCGGTAACCGTGTTATGCGCGGCGCCATGAGCTCCACCCTTTCAACAGGGGAATACACGGCCGAGGCAATTGCACAGCTGGAGCATGAGCGTGACCAAGCTGAAACTGAGTACAGATTTTTCCAGCAGGAGAAGCTGTCGTTGGAGCGGGAGCTGAGCTCAACCGTGGTTAATGTCCCCAAAATGGAGATGCGGCTGTCGATGTTCAAGATGGATGTGGACGCTAACCAGAAACGGATCACAGAGTCAGTGAAGCGAGTCGAGGTCCTGAGAAACGAGGCTGAACCAAAATCAGCGGAAATTAACAAAATGAAGCAGCTGGCTAAAAAGGCGACAGATCTCCGTGCTGAGGTGGTCTCGATCAAGAAAAATGCGGAGGCAATCGAAGAAAAGATCAAGGATTTGCAGAACAAGATCCTGGATGCTGGTGGTGTCAAACTCCGAGCGCAAAAGTCCAAAGTCGATGGACTGCGAGAGCAAATTGAGGCGCTGGGCGATAGGATGACAAAAACCAGGGTCACCAAGAACAAGGCTGAGAAGGATGTGGTCAAGCTCGGGACGCAGATCGGAAAGCATGAGAAGGAACTCGCGGAGGTGTCAGAGGATTTACAAAAATTGGAACAGGAGATCAAGGTCAAGACTCAAGAGGCTGCAGGCATTCGTAAGAAGGCCGAGGAAGCCAAACAGGTAACATTCATCATCATCATTGCCTCTGCGTACAATACATACGGTACAATATCGCATTTCTGACTGTATGTTATGTTCATCATGAATACGAATAGATCATGGAGGAAAAGAAGGAGGAGATGGAAGAAATGAAACAGGAGCTTGATGAGAAGATGAAGGTGATCAACAAGATCCGGACAGCCGAGGTGGAGATGAAGAATCAGCTCGATGATTTGAAGCAATCGCTTGTGGAACACCATCGTCGCATGAAGCATTGGAAGGACCTTCGGAGTCAACTCACAGTTCAAGAGGTTGACTATGACGAGGATGAGGTCGTTGCAGAGCTGCAAGAGTTCTCAGAAACGGATTTGGCGATGATAGACAAGGAGTCACTTGAACAGCAGATCCAGCAACTGGAGCACCAGCTCTCGAGCGCGAAACCCAACTTGTCTGTTTTGGAGGAATACAAGAAGCGCGAGGAGGAATATCTGGCAAGGGCCAAGGACTTGGAAGAGATGACCATCCGGAGAGAGGAAGCCAAGAAGGCCTATGACGAGCTGAGGAAGAGGCGACTGGACGAGTTCATGGCAGGGTTCCAGATTATTTCGCAGCGGCTGAAGGAGATGTACCAGATGATCACGCTCGGAGGCAATGCAGAATTGGAGCTTGTCGACAGTCTGGATCCTTTCTCGGAGGGTATTATTTTCAGTGTGATGCCACCTAAGAAGAGCTGGAAGAATATCTCTAATCTTTCAGGAGGTGAAAAGACACTGAGTTCGCTCGCGCTGGTGTTTGCGCTTCATCACTTCAAGCCGACGCCGTTGTATGTGATGGACGAGATTGATGCAGCACTGGACTTTAGGAACGTGTCGATTGTGGCGAATTACATCAAGGAGCGGACCAAGAACGCGCAGTTTGTGATTATTTCGTTGCGCAACAACATGTTTGAGTTAGCAGACCGGTTGGTCGGCATTTACAAGACGGACAACAAGACGAAATCGATCTCTGTGAATCCAACGGCGATCACGGTGCTGAGACCCGTTCCCGTACCAACGCTATCACAGCAGCCTTCAGGGGGGTCGCAGTCAGGAGGAGGCAGCCATAATACCATGCATGGACACCAACGGAGAGGGTCAACTATGTCGAGACATGGCTCGGATCAAGTACCGCAGTCCAGTCTCTCCGCACCGCGACTATCCATCTCGCTCAGTCAGTCATAAGTCACAATTATTTTTTTTTGTTTGTTCTTTCATTAGAAACCTCATTTTCCTTTCTTCATGATTACGCTCTACTATATTAATACTTACGACAGAAGAGTGTTCACACCGCTGTTTGAGCTAGTCATATCTAAAACGTGTTTCTGGCACGCCACCAAAAAGTTTTACAAGACTGCCATTGGCGGGGATAGAGTTGTGCCGGTATGGACCTTTGGGCTCTCTTGGCCACTGGCAAGGTTCCACTCGCTTAGTATGGGAAACATTTCCGATGAGGCCAGTGGTAGCTATAGCACAGAGACCCATTGGAGCCAAATTTCGGGAATCTCTGGTTTGCAAACTACGGCATGAATTAAATCATCAATGGTTCTGAAGAAAACCCCCCCCCCCTTCCTCTTTTCCACTTTTTGACCCATTTTCTCAGTCCTTCACAACAGTACAGTACCAGCTTCTTTTCACTTCCTCCACCGTTTTTTTTTCTTTCTGAGGAAGACACAAGTACATGTATATTACCAATGGAGTTCTATAGCTTCCAGTACCCGCCCCGCCCGATCCCCTCGGACGCGCACAGGCCTTCGCGCTACTACTTCCACAACCTTGAACAAGACCAGATCTTCAAACGGACCCAATTTTCGTTCCACAAGGAGGGGATCCCGCCTAAAGTCCATGTGAACGTGAACATGAACACGGATATGAACAAGCGGGGCGTCGAGATTTTGGATCGCAACAAGTTCTTGGCCAACTGAATACACTGAACAACAGCTACTCCAGCTCCTAATTGCATTATTAAAAGACTGAAGCGTTATTTTTTTTTTGTATATAGCTTTATTATTATGAACTCTTGACAACCCTGCAGGGTTTGTGGGAATATCAACGATTGAAGACAAAAAAGAGGGAAAGAGAGAGGGAGAAGGGAAACAAAAAAAAAAAAATAGGAAAGAGAGGGGTATCTGAGGGCGACTGTAGCGTAGACATCTTTGTTGTTCCTTGTCCTTGTCTCGATTTCATATCATCGCAGTGCAGATCCATGGCCAGTCATCCACACAAGGTCATCCTTTCCCAGCACCTCGACACTCCTCGCTCGGGCCTTCACTCGCAAGTTGCGATCGTCCGTCACCAAGAAGATCCCCGGTCCCGCAGAAGGTGACCCCATCATCGGCGATGACAGCGACGACGACGACGACGACGACACAGACCCATTTTCCTGATGCCAGAGACACAACCCAAGAATGAAATCGTCCACATTGTGATTCCGCATAATCTCTTCGTCGCTCTCATAATTTTCCTCCTCGCGATCATCATATCCTGCTCCTGTTCCTGCTAGCCCTGAACCGCCGCCTCCAGAGGCAGCCCTCCTGTGATGCGACTGATGCTGCTGCTGCTGCTTCTCATAATTAAATGACTCGACTCGGAAGCTCAAATCGTTCATATAGTTCCCCCGGCTCGTCTGGATCTTCAATCGCCGCAGCTTCGGTCGCATTGCAAGGCAGCCTTCCAGATAACTCAGCGCCGCAGCCGCAGAGGGTCCCAACGGTGCAGGGTTATTCTTGAGTCCATCCAATTCTGTGATTACTGCTAATGGAATAATCACCGTCCATCTGTCTGCCGCAACCACGCGCTGGATCACCGTCCAATCTGCGACCAAACAGTTCGTGTCGATCACAAGTGTCGAGTTGTCTCCGACCATGGCCCCACGTTGAATCGACACTCGCTGCTCTCCTTGTCCATGGTAGTTGCGTCGATCCATGTATCCTCGACCACCACCACCGCTGTTCTTGTTCTTCCGGCCATGGCCGCTTAAGGATGATGAAGGTCTAGCTCGATAATCACGCTGCAATGAGCCCAAAGACACGGTCTTCCGCCCACTCGCATTCGAGTCGCTCAACAGCGACTTGAGTAGATCGCGCTTCGACTTGAGCTCCATAATCTCGGCAGTCGAATAATCCGTACCATCCGAAGAGAACAGTGCCGCATCGTCGTCCTCGATTCCAGAATCCTGACTGATGCTCGCGTGCGATAATGGCATCAAATTATCATCCGTCGAATACTCCTCAGTGCTGGCGAAGGCGGGTAATCCTGAATGATGCTGGTTGGCGGCTGCTGCTGCGTTCTCGACCTCTCCTGCATATTCGTCGCAGATCTTGAACGCATTCTCACAGAAATCAAATTCGATTATCTTCATGTGCTACGGGACGGAGATCGCAGAAAAAAAATGGAGTCAAGGTTAAAAGGGCTGAAATAAAGTGTCAAATTCAAGCAGGACAATGGATCAAAAGGCGATTAACCTACCATGGCAGCAATAAGACTCAGCTCCACAAGACGCTTCGAGAGATGTTCAGCCTTGAGCGATTCCTGTTTCCAAAGACTGTCACCCTTCAACTCCGTATCGTCCAAAGCTGGCTGCGGTCCTTTGAACATCTGCGGCCCGAATCGAGCAGCAGGCATCCACGCAAGACCTCGCAGTTCCCACTCTTGGCCTAGAGGAGGGAGAGACAGCCTGTAAAACGACTTTTCCTGATCCTGGCCTTGACCATGACTTGAATCCGTTGCTGCACTATCAGTCAGTTCCTCAGAAATGGCCGAAAGCATGTCCGACTGCTCAAAGGGCGTCAATCGATTCCAGTGGTGGTTCATAAAGGTCGTCAGTGTCGTCCAGAATGTCGGAAGGGTCATATGGTCTGCCATCATCCGCCAGTTTACGACCATATCGTTTCCAGATCCAAAGGGTCGTCCTGCCATCCAGACCAGAATCACATGGCAATACACAAGCCAGCCCTGCTGCTCTTCGAGCGGTGTGGACGCCACCTTGCTGTTGATATTGTCAACGCTCGTCAGATATCGCCGCATGGACTGCTCCATAGTCGACAAAAGCAACTTGGATGAGTATGGAAGTGTCGCCACTGTCGCGAGATGGTCCGCCAAGGATCCAAAGGCAGTGTTCGACTTCGCAATCACAGAGGCGCTCCAGTTGAACTCGTACACTGCCGCAATGTTGATAACTGCCTGCATAAAGTAAAATCCGTCCCATCGCTTCGGCTGCGTCGGCTGCGTTGGCTGCATCTCCTGGTCCTTGACCATATCGCTGCGATTGCGCTGCGTGTGGAGAGCCTTGAGTTGCTTCGAAAAGTTCTTGAGTCGCTTTTCAAAATTGTCGAGGTTGATCTTTTCGAAGAGCATGGCATGCAGTATAAGAAACGATCCCTCGCAATCCTCGAGCGTCGCATGAGCCAGGGCGACCTGTCGAGCTTTGGAGTTTTGCTTCAGGGACAGACTCTGCATGCTCCGGATCTGTTCGTTTGCTGCAAAGAACGATGTTAATGTATCACGCGCATTCATGAACGACGACCTGACAGTCAAGCTAACAAAATGGAACATGGCAAAAGTGGAGTTGCTTAGAAACCTTATTCTGTAACACAAAAGATAACGATATCGCATGTCAAGCACAGCATTGAAAAAAATGCTCTTACCTTTTGCTGTAGTAATACAATGATTCTAATCCACGGCAACCAGCCAAAAGAGCGAGCTGGTTGTACATCTTGCCATTGCACGGTCCAAGTTCAATGGCCTCTCGATAAAATCGTCGGGCCACAATCAACCAGTCCGTGGGTGGAGACGCCTCATCGTCCAGCTTGTGCAGCCATCGATAGCGTGCAAGATCGCCCATGATACCAATGCACCGGTGCCAGCGAGGAGGCTGAGTCATGCGGGATAGGCCACCATTAGGTGTACTGTGCTTGGCCTCCAGATTCTGCAGAGTCGTCTTCAACGTCGCGTAAAATTCTTGAGCGAATCCAATAAATTCTGTGAAGTAGTGCCTGATGTTCTCCGCATGGTCCTCATCCGATTCCGAGAGAGAATGGCCGTCGCTCGAAGCGGTGTGCTCCGAATTTCGCAAGGCCGCTCGAAAAGTCTCGATCAACGGATAAATGGCGAGCTTCCAACATCTGGTGTCGATGTCGTGCTTGAGCGAGGATTTGAAATCCAGCTGCATCAGCTTGAGGTACTTTGTTGCCAACCTGTGAGATAATGAAGTAGAGAAGGATTGTAAAAGTGCATGATTAGCATTACGCCCGCCATCCTTTGTATTATGCGTAGAGGTAGACAGAAGAAAGAATTGCGCTCGAGCCGCATTGTCGCCTTCTCATGCGGCCATGGCTGTTACACCACCCTTGTCGGCTTCTTTTTTTTTTTTCAAACTAGCGCCGTTTTAGGTCATACTTTGCTGTGTTGAGTCATTCCAGAAATATGCACGGCTAAGATTATGTTTGAGTGTGTTTGTATAGGGACTGTACCTTTTGGAGTTGTCGATGCGTCGAGTCCAGGACAGGCTACCGCTCTGTCGAGAGCTGCTCTCCAGGTCATCATCGCTATCCAATGTCCTGCGGCTGCTCTTCTCCATCATCTTCTTTTCCAGCTGCTGGATTTCCTTGGTCAGCTTGACCAGCCCGTCCATAGGCGAGGGCGTAGTCGATGTCGACACGGTTGAGCTCTGCTTCGAAGACGGGTGAGAGGGCGCTGCTGCGGTCGCAGCAGGGTAAGGCGCCGATGCCGAGGACGCGCCACCCTGACGCACTGACTGCGGCTGCGGCTGGTTAGGGTTGTAGAGCCGTTGGTTCTGCTGCTGCTTGCGGAAATTCAAATTAGGGTTCCTGGTTTCAGCCGGACCACCGGAGCGAGCGTACATCTGCTGCTGCGTAGAGGTGGAAGAGACGACAGGAACGGGGTCCCTCTTGGGGTCAAAGAGACGACCTGACGATCCCGAGGGTCGGCCAGGGCCGGCGCTGCTGTTCTCCCTTCGATTCGAGGATGAACCTTGATCGGCGAGACGATGGGCTGAGGTTCGGTTGGAGAGGGAACCCCGCGAGCGTTCGACCGTCGTCTTCGGTGTGGAAACCATTGCCGTAGTCGCTTCTGAGTCATTCTCTGAGGCTGCGGAGCTATCACGTCGACCACTACTAGATCCGCTGCGGGACATCTGGATGCCGGTTCCATCGCTGGTGTTGGTAACGCTGGTGCTGACGGCACTGTTATCGGCATTGCTGGCGCTGGCACTGGTGCTGGCGCCAGGTTGGGAGGGGTTGATTAATCCATTTTGCAAGTTGCTGTTGAAGGAGGGGCTCTTTTCCAGCTTCTTTGGATGATGGGAGTTGTGGTTATAATTGCTGCTGTTGTTGGAACGGTGCTTTCGGGAGCGGGTTTTTGGGGCAGAGTCTGGGGGATTGAAGGGAACTGTCAAGCCAGGCTTTGCTGTGCTCATCACTTGCGGTGTCGGAGAGGTAAGTGAGGGTGGGTAGGTGGGGGGAAGCGTTGGTGGAGCGGAAGGGCACGATATAAGGGCGAGGTTTGAAGAAGAGTGTAGGACTCAAATGGGGAAGGCGTGAGGGGCGGCGGGTTCTATCTTGGAGATGAGATTTGTTTTTGAGGTGTGAAGAAGAGAGAAAGGAGAAGAGAATTCCATCGGCCGAAGTGGTGGTTGAATGTTTTTATTTTTTTATTTTTTTTATTCTTTTATAACGAAGCGATGGTGTGTGAAGGAAAAAGGGATGGATGCTTTCCTTCATTCATTTCCTTCCTTTCCTTCTTTTGCCTGCCTCCCTCTCGCTCAGCAAGGCCATCACCTGACCTGTGACAATGAAAAAAAAAAATTCTTCATATAAAAGGACCCCTCGACCGACAAACAAAACAGATCTCTCACTCCTCCCCACTCTTCAAGGTAACCTACCCACCTCCTCCCTTCTTCCCCTTCCCATGGATTCCATGGATCTTTCGTGTATCCTTCCTCTCTCTCTCTCTTTCTTCCATCTCTCCAATTGGCATGTCTTCATATGATGAAGCAAATTTTACAGACCTGTTCCGAGCATACTATGCGGACAAACACTTATTGCCTATACTTCTGACAAAAACTACCAAACAACCCCACAAAGACTGCCGCTCACTTGGTTATGGAATGAGCAAAGAAAGAGGAAAAAAGATCTTCACACCCCTTCCTCATTCAGGTCTCACTCTGATCATTTGAATCAACTTGAATCTAACCATACCAGTCTTTTCTTGTCGCTGCTGCAATAGGTATTTTTTTTCGGGCCTTTGTCGGTAGCTTGCCATGCGTGTCATTACAGTTGCAATTGAAATAAAGAGAACAATATTATGAAAACCAATGTCTTCCAGTGCAATTGAACAATATGTAGTTGTTTGTTTATTTGATCGATCCAAAAAAAAAAAAAAAAATTGAAAAATTTGGAGTATAGAAAAACATCCAATTGATTTTCATAACAAAGAAAGCAGTATAAAAAAAACTCCTGCAGTCGTCCTACTGGTGCTGAGAAGCGACGTAGAACAAGGCCCATGTCCTGGTCATGCCATCGTCCAGTGGTACAGGTCCCTCTCCAGCAAAGTAGCTCCATGCCCCGTTCTTATCTAGCATCGCATAATTCATCATCAAAATCGACTTCCACCCGTCTTCGATCTGTCCAACCCGTGCAGCGAGCAATTGGTCCCACTCCTGCCTCACAAACTCTCGTCGACGGACTAAAGGCAAAGCGGGCGTCGCAGGGATCATTTGGATGCCTTGGATGCATTCTAAACACACAAGAGAAACGTAGCGAGCGTCAACTGTCAACGTCTTTGTAGAGAGAAAGATATGCAAGCCCATCCCAATGTTGAATATGAACACGGAAAAAAAAAAAAGCTCCTTACCGATGCGCGAAGAAAAGTAGGTTGCATGATCGACCTTGTTCTCAAACAAGATACCTGTCACCTTGTTACCGATAAAGACCTTTGGATGGTTCACGTTATCATCCTCCAGCAAAAAGTACGACTGAATACTCCTACGCGCGACCGTGAGCATCAATTGGCCCATTTGCTCCAGCTCAGGCTGGTTGGCGACCTTGCCCCAGAGTGCGATGGCATAGTAGAGATTGATGTCCTCGGATGTCGACTCCTCGTCCTTGCCATCGGCAGACGCAAAGATTCCCTGAGACCACGAGTGCCCCATGAACCAGTCAAAGGACCGGAAGACTGGGAAGAAGGGGTCCTGCGTCGATGGATTGGCAACATCTCGAAGCAGGCTGTTGACGAACGTGGTGAGATCATTGGCTTTCCATTGTGGATCCAAGTGCCGGATAATGGCCGCGGCGTGGATAAAGTAACCGTAATGGTAGTGGTGATCGCTAGTATTGGAAGAGAAAGATAGCACAGCACCGACGGTAAATATCATGCAGCGCACCTATAAACCCTATAGCGGGGGAAACCATCACACTTACTTGTACCAGGTGTTGCCAAAGTCGGAGAGGGCACCATGTTCAAGGCCCTGGACGCTGACAAGACCCTTCCAGGTCGTGTCATATACCAGCGGAAACATTTGTTTGTTATTCATGAACCTCGCAAACGATTGCTTCAACTTGTCCAAGCATTGCTGCTGCAATTGTCCATTATCCTTAAGCACGTCTGTGACGACTAGACAAAGCAATGCAAACTTGGCCAGCCCCTTGCCTGAAAAGTACATGGAGTCCAGATTCGTTTGCTGGTCAAAGTTCATATCGACATCCTGCGCAGCTTGTTTTCGAATCTTGTCCAGTTGAGCATCAGTGACAGATTTGGACCAATCTTCAGGCAAGAACCCGACTGAAAGACGCTTGGGCTCATGCAGACGCCAGGTTGAGCCGGTGTATGCAATCATCTTCCCCTTGGTGGTCGAAGGAAGTATGAGCGAGGTAGCCTTTATGGAGTCTGTAAGGACTTGCCGTTGGTGTGGAAGAGTGAAGTGGATGAACTCCTGGTTGGTGTTGCCGGTCAGGTCCCAGTTGATCTTGTATCCTCCAGAAGTGCTATTACGCGCCACCAAATTCGCATGGCAAAAAAAGACAGATCAGTGGATTGAGCCGTGTTCAGCGACCCGACACGGAAGCCAAGAAGACCATTGTTCTTTCACTTACCCGCTGACATATTTCTTCTGGACAACAAGGTCGCCTTTGGTCGCGTACACTCCAACTGAGCGCTCATATAGATTCTCAGCGTCCACCTCGTTCCCGACAGGCAATTTAGCGATCTGAATCAGCCCTGTAAACTTGCCAGACGTCGCCTCGATCCGCCCTTGACTTCGCACCGCCAACTGGAGTGGTGGATCCCCAGCTCTGTCCGGCTTTGCATACAGTAACCAGGTGATTCCATCCTCGATCAAGACCCTGTACTTGACCCATCCATCGCTTCTCGAGCTAGGATCCTTGGTTAATGTCCGAACTAGAATATTGGAAAAGATCCGCGGTGTCAAATCCTGGTACACTCCCGTAATAAACGCCATGCCCCTGACGATCGGCACGCGAATAAATGCTTTCGGATCATCGCCGCTAGACCTCCCACTCGCAGGCGAGAGAACCATCGTACATCCAAACTCTCCAAAGTCACCCACGGTCATATCATGCTGCGCATCAAACTCCATCGCAGAGAGGCCTATGCTGACCAGAAACGGATTGATATAATACCTGGAGGCTTCAGAAGGTGGTTCTGCAGATCCGAACGCCTTCAAGTTGTCATCGATGTGGGAGATGGCGAGACCTTGCTGGTCAGCACCATTGCTGTCCCATCGCAGGCCGTAGGGATGTGTCCAAATGGGAGCATGTGAGTCGCCAAGAACCAGGTTTCCATAAAACTTGTTGGTCGGAATTGGCCTTGATCTGTCCTTTGCACGGACTCGCGCTGGACTTACGACGTGCGCACGGTTTGCGAATATGGAAATTGGTGGATCCGTGCTGATGGGTTGCAAGATCGACCCGTCTGTCCCATGTTCATCATATCCGAAAACAGCGTCTTGGTCGCTGGTTGGCACGGCTACCTTGGCGAGGTAATTGTTCCTAGGGCCGGCATCCATTGGACTATGAATACCGGGAATCGATGAGGCTTTGGTTCCTGTTTCCATAGCGCCTTGTTCTCGCTGATGACAGGTGGCAATAGTGGTCCGAAAGTTGGACACAAGAACCATCGCCATTACAAGTGTTAGAGTGCCTTTCATTGTAAAATAATGAAGATGTGGTATAAAGGTGACAATGATATGGGTATAGTTCAAAAACGATTCATATATCCCATGGGCTCAATGTGTGCATGGGAGGGTATAGAAGGCAAAGGTGGAGGAAGAACCAAAAGAAGAGGAGGAGGGGATTCTGATAGAGAAAGGGCCTTCCTCTGTATGGTTCCTTTTTTTATTCGCATACCTTTGCTTTCCTTCTGTAGTGAAAAAGGGGGATGGGTTCAGAGTAGGCAGGAGCCGATGCAATGTCAGTGTGGTAGTGGATGACGGAAGAAGGGGTCAAGACACACAGCCGAAAGTGTCAGCGTTTTGGGGAGGTGAGAGAGAGAGGAGTGGCTGCATGCAGACCAAGGAATGTAGAGACTGTGTAATCACTACGCGTTCATTTTTTTTATTTTTTTTACATTATTGTATATACATGTTCAGTCTAAAAGCCTTCAGTGGCAGAAGACGTCGTCGGCCGCTTGCTGTAGGGCGTTGCATCCTCTGCGACAGCCTTGGGTGGCCGGAACGTCGAAGGCTTCTTCTTTTTGATCTTCCCGCCTGAAGTCTTGCCCGCCTGGAAGTTTCTCCAGCCCTGAACACGGTCATCCCTCGAGTCCTCCCAGACCTTCTGTGCCTCCTGTTTCCGTTTCCGTTCAGAAAGGACCTCGTCCTGCTTCCTTGCCTGCTCACCCTCAGCTTCCATCTCCTTCTTCATCAGCTTCCGCTTCCGCAGCTCGACCTCGATCAGCAAATCCTTTGTCTTTTGCTTGACCAATGATTTGTAGACGGGTGAGGTGAAGAAGGGGTCCGTCGGGGCCATATTCAAAGGCTGGGCCTTCTTGACCTCGAATTTGGCTTCTTCGATGATGCTGTTCAGGAAGGAACGCCTGGCAGGATCCATGAGATCTGTCTCTGCTTTCTTTAGGAGATCGAATGCGTCGCGGGCCTTGAGGTGGTTGACCTTATCTGGATGGATCATCAGCCTAGAGAGGACAGTTGCATACAATGCCTGTCAGCCTGGTGTGATGCTCTGAAAGGCAAAGATATCCACCAATTCAGTATGGTCATAAGTCTGCAAATAGATCCTGGAACGACATGGACTTACGACTTTTTGCGGTATGCCATCTTAATGTCCTTCTCTACGCATCCGACGTCCAGTTCCAGGATATCGTACGGGTCCAGCTTGAAGCAGGCCATGATACGCTCGACCTCTGCATCCTTTTGAATGGCAGATGCCTCCACTTCCAGCAAACGGTCAATGTCGATGTCAGCCATAGCTCTATTCCGGAGGGCAATGTTACAGGCCTGTCCTGAGTTGTTGGTTCTCTTTTCTCTTTCTGGCGAGTGCGAGGGCTGGCAGTCGGTCGGCACAGTTGATGAAGAAGCAGGCAATGATGCAGACAGGATGCTTGTAGCAGTGATCTTATAGCAAGCCACGGTGCCCTCTAGGCAGTCACCATGCTCTGAAATGTCAGGTAGAGAGGCCTTGAAAGCTCACCACCAGGTACCCCTTTGATACTCCTAGGTATCGAGATGCATCGACGCGCTTTGCATCAATGGTCTTCCATGGTACTGAAATATAGGATTTCCAGTCGACGCCAGTACGCGCTTTGAGACGCGCTTCGTTTATTGGCGGTGCGCCCACCGCAATGCTGAATGTTTCTGCGGACCTTGCTTGATACTGGTCGTTCTTCGCCCTCCCAGAAATCGATCTGCAGGCTAGCCCAACAACATCTCGTAGCTAGACATAACATACGGTTGACACGCGGCGCAAGAACGGCTCGCTTTTTTTTTGTTTTTGTTTTTGCTTTTGTTGTTTTCTTGTTGGACGTAGGAGGGTGGACCGAAAAGACAAAGAAATCCATAAAGCCAACCGGATCCGACAGACATAATTACAGACCTGCCACCGGTGGCCGCAAAACAAAAACCTGCCCAATGCTGCTCAAGCTTCCTAGCCGTGATAGATGCGCAAAGCGCAATTTCGCCTAGAGATGCACATGCGTACCGTGCCTGGAAGGAGGGGCCAGCCGAGGGTTGAAACACAAGAACACAAAGACAATCGGTTCGTTTGTGGGCAGAAAGGACTCAAATAGAGATCCCGGTCAGAGATTCACATCTTGACCCAGCAAAAACTTCATTTGTCTTTCACTCTCTCATCTCATTCCACTTCCCACTTTCGTGTGTACTTTTTAACTTGACCACTTGTCCTGACTTCTTATCATTGGAGCATGACTGAGGATTCGCAAAACAAGAAGGACCTGGCCCATGCTAGGACAAAGACCAGCTTCGATGTCAATGACATGACCGATTATCTCTACGGCGGCCGCGCCAATGTGGAGCACCGTCGATACATTGTCGGCCTACTGGCCAAGGAGCCGGTCTTTAACAAGGACGACTGGTATGTTTCGCTATATGTACTGGATACAGAGGGTCATTCCACTGGTCAAGTGGGTTTTATTCACTGACAGAGTTTTATTTTTTGGTCCCTGTCATTCACTGTCTTGTCAGGGGCTGGCTGAACCACACAGACGCAGTCAAGCGCGGTATTGCCATGTCTGCCCGACTGGCGGAGATCAAGATGGAGTACGAACTGAACGACTTGGACTTTGCCACCATGATCGAGGCTGTCGATGATCCTATTCCTGTAAGGACGGCATTTCCTAGAACGGATTTTGTGAAGTACGTGCGAAATTAAGTCTAACACTTGTGCCTGTCTTTTATTTTCATACCCCACACATACTCCACACATACTCCACACATTTGCTCTTGTCATCGACAGCTCTTGCTACACAACGGAGGTAAAGGGCTCCAATATTATTAAAAAAAGAAAAAAGAAAATGCGACATACGATAGAGTTACTCACTGAAAACATCGTCGTCGTAGCATTCATCCCGGTGATCAATTCTCAAGGAACTGACGAACAGATCGAGAAATGGATTCCTCCCGCCGAACAATACCAGATCATCGGCTGCTATGCCCAAACAGAGCTCGGTCACGGTTCAAACCTCTCTGGGCTCGAAACCACTGCGACCTTCGTCAGAGAGACGGACGAGTGGGAGATCGACAGCACAACCTTTACGGCTGCCAAGTGGTGGATTGGAGGACTGGGCGCCATTTGTACCCATGCGGTCGTTCAGGCCAAGCTGATTATTGATGGCAAAGACTACGGCGCTCATGTCTTTGTGGTCCCTATTCGATCACTGGAGGACCACAAGCCCTTTCCTGGTATCGAAGTCGGAGACATTGGACCCAAGGCATACGGAGGGTTCAACAAAATGGAGAACGGCTGTAAGTGCACAAGTACATTATGCTTTGGTGGAGAAGCAAAAACAAGAGCTGACCTTGGCCCACTTATTGCTTTTCAATCTGGACTTTTAGTTGCCCGGTTCAAAAAGTACCGTATCCCTCGCGAGAACATGCTGATGCGATTCTCAAAGGTCTCGAGAGATGGTGTCTACACGAAACCACCCCATGCCAAGGTAATATATGCCTCAGTACATACGGTGCTTCAGTCACGTAAGATTTGACCTGCATAGACTAACCCTAATCATGTACCTCCGCACGATCGATAGCTATCTTATGGATCAATGGTCCTGCTGAGATCGGTCCTAATCCGACAAATGGGCCAATACCTCTCGCGTGCCACGACCGTCGCTACACGCTATCTGACTATTCGTCGCCAGTTCAACAACCCGACCCAGCGCAATGATGCCGATCTGAACCCAGGGCTGGAGACCCAGGTGATCAACTACCCCATGGTCCAGAACCGTCTCTTCCCCATGATTGCCCAGGCCTATGCGCTCTTTGCCGCCGGTACGGTCATGATGAACATGTATATCAACCTGATGACAGGACTCACCAAGGGCAACATTGACGCCCTGGCTGAGGTCCACGCCATGTCCTCGGCACTCAAGTCCTACTGCACCACGATCGGCGCTGGAGGGACGGAAGAGTGCCGTAAACTGATGGGTGGGCACGGCTACTCGTATTTCTCGGGGCTGGCACACCTTTTCGCGGCGATCGTGCCGTCGAACACGTATGAGGGCGATAACTATGTGCTCACGCAGCAGATGGCGAGATATCTGCTCAAGGAAATCAAGATCGCACGGGCGGATCCTGAGAAGGTTACACCATATTCCAAGTACCTGCTTCCGGCTCTCAATCGAGACCATTTTGCAAGATCGACCTGCTCGGTGACCAAATTGGAGGACTGGTTGCGCCCCGAGATCCAGCTTGCGGCGTTTGAGCACCGCTGTGCGCGTCTTGCCATGGAGTTGAGTGACGCTGTAGAGGCGGGCGGTGGATTAGATTCATCGATCGGCAAGGCCTGGTCTGATCACAATATTGAGTGCTACAGGATCTCGCATGCGCACGCGCAGTATGTAATGGCCCTTTGGTTCATGCAGTCGATCCAAGAGGCCGAGCATCCGACCGAGGACGAGGACCGAGGTGCGAAGCCAGAGTCGGTCGCGGTTTTGAAGACGCTCTCGAATTTACATGCACTGCATACGATCCAGACGAACTTGGCGGATTTCGCCGAGGACGCGTATCTGTCACCGGTGCAGTGTCAGTTACTGAGGGCCCAGGTGAAGATCTTGGTGGCGAGCCTGGCGGATGATGCAGTGGGACTTGTGGATGCGTTTGATCATCCGGATTTCTTGTTGAATTCTGCCTTGGGTGCCAATGACGGAGACGCGTACAGGAGATTGTGGGATAAGGCGCAGACGGAGCCGTTGAATAGGCAGGAGGTATGCGAGGGGTATGAGGAGTATATCCGCCCGCTGCTCAAGAAACATGGCGAGCTCAAGCTGTAGATCGGCGGCATAGATTGTGTCGTGTCGTGTCGTGTCGTGTTGTCGTGTATGTAGAATGTATTGTTGTATAAATGCGTTTTAGTCTGGAAATAATGAAGGGCTGCGCCAACAGATTGGGGGCAGTGTGTCCCGAAGCAGGATACAATCTATCAGGGCGCGCTAGGGGGAGGCTTGTGCCCGTATAGGCTGTTGGTTGGATTTCAAATTTTGGATCCCGGCCGCCACTGAGAGATAGTCCCTGGGAAGTGCTTGAAGACGCATGATGCGAGAGCAATCGAGCTGTTTTCTTTTGCTTACTGTAACTGTGCCCCAAGAAGGATCTGGCGGAAGACCATGGGCGGATGGACGCCGGGCGGTAAAGGGTGTACGGGGAAGAGTGGTTTCTTTTTTTTAAAGTTGGCTGCAGGAGACCAGTGACTACAGACCCCGCATCCTGTTTGCCCAATCAGGATCGATTCCTCTATCTCTTTAAAGAATCCACGGAATTTTTTATATTTTATCGCCCATACGCACAGTAGCTGATTTCTTGTCATAGACAAGGCCTGTAATTATTGGCTGGTGGGGGTGGAAGGATGGATGGATGGGCTAGGCGCTTTGCTTGCACCCCCCCCCCCCTTCCCCTGCAAGAAGCAGTGGTGGGGTAGACTACAACGTTCTAGGCGAGCGAAGAGATGAGTAGGGTGGATTCTAGATAAAGAATGAATGATAAAGCGAGAGGTGTTCAGTCCAAGACTCTTTTTTCGGACATATATCGCGATTTGGACCCATCGAGAACGTGGGAATAGTAGGAATACCGAAATATATAAGAACACAAACAATAAAAAAACAAAAACAAGAAAAAACGTGCCACTTCCGCCGCTGTCATATGAAAATTGACACAATTGGGATCAAAAAGAGCTTCGTCGCCCAACACAAAGGGACAAAGGGAACGTTAATGCTAAAAAGGGGGGAGAATGAGGGGAAGAAAGGGTCGACTCGCTTGTTGCTAACCACATGTTCCTATCCAAAAGAGATTAGAAACCCCCCGGATATCCGTGACAAAAAACCAATGCGTCTCAAAGTGAGAAAAAAAGAGGGAGCGATGGGAAGAAGGGGATGGAGATTGCTGATAACATCGTTCGCTCCTTAGAGTTTTCCTTTTCTCCTGCACCCCTTCTCTCTTTCTCATCCTCGACGCTCCAGTGCACCATGTTCCATGCTATTCCTGTGAGGACCAACAGCAAACTGACACTGTTATTGTTAGAGCGTATCAGTGTCACCTGTAACAGGCTCTTGCGGATCGAGGGAGGAGAAGTGGATCGGTAGATCGAGAAGGGAAGGGCGAGAAGGAAAGCGAGTGAGGAAGAGAGTATGAGAGAGTCGTTCTTCTGTTGTTTTCGTGGCAATGACATAGAATGGCGTGGCATGGCATAGCATAGCATAGCATAGGAAGAAAAAAAAGAAAAGAATGTGTCAAACGACCCTGGGTCAAACGTGGACGTGGATTGTGCGCGACTGCATCCATAAAGAACATAACACACACGCGCAGGTTCTCTGTTTCCTTGTTGACTCTCTAGGTATACTCTTTCCATGGTACAGTCAACCGTTACCTACAAGCGGAATGGAAACAACGAATGCTGAACAATAGATAAGTGGGACAGAGTACAATTGCTATGTAGCTATATCTTTTTAATCTATGTCATTGTCCATGGTTCAGGACTCGCTCTTTCTCTTTTTCTATCAATCTTTTGACCTCTCCCCGAGATCACCCCTACGTCCTCTCTTTATGTCGTCTGTTACTGAGGATTGACCTATGCTTGTAATCGTAAATGGCGCATGTAGTACATTACATTACATTACAATGCACTGTAACTCTCTTTGAAGGCGAACAAGGTATCTTTTGACAGCAAGTTGGTTATCAAAAGTATATAAAAAAAAGATTCCTCCGCAGCTGGATTATACGTGCCGTAGAATGTGGACATGCTGGCCAGCTGGTTCCTGTCCACGATTGACCGTAAAAGGGTCCAGTTCTCGCGAGAAGGGGACCGGTTGACCATGGGGGGAAGCCAGGGTTCTTGTTGATTGAATGAAAGCAGGGATGAATAGAGAGATTCTATTGAGCGATATATATAAATCCAGCAGGGCTGATAGAGAGTGAGTGAAACCATCGTTTATCTTTCATTCATTATCGCAGGCTAGTGTTTGTACTGCAGTCGCCCGGCAGTCCAGTGTTCGCTTCCACCATCCATCGACACTCCATCCGAGCAGTCGGTGATCGGATATATAACGTCCGCCTCTTCCCCCGTCCTTTCCCTCCTTTCCTCTCCTCTGCTTTGTGCTCCCTCTTCTTATAGTCCTCCGCCCTTCCTGCTTCTCATCCATATCCCTCTTCTTCAGCGACATCCTCCTCCTCCCCCTCTCCTCCTCCTCCTCCACACTGTCTCCTCCACCTCCCTCCCTTTCCCCCCCACTTCCCTCCACCCCTCACTTGACTGATCCAGGCTGGATCCTTTCTCCCTAAACCCTTTCATCCTCTCTTCCCACTCCCCGCCCTTCCCTTCCTCCTCTTCTCCTCCTTCTCCTCCTCATTCTACAACATCCACTCTTCTCCTTCTCCTTCTCCTTCTCCTTCTCCTTCTTCTTCTTCTCCTCTTTCTCCCTCTAAACTGCCTGTAAACACTCTAAACAGCGCAACACCCCATCAAGCAGTCGTGCCTTTGAACAATCGAGAGTAGCTCAAGAAACCACTCCATGCACCCTACTTCACACACGTCCTTTGTCCCCGATCTGGACATGAATCCGCCCCCCGCATGGTCCAAGCCCGCCTCCGCCCTGGGGCTCGATAACCCGCTGAGTCATCTCCCGCAGTCGCAGCAGCTCCGCCATCTCCAGGAGCAGATCCAGCACCACCAGCGGCTACAGCAGCAGCAGTCGCACGGCTACGGAATTGGTGGCAAAAAGAAGAACTCCCAGAATGGTTCCTCTCCAACTCACAGCACCGGTGGCAACAACAACAACAATAGCAACAACAACAACAGCAGCAACAACAGCTCCAGTACCAGCAACAACCGCGACCGTACCGGCGCCTTCCAGCAACAGTCCTTCGGAAGCGGCGGTGGCCACCAGCATATCAACATCAAGAACTCGGACGACATGGATAGCGACGAGGACATTGACGAGGACATCGACCTGGACGAGGACGACGGCAACAGGTCCGATGGCCGCAACAGCCAGAGCGACATGCAGGGGCTCAATCCTCACCGCAGTCTGTCTCATCCACAGCTCACCCAGGGCTTTGCCATCCCCTCCGGGTTCACGGGCCTCACTCCCTCCTCGCCCCTGTCGCCGTCTTCGCCTGGATCCATCACCTCCGAGCCCAGCTCCATGACCGCGTCCATGCTCTCCCCCGGCCTCCTATCCTCTGGTTCTGGCTACCCTCACCACAACCACCACTCCCATAACCACGGCGGCAACACCGGCAACAGCATCCACGGGATCGAATCCTCTCTGGCGTCCCTGGCGTCGCTTTCGGTGATGCCGACCTCTTCCCCCTCATCCTCTTCTTCTACTATGCCCATGTCGATGCCTCCCGGATCCCGTGGTCGCACGGCACTCTCCCCCTCACATTACTCAAGCCAGATGGCTTCTACACCCACAACCTCCTCCTTCCAGCCCCAGAGTCTGCCTATGATCTACCATAACCAGTCTTCGGGGCTGATCACTCACCATGGTGGCGACGGCGGCGGATTCATGCCAACTTCCGTCGCCGGCCAGGCTCCCTCCTTCAGCGCCTTTTCGTCCGCACTGACCCAGCATATCCAGCGTCAGCAACAGCAGATGACTTCTGCTGCCATGTCGTCCTCGCTTCCTGCCCATTCGAGCTTCAACTCGCTCCAGCAGCAGCAGAACCAGCATGCCCAGCAGCAGCAGCAGAATCAGTATCACCATTATCATCATCATCATCATCAGCAGCAGCAGCAGCAGCAGGAGGAGGATCAGCAGGATCAGCAGGATCAGCAGCAGCGATCCAGGAGCAAGAGTCTTACGATCCCCGCCCCTCGCATCGTCCCTCCAGCACGTGTCCTCCCACCGCGTCCCCCACAGACATCGGCCCCTCGCAAGTATCATGGTCGTCAGACGCGTAAGCTAGCGAGCACGCTTCCAACGCCCAAGGAGCCCGTGGATCCGACACGCCGCGTTGCACATATTATTTCAGAGCAGAAGCGACGTGAAAAGATCAACGGCGGATTCGATGAGCTGAAGAGCGTTATCCCAGAGTATGTGCCCCCCATGGCCCATGGTCCGGGAAGATACGAAAAATAATGGGTGATAAGCATCCCTGCGTTTGGAATCCTATATCGTTCTAATCTCCCTGTTGTTTTTTCCTTGTTTCTCTGTTACTTAGGTGTGCCCAGAACACGGATTCAAAGGCTACCATCCTGCGGAAAGGTACAAAACAACAAAACAATAGCCTCGGGACCGTGATCGAGTTGGAGGAAAATAAACTAACTAAACATGTGTTTCTCTTGTTTTGTTTTGATTTCTCTACCAGCCGTTGATTACATCCTGTCACTGGAGGATGAGCTCCGCAAGTACGTGGACCTGTATCAGCTGGAGGCGGGCAGCAACCCAGAGTCCTCCTTGGAAGACCACGAGCGTGAGCGTTAGATGTGTCACTGCATGTGGGATTATGGGATGAGATCAAGGAGCCTGCCTGTGTCGTCTTGAAGAGTTCTTGAAAGCAATGTTTTTAGATTCTTACTGGACCAACCTCCAGGCCAGCGTTCAACTCCATACGTTTCTCTGTCATCTTTGCCTTTCATCTTGTACCGTCCACCGTCCACCGTCCACCTTTCACCTTTCACCTTTTTCACTTTTCACTTTTCACCTTTTTCACTGTTCTCTTTCCGCTTTTCATTCTCGCTTCTTCTTACTTTTCTCTCAAGGATACTTTCAGTCTTCAGTTCGTGGTATAGCGGCTCTCACATATAGCAACGAGAGCATAGCTTCGCCCATTTTATTCAATAAAATCAATTCCGCAGTAAAAAAAAAAAGATTGAAAAGACCACTCGCGTGGCAACAGTTGTTTTACGCCACCAATCTCTTTGTAAACAATACGACTCGCTCGACGCGTCTGTGTTTTCTCTCTCTCTCTCCCAATCGGGCCGAGAGGGGAAGATCTGCGTTGCAGTCACTATATTACAGCGGTGCCTGAAAAAATAAAATAAAATAAAATCTCCTTACGCGCACGATCCATCATTTGTTATATGCAAAAATGATGCCCAGTGTCATTTTTCTTCTTTCTTTTTTTTTTTTATTGCTGAATTGCTACAGACTACAACAAGACACGCTGTCCTGTGCGATGCAAGCAGATCCTTGCGTGAATCTGATTAAGTGGAATGATGTGGAATGATGTGGAATGATGTGAAATAGTGTGATATGAACTGGTATTAGAGATATGACCAACTATTGTTGTTGTTGTTGTTATACTTGTTATTGTGGCAGCAGTTGCAGTCGCTGTTGCTGCCGCTGCCGCTGTTGCTGTTGCTGTTGCTGTTGCTGTTGCTGTTGCTGTTGCTGTTGCTGTTGCTGTTGCTGTTGCTGTTGCTGTTAATAAAAAGCGCCTCAGGCGATCGAGATGATATCACGATTCGAACCCTGAGCTCCCGAATTCGCGGTCGCACCCGTACTCCTGCCATGACCGTCTCCAACAGCTCTAGCAGGCCCAGCAGGAGCAGCAGCGAGCAATGGTCGCTGTTCCGCCGCGAGGACCTTCTTCCCTCTCTTGGTCTTCAGTCTGATCAACCAAACAGAGACGAGTGCCCAGTAAAGAATATAGCCGCCAACGGTCCAGTACGAGGCCACGTTACTCCAACCGACCAAGGAATTCGCAACACCCCACCAACCTGCATCGGGCTGCTTGGGATCACAGCACTTGAGGGCCCAGACATTGACTCGGGGATCGTAAGAGCCCTCGTCATCGGATTGTGCGCCCGTGGCGCGGATCCAGGCGTCGGCCTCAAAGGCGGCGATTCCCTTGGCGACCAAGCCGGCGGCGATCAACATCAACAAACAGGTCGAGCCGACAAAGAAGGGATGAAGCTGCATCCGGTTTCCACCCCGATAGATCGCGAACCCGACCAACCAACCGAGAGCGACGCCCGTAAGGACCGCGAGGGGGACGGCGCGAGGTTCTTCCGTGAAGGTGACGCCGCCGATGAAGACGACGGCCTCGAGCCCCTCGCGAAGGAGGGTGATGAGTGGGAGGATGAAGAGGGCGTATTTCCGGGATTGGGAGCCCAGACCGTGAGAGGATTCGTCCGAGAGGGCTTTGGAGAGTTTGAGTTTCCATTTCTCTTGCATTTGGTTCGTACGGAGCATGGCCACGCCCATGACCGTGATCATCAAGACCGCCACGAACGAGAAGCAGCCAACCCAGATCCCCTCACTGGCCGCCCAAAGATTCGTTGCGTACAGGTTCCTGATTTTAGAAGCGCGACAAGAGATGAGAGGGGGTTAGATGGAATACGGCGTTGATGTGGATAAAGCGAGGATTAGATTAAAAAAAAAAAAAAAAAGAGTTTGGAGACCTACCAGACAACGATGAACCCCGCGCCAATGGCCAACGATACCAGTAGCCCCAGACCAGTGCCCGCCCATACCTAAGTTCATACAAGAAGAACAACAAGAAGAAGAACAAAAAATACCATAAACGAATTAGTGTCTCACTTTCTTATTTCCTCCCTTTTTACGCCGCCCGACCATACTATTTTCCACAGAAAACTGGGCATGGGAAACATCAAAGGGAAAAGGAACGGTACCTGACGAGAGAGCCGCCGGCGCATGGCCGGATCATCTGTGAGGACCTGGTTCAGGAACGAGAGCAACACCGAGACGATGATCGCGGCCTCGGTCGTCTCTCGAAAGATGATGAAGAAAATCGGGATCGAAAAGTAATCTTCTAGACCCATTTTTGAATTAATCTGTGTGGATGGTAAAGTCGTTGTATCCGCTTCGAAGAGGGGTGCGAATCGAGTGGGAGGTGTATGTGAGCAGAGGAATGAATGAGCAGCAAGAAGTGAATGAGGAAATGGACAAGTGTGGGAAAGTAGCCGTGGTGGACAAGTGCGTGAAAGTCGAAAAAACGGGAGAGAGGTAAAGAGAGAGGTAAAGAGAGTGGGAAACCAGGGGAAGGGAGGAAGGGAGAGGGGGGGAAGGGGGGGTTGTTTAAAAAGGATCTGATAACACTGCCTATTGGACGACTTGCTTATCAGATGGAAGAACCTGTGCTACGCTCTGCACTAGAGAAATAAAAAAATATGGTGCCCTCTATGCCGCAGCGCCCTCCTCGTTTTCTCTCGTTTTTTTTTCTTTTTTCCTTCTCACCCTTCTTTTCGTCTTTTTTTTTTTTCTTTCCACAAAAGGTCAGCGAAAAGAGAACGACACGGGTCATCCTTTTGCTTGTACTACACTTGCAGGCACTTTTTTTTTTTGCTTTTTTTTGTTTTGTGCCTGGTATACATGTTGGGTCAACTAAAAAATGCGGCGGAGGAGTTTGAATTACTAATGGGCCTGGCGATCTTCTTTGTCTCGCTGTCTCTCGAGAGACAACAGCAGGTAAGCAGCTAGTCTAACCAAACCATGAGGGAAGGAGGCGTGGGTCGAAACTGCGGGAACAAGGACTTTTATGGTCATAATTTTTATTTTTCTCTTCCTCGACACACGCACAACAAAGCACGTACATACAGCACGTAGACTATACCTTCTTAATCATGACCGGGATTGTCCCTTATGGTTATCAGATCGAACTGCACTGGCCCCCATTCCACATGCAAAAAGTACTGCAACACAAGTTTATCCGCTACGTTTCTTTAGTGCCTTTTATTACCATTATATACTTTCCTCCTGCAAGCATTCAAACAAAACCGCAACAAAAGAATAAAGAAGAAATAAAATGACCAATAACGATGTGAACATGATAATAATGAACTTGACAATATAACCTGAATGAGAAACAAAAACCAAAAAAAAACCATAAACCAAAAAAAAAAAAAAAAAAAAAAAAAAATGGGAGAAAAGAACACGCACACAAGTGGGATCAATCGATCCCTCCCTTGGTTGGTCTATACACGCGTGCCTGCCTCTTCTTTTACTTCTTGCTGATAGCACGCTTGGCCGCGTTCGCCTTGCTCTTCTTGTTCTTTCCACTCGAAGATCCCTGGGGCTGGCTGTTGATATAGTCCAGCAACTCATTCAACGACAAGTGACCCTTCGATCCCACCTGCGCATCTGCATTCGCTGCCCGGATGGCCGCCTCTGCAAGTGCTGCCTTGGTCGCTGCCGCTGCCGCAGTCGCCGACAGCGACGTCGCCCGGTTAATCGCCTGCTGCTGTTGCTGCTGCTGCTCCAACGCTGCCTTCTCGTACAACGCCTGGTTCACTGTGAACTCGGCCGTGTTCTTCAGCTCCTGCAACCACAGCTCCGCCTCCTTTGTCCTTACATCATCAGCGCCGGCCTAAAATAAATACGAAAATGTAGGCAAAGAAAGGAAGCATAAATCGCGTCGCTTCAGATATTCCTAGACACTGTATAACCAGCCAATAAAATCGCGTTCATGAAAAACTTACAAGCTTCAAAAACATGTCATAGGCAAGCTGCTCCTCTTTGACCGCCGTCTCAAAGTCGCCCTTGAGAGCATAGGCCTTGGCAAGGACATGGTGGCAGTTCGCCACAATAACATGTTCCTTGCCATGTGCCAACTCCTGCGTCTCCTTGGCCCGCTCGAAGAACAGGCACGAGTTATCAAAGTCCCGGAGCGACTGCAGCATCACCGCAATGTTGTTATCGGCCGTCGACGAATCCGGGTGGTTCTTGCCATAGATCAGATCCCAGTACTGGATAGCGTGCTTCAGATACTTGAGCGCCGTCAGCGTGCGACCTGACGCGTGCTCAAACAGACCCAAATTCAAGTAGTTGTGCAACGCCTCGGGTGAATCCACTCCTAATGTCCTCTCAGACACGATGACCGCCTTGCGCTGGAACTCCAGAGCAACGTCCCTCTCATCCGAGTGGTAGTAGATCATCGCCAATGCCTGGTAGCAGCGCGCAGTCTCCGGATGCAAGAAACCATACGTCTGCTCATGTAGCGCCAAGGACTCCAACAACAATTCCAATCCCAGCTGACGATGACCCTGGGCCAGGCTGGTCTTGCCGGCCTCAAAGGCCTCATCTGCATAGCTTGAACGAGTCGAGGCCTGCTTGACGAGTGGCAGGAGAGTGAGGATATCGCTGGGTTCAAAGGTCGTGGCGCGCTTCTTGGACTTGGCGACAATGCGGGCCTGCTTCTCCTGGTTCTTCTCAGACTTGTTCTGCTTATTGCCCTTCTTGGGAAGAGAAGTAGCAGTAACAGCAGGCGAAGCATCAGCGGTAGCGGGAGTGGCCTCAGAATCTGTAGCAGGGGCAAAGATATAATCACGAGCCTCGACCTGGATACCGGCACGGAGACAGATGTCTCTCAATAGGGCAATCTTCTTATCCTTGGCGATGTTCTTGACAAAGTCCTCAGGCAATCGGAAGCGGTAACGCAACAAAACCTCGTTCTGAATGCTCTCGCGCAGGCTTTCAGGGGTGAACGCGGCATATGAATGTCCGTCCTGGGCCAGTGTGGCAACAGGGCTGGCATTGACCTCATGACCCAGCAAGCAGTTCAGGATATGAGAGATGCAGTCGGGAATGTGAGTCGTGGGCAGACCGCGAAGGGCCTTGCGGATGATGCGCTTAACAGATCGGACCACCATCTCCTGCATGGCCAAGTAGTGGATATGGACCAAAGCCAACTCCTTGCTCTCCTTGGCTAAGGTGGCAATACGTCCAAGGTATCTCATGTTGATACCCCGGCGATGCATGGCCTTGGTCAGCGAGCCACCGTCAATGGGCGACACAATGTATGCCGTAAAGTCTTGGAGCTATTAAGATAGCGTGAAAGCAGGTTAGAACACTTGGCAATGTATTGTAGACCGGAAACAAATATTGAACACCCAGGGGAGGGAGCAAGGAGCATACCAGGACGCCAATGACGTTCTCGCGCAAAAACTTTGATGCTTCACGGACAGCGTTCTCCTGCTCTGCCTTGGCGCTGGCACTCTCGGCAGGGGTCTTGACAGAAGTAAAGGCATCGACATTGAAAGAGAGGTCAAAGTCAAGAATGTTGACATCATCCTCAGGATTGGTAGGAGCTGCTGCCTCCTCCTTGGAGTCCTCCTTCTTGGCCTCAGTAGGCTCGTCCTCTTTCTTAACATCGGTCTTCTCAGTCTTCTCCTCAGTCTTTCCATCCTTGGCCTCGGACTTGCCTTCCTGGGCCTTCTTCTCCTCAGCGCGCTTCTGGATCTGCAATGCACGCTCCTGGACCCACGCACGCAGCTTGTGCTCCCAGAACAACAGCATCAACTCAGGTCTCATCAAAGTCATCTTGTGCGGGTATTCAGGCATGCCGTCCTTGGCAGCAACATCGTTCTCCAAGAACTCGATATCGACAGGGTTGAGACGGTAGAGGTCGAGGAGGTAACGACGGCCATCAGCACCCATAAGGCCCTTGGTGTCAAAAGACGTCCAGAGGTTGGTGGACTTGTCCTCGCCATTTTCGACAGCGTGCTCAGCCAGGTGCAGAGCCTTAGCGGCCTGGCCCAAGATCTCGTGGAACTTCTCGTCCGACTTAACTTGGGGACCATTATCCACCGAGCCATAGACGATCGAAGACTCCTCTTGCTGCCTGAAAATACCAGGAACGATCGACTGGGCAACAACACGAACACCCTTGTAATCGACCACAACGGTTCCCAGAGTGTAAAGACCTTCGACATCGACTCCATTCAAGGCACGAACACCCTCCAAATCCTTGCCAGTGGCAACGTGGGCTGCATCATCGCCACCCAGCTTCTCGAATGTGTTGCGTCCATCAAAGCCCTTGCTGAAAAAGATGTTGTTGTAGACGTACATGTGGGATTCCTCCCCCTCCAGGGGGTTCAATGGAACAACATTGCCGTTGACAACATCCATAGCACCACGAACTGCAGCGTCAGCAAAATCGGCGTTGATCTTGTTCAAAAAACGATCCCGCATGACGCGCTCCTGAAGGTTGGCGCGGGGGAGCTCACGGTGGGATTGGATCTCGTCGTTCCAGTCGCGCAAGCTGTCAACAGAGTCCGTTCCGTAGTTGAGATACGCCTCAGAGGGACGAGTGGGGTCAAAGGTGTGGGGGGCAGGCTGAATGGCCCAAGGATAAGCAGGCTGAGCTGTCGTGACGGGGAGAACCTCGAGCATGTGGTGGCGGGTGATGAACTCCTGTAGCTTCTTGAAGTTCGTGGCAAACATGGGCGAGACCTTCTCCAGCAGAACGATCAAAGAGTGGTCGCTGGCAGCCTTTGCATCCTGGCGAGGCGTTGGATCAAAGTGGTTGGAGGTTGACTTGTTGACATGGAATCCAGTGGCAGTAGATGTAATCTGAACAGTTTCGCCCTCCAGGGTGGTGACGATCAGGTACATGAGATCTCCACGAAGTCTGAGATGGTGTGGAGGAGGGTTCCATCCAGATAGGGCAATGCTCTTGACACACTGAACAGGCGTTCTCTCCAGACCCCTGGGCACAAAATCCGAAAGAGCTGTAGACGCATTGAGATCGAACTTGGAGAATACAGTCGCGGGTGTGGTCTCATAAGTCGAATTGTCGATGGGCGTCTCCTCTATTGGATTGCATTACATTGTATTAAATTCAACCCAAGAAGCATTCTTACGGTCAGTAACGCAGCTTTCAAAGATACTGGGTTAGGTCGATTCATCAGCACAGCTGAGAGTAACAAACACCTTACCGACATGGCCAGATACGGTCGACAAGAAGGACATGGCGGGATCGATGCCGACAGCGTTGATATTCAGCTTCGCAGGTCCAGCAAGCAGATCGCGCAGGCGGTTGACGTGGATCCTTGCCTCGCGTTCCGTGTAGTTGTCTAGCGGCAGTGTCAATAAAATACAGACGGAATATTAATCTTCATGTGCATCTGCTGCTTTTCCTCTCTTGTCCGATTGTCTGCAGGATGTATGGGTAGCCCAACTTACTGAGGACAAGCTCTAGTTCGCTGTCAGGTGTGATTCCCTCAACATCTCCCAGCTCCATAAAGTCATTCAATTTTGTGCCATTAAATGCGAGAGAGAAGCAGGAATGGATGCAGGTCTCTGTGGACTCGACGATCGACTGACGAACATCCTGGATCGCTTCATGAGGGCTTGCCTTCAAATCGAAGAAGCAAAAACGATATACAGCAGTCAGTGATTTGGATGAGTCAACAGGTATCGAATGACACCGCTTCAAGAAGAGAGGAAATAGGAACTGCACATACAATGACCTGGACTTTGCCACCCTTGTTGGGAAGGTTGATCGTGATCTGGTAGAACTCCTCGGCACCAGCGTCTTCGATCTCTACAAACATGAGCACCAAGTGAAGTCGATATGTTAGTAATGGAAGAGAACCACCATAAGCAAATTCAACGTTCAAGAAGAGATAATCAAGCTCGACGTTTGCGCGCGCACCTTGAATCTCTTGCTCGGCAGCAACGGCAGTCTCAGGAACGGTCTGCTCAAGGGTTGGTTCTGTCATGACTATGTGTTGCCCGATCAAATTCAGGTACAGAGCAGGATAGACAGCACGGACAGATAGTGATCACGTAAAAAACAAAAGAATGAAAAGACACTGGTTAATAGTGCTCCTGGTTACTTTGGCATAGGTTCAGTTGCGTGAAAGAGGCACACTGCCAAAGAGCCAAAACTGATCTGTCATGAGATCTCGGTCGGTACCTGCAGTGTGTATATAGAATTTCGTAAAGAGTGGATCAGGCCAACAAATGGATCACTAGCTGTTCAGGGCACAGGGGAGAAAGACAAGAGGATCCCGGGAAGGCTGTTCAGACAGTGATTCAGGAGCGAAGGGGAGGAGGATTGGCGGAAGGTCGGAGGGGCCAGGAAAGTGTGGGGAAGTAAGAATGAATGAGCCGTCTTGCCCCTGTTGCTTCGTTTTTGTGATCGGAAACTTGCCTCTCGCTGGCCACCCAGAAAGAGCTGTCCGCATTTGGACTATCATGTGACATAAACAAAGCTTCTGGGAAGACAACTAGATGCAAGATCACCATGGAAGGGTTACCACAAGACCCCTCGGTGGACTGTACGAGAGCTCTTTCCCCTTTGAGCGAGGCAGGATTGCGCTTTTTTTCTTTTTCTTATTTTTTTTATTCTTTTATTCCGTCCTGAAGAACTATGTGGGCAGAGAATAGTATGCCTGCAGTTCTGAAGATATACTGAACCTGGTGCCCGCCTGCTCCGCCAGGGCACAAATCGCTGCTGCTTGCAGTCGTTTCTCACAAATTGGCTGCATCATCTCTTTCACAAGATCAAACAACTCCTTGCAAAAGTTTTTGCGACATGTTTTAATCCTGAGATCCACTGTGGCTGACAATGACAGGGTTGGCGCTGGACTTGAGAGATCGCGCTCAACATGGCTGCTTTGTGCTTCCAAATTTGCGTAACAATACTGTCCTGCAGTGAAATCGATATCTCCTTCTCGCAGACTGTGCCATTCGCGCCCCTCGCCTGGGAGCTCACTGCATCGATTGCTGATCATTTCGTAGACCATGATTCCGAGACTGAAAATGTCTGAATACGTATTGCAATGTCCGTAAAGAAGCTCTGGAGCCATGTAACGTCGATCGCCTTCAAGTCCATCCGCATCCTGAAGCGGAAGCATGACCGAGTGACCGAAATCACCAACCTTGAGACTTCCTGCTGAGCCGATAAAGATATTCTCAGGCTTGATGTCGAGATGAACAATGTTGCTCTCATGGATCGCCTGCAAACCCTGCTTGACAGAATGACACAAAATTGAGTTTCTTTACTTTCCCACGGTATCAAGACAGATTGCGAATGCTCTCATTATGAACAAACTAAGAGAAGGGACTTACTGACGAGATATCCCGCAGAGATCGCCAGATATATCCTTCATTGAATCCACCATATTTCATGTGCGAGGCCATTGCAGATCTGAGGCTACAGTGTTGTGGATAAGTCAAACATTAGTTTGTTTGCCGGTGCACTTATGGCTAAGCACAGCAGTTTGGAATGAGATCGGGACATACCTTTCGGATCTGCACAATTCCATCCGCATGTATATTTTTGCTCTTTGTTCCCAAACACCGAGCAACGATACCACGTTTGGGTGCCCGATCTTCCACATATTCCTAGCCTCTGCTAAAAATCGTTTCCTATGCAATGCAGAGAAATTGAACGCGTTCATACAAGAGAAAAAAACATTGCATTAATGCAGCCGCCCTGAAAATGCCCTACGACGTCTTACCTCTCCATAACTCCCTGGACAGATTTTTTCAGCTTCTTGACAGCGAACAGCTCCTTCGTCACACGATCTTGTACCTTGACCACCTCTGAGAACTCGCCAGCACCAAGTATAGTTCCGTTGACGTCATATCTCATATCGAGGTAACTGGCGCTGTCAACCGCAGCTGTGAGGGACGCCCTGAGTGGCACTATTGCATAACACGGCGTCAATTACCACGTCTGAAACACGCTATGTACTGACTGAGTGTACTGACTGACAAAGGCAAGAATGGGGCTATCCTCACCATACTGGTCAGATGAAAACAGTGCCTCGAGATACTCCTGTGACACATGATGAGGAAATTCCGATCGCCACTGAGATGTTGCATAAATGCTCTTGGTGGTGGTGATGGTGAGCGATTGAGCGGGAACGAGGAATGGGTTCTTAACCTTGTCGTCACTCTCACGAACCGGGGTTGCAAAAAGTGATGAAGCTCCAGACGAAATCCTCCGGGAAGAAAGGTTCGATGAAGTACGCTTGATAATCGGCCGAGGAATTCTCGATTTATGTCGAGTGGATCGCTCCCTGTTGGACATGGCGATCTGTGTGAAATCTGGGGGCTTTGGTATTTCGACGCGGTCTACCATGTCATGAAAGATGGGTGCACATGGTCAGGGCTCTCAGTACTTCTCGATGGCTATTTCAATGATACAAGTCTTAGGATCACAAAAAAGCAGGGTTGGGCACTTACAAGGAAGGTAGATAAAGCCTTTCGTTCTCGAGCGTCTTTCTATGTGGCATGGTGACACAACGTACTTCCCATGCATGTCCACTTCGCTGTCTGTGAAAGAGGGGAGTTCGGCGGACTTTGGTGGTGTCAACTGGCCGAACTGCAATGAGGTCCTTGATGTTGTTGTGAATGGGCTTCTGGGTTGGGGATATGGTGAGGTAAAGGACTTTCTTCTTTCTTTTCTGGAGCTGTAACGGCCGCGAGCAGCAACAGCTATGTCCTGTAGTGGTGGCAACATCCCTGATAATAGTCCTCGATGTTCCCTTGACTTTAGAGGAGTGAGAAAGGCTCGGTGAGGCTGAGTTGAGATGAATGGTGAGGGTGGAGCGAGGGCTGAGTCTGAGCTCGGGTATTCTGTGGCGGTGCCGGCGGCATTGAGAGGTAGGGTGGAGGTGAGCATTGATTATGAGAGCTGAGGGTGGCCGCGCAGGCGATTCGGACACTTTTCATTCCATTTGAATACATACCTGAGCGGAGTGTGCTTCCGGGCAGTGCCATTGTACAAAGGAAGGACGTGTTATTGCCGAAGAGATGACAGAATGGATAGACACTATTGACGTGAGAGGAGAAAAAGGAGTGAAAAGGAAAGGGAGGAAAGGGAGGTGAAGCTTGGGGGAAGAAAGGGAGGAGGTAAAGGAGGTGAAGTTTGTGAGGTTTATGAAGGAGGAGGAATGCAGAATTTGAATCCGTGCTGGAGCGCTGAGGTGCTGGAGTCTTGCATAGACGCTTTTTTGGTGGCGTGTCGCTTCAATATGCACAAAGAAAAGGTGTGTTTGACCACAACAAAGGAAGACCGTGCATCTGCATGCCGCAATGTTGCATTGCATGCTTCCACCACCGCCGACAAGCACCTGTGCAGAGTACCCTGCCGCACCGTATATGTCGACCAACATTCGCTGACTGAACCTTGTTCAGGTAAATCCCACACTGGAAGTCGACTGAGGGCCAATTGGGGAACCTCCGCTTAACAGTCCACTGCCATATATGGGGAGCAATTGACACACAACCACACAACTCAGGCTCTGTTCTGCTGAGGCAAGTGGTACCAACTCCCTTCGCTTGTCTAGTCGGATCGATCGATCGATTGATTGGCCGACAAGAGATAGCACCGTGGGTGTGTGTGTGCGTTGTGTTTATGTGCGTCCATGTGTGTCCATGTGTGTCCATGTGTGTCCATGTGTGTCCGTGTGTTGCAAACAAAGTGGCGGGATAGCACAGCTACAACGGATTGGATGGAGAGTAGACTAAGCAAGCCTTGTGGAGCGGTATTTGAGCGTATTTGTATTTTGTCCGTGGGGGACACTGTAACATTAGAGTAGGGCTGACAAGGATGAGTCGCTTTCCAGGTTCGGCCTCTGAAAATGAGTCAGTTTGCTCAATTGACAGACCCTTTTTGACCCTTTTTGTTCAATTAAGTGTCGCACAAGAGATAAGGGACGCCTATGACGAACCTGATTGGACAGAGTGGAAATCCACCCTCATTTTCAGCGCGTGCAACCAAAGATGGATCTCCGTGCTATCTGCTGCCCTATCAGCTCTTTCGTTTACTTCCCTGTTCATTCATCTGCCACATGCCAGATACCCGTTAGCTTTTATTTTCTCCGGGCAATGTTTATTCGCTTATTTATTCATCTACAAGGGCACCGAAGGATTTTATTTCTCTCTTTCTTTTCCTTCTTCTTCACTTCAATCCTCACTCTCGCTTATATCTCCTCTGTCTTTCTCACTCCTCCCCTCCCTCCTCTCTCTCTCTCTCTCTCTCTCTCTCTCTCTCTCTCTCTCTCTCTCTCTCTCTCTCTCTCTCTCTCTCTCTCTCTCTCATACATATACACGCACACACACAAAAGACAGATCATATCGCCTTTCAATTCAGTAGACACCTTCGATCCTTTCTTGTCTCTGTACACCTTACTCCCCACTCTTCCAGCATCCCTCCTTTGCATTCTAATCCTCAGACACCAATACCTCTCCCTTTCCTTCCCTCCTCCTGCCCACACACCCACTCAAGACACAGCTTCACCATGATGCAGCAACAACAACAGACCTATCCTTATACCCAGGCTGCAAAGGCTGCAGCTGCTGCACAGCATGCCCATGCTGCTTCAGTAGTACACACACCAGCCTACACCCAGACACAAAAGTTCAAGAGTAAGTACCGCTCTCAGAGTATTCCCTTTCGACCATCCAAAGATTCAACAGGAATCCACACCAGTCCCAATCGATCTAACAATGGACTCCTTTGTATCAACTAGACCACTTCCAGGCAGGCGCTGTTTCCCTTTCGCTCTCATATGCAGTAATGCACCCATTGGATACTCTCAAGACCAGAATGCAGGTCCCCGGAGGATCAGGCATCGCCTGGTCTGCGGTCTTTACCCGCGAAACCATCCGCTTGCTTGGAAAGGGCTTCCTCGTCAGCTCCATCGGTGCTGGTCTTCAGGTAAGGGAATCAAGAATATACTGACGACATCTGCGTGTTTCCCCCCTTCCGCCTATCTGATATCTAATCTGCTATCGCCCTTTGTTGTTTTGTTTGCGTTGTAGGGAGGTGCACGGTTCTCGTTCTACGAGCTTACAAAATCATATCTTTTGCCACCAACATCGCGCTTCCAAACCGGACTTAACCCACCACAACACCCCTGGTGGCTCCCAACCCTCTCGCCCATCCCCGCAACAGCCATCTCAGCCATCATCGGTGACCTCGCCTCCTCAGTCATCAAGGTACCCCGTGAGGTCATCACCTCCAGACTGCAGACAGGATACTACGTCAACGTACCAAATGCACCAGTAGGAGGTGTCGATGCCGGATATGTCTTCAGAGCTGTCTTGAGGGACGAGGGCGTACGAGGACTCTTCCGTGGATTCTGGAGCACGACTGCGCGCGATTGCCCCTTCATGGTTATCCTCTTTACGACCTACGAGAATTTCAAGGCTTACCACACCCGTAATCTTGTCACCCAGATCACATCCGACCCCAATTACATCGCCAGCTCACCCGTCGAGGTCAAGATTCCACCGATGACATCGACCTTGTTCGGAGGGATTTCTGGGTTCTTGGCTGGATACTTTACGACGCCCATGGACGTCATTCGAACCAGAATCATGACCTTTAAGAAGGCCGCCGGTGCAAAGGTCGCCATGCAGGAGATCACCATGACGGGCATCAGCAGAGAGATGTACAACCAGGCGGCGATGCAGGCCTTCAAGTCGAGCGCGCATTCGAACGCTGTTGTTCGATCCATGCGACATGGCCAGAGCGTATACAGCGCGTTCTTTGTAGGCGCCATTCCCAGGAGTCTCTGGTGGTTCTGTGTATGCTCCATCTTCTTTTCGACATACGAGATCATGAAACAGAACCTTATGCCATTGGACTATGAACCGGCTGCCAAACCAGTAGTAGCAGTATCCAACTAGAAGAACAATAAAATCCATCTGTGCAAAAAAAAAAAAAAAAAAAACTCCCTTCATAATCCATATGACTAAGTTTCTGCACCCGATCTAAATGTTCAACTTCGACCGTACACCCCCTCTCTTCTAACTCTTCAATTGAGGTTGATACGATGGAGGTTTTATTATTTTTTGTTTTTATTCAAGTTTTTAAGTGAAGGACAGATGGGATGAATTAAGTACCATGGGTATATTGCTTTAAAAGCGCGTATTTTTTAAACGTAATGAACCTCGGATTTGTCCTTGACGGATCGGTTATCCTCCTCATCCGAGGACAAGGTATGGTGCTGCGAGTGCTCGCCCGAGTTATGGTGGACATCACGCTCCCAGTTACTAGCGCGGATCAAGACCGAATCAACAGCGTCGCGGACCGTCAAATGGACAAGACCCTCCTCCTTCAAGAACGGACTCGAACCCATACCGTTGACCGAGTACGCGGCCGATCCAATATCACCAGGCGTAGGACGGGCCTTCCTGGACTCGATCTTAAGCTCGTCATCATGGGATTGACCCACCTCAGTATCGCTCCGCCCGTCATGCTCAGCCACCTCGTTTTTCTCAACATCCCGCCCATCATCCAGGACCTGGACCTTCTGAAGCGCAATAGAACCGACTGGTCGAGTAATACCCGACAGCTCCAGGATGCGGAGTACATTCGCCTGGATACCGACAAAGTGTACCTCGAAGAACGTATCAGGGTAATCTGACACACCAGCATAATCCCTCAGCAATTCTCTCAGATCAAAGAGACCCTGAAGGCCAGTAGAGTCAATGTTGTTGACAGCCGAAAAGTCCAGGATGACCGCGCGTAGCTTGGGCAGATCATCGTCCGTGATGTTCGAGCTCGATCCATGAGCAACCTTGCGCAGGTCACGGATATGGACCTCTAGATCATCAGACCACAATCTGTCCGCGACATCCTTGACCTTGCCACCAAAGCGCGTGTACTTGTAGGCCTCCTCAACCACCCAGGTCTTGAAGGTCTCGGTGTTAGGGAAGGTCGTGGACTCCTCGATTCTGAACACTAGGACACCGTGGGGTCCGGGGACTGTGTCCAAAGTGCTATCGACAGAAGAATCAATATAGACATCCGGCCGATCCTTGAGCTGACGGAGAACATGGAAGTTGGGACGGGCTACACGGAAGAGGAGGACGACCAAGGAGAATCCAACACCGGCGGCAATACCGGTCTCGACAGAGACAAAGATGGTGATCCAGAGCGCGACCTGGGAAGAGAGGAAATCCCAGAGATTGATCTTGAAGAACTGGTAAAAGACCGAAGGAGGCGAGACCAGTGTCGAGACCGCGACCATGATGACTGCGGAAAGGGCAGCATCAGGGATGTAAAAGAAGCTGTGTTTGTTTGTTTTTGCAGGTTGCATGAAATAGGATGATTGTATCCCAATGCATTTTATGCATGGAGAGAGCAACGCGTAGGAAGGTGCGCAGATGTATGCAAAGGGGGAAAAGGAGAGAAAACGTGGGCTAGGGTTAGTATGCTGATACAACTATGCCCATGGCAAACCGAGGCTCTCTTCACAACGTAAATTGGGCCTTGATGCACAAGGCATTACATGTACAAGACCACATGCATCCAAACTCCCCGATCAAATGAAATGGAAGGGTGGTTCGAACAAAATGAGCAACCGAATAAAATGTACTTGTACTTACATAGGGGTCAGGAAGAAAATTGCCAACAGAACCAATGCTCCTGTTACAAATCCTGCAAAGGGGGTCTTGACGCCGCACTGGAACTTTACGGCCGAGCGCGAGAACGATCCCGTCACGGCATATGCACCAAAGAACGACGCTGTAACATTGGCCAAACCAATGGTGAGCAGCTCTTGGTTGGAATCGATCTGGTACCGGTTTCGACGCGCAAAGGCCTTTCCAATGGCAATGTGCTCTAGAATGACAGCCAATGTGATAGCCGCCAGCTTAGGCGCCATATCAGAGATGATATCGGACGTCAGCTGAGGCACCGTTGGCGTAGGCAAACCCGAGGGCACGGTTTTGAGGATCGAAAGTTTAGGGATGATATTGCCCTTGGCATCATGTGGCGCATCCTTGTTGACAGCATAGGAGAGAGCAGTCGCCAGGACCGTGATAAAGAAGAAGCGCGAGATCTTGATCATCTGGATCGAGAACCTGCCACGACCCCATCGATCAACAGCGAGGCCAATGGCGACCAAAATGAACATCGAGACCAGACCAAAGACCAGATCGAGCCAGGAGAGTGTCCTGATTGCCTGGAACATAGATATGATGATGTTGTAAACGGGTGCGCGATTGTTGATGTTGGGCACACCCAACCACTTGGGGATCTGCTGGATGATGATCGTCACGGCCGCGCCTGTCGTGTAGCCAACCAAGACCGTCGTGGGGAAGAAGTCCAGGATGATACCCAAGCGCAGCACACCGAGGATCAGGGTCAAGAGTCCGACAACCAGGCAGGAGATAGCAGCAACTTCCGGTGGGGTCAATCGACCCGTCAATTCAGAAACGATTTCACCAGTGATGAGCGAGATAACAGCCGTTGGTCCGATAGTCAAGTCTTTGGAGGTTCCCATGAAGCAATAGAAGATAGCACCGATATAAGCAGAGTAGAGACCATGCTGGACAGGCAACCCTGCGACCTTAGCATAGGACATTCCCTGAGGAACGACAATCAGACCGACAGTGATGCCGGCAATGATATCCCTGATGGCCCAGGCACGTTGGTATTTTGGCAGCCTGAGAGTGTGAGGGTGTCAATTGGATATAAGAAATGTCAGTTACTATGAAGTTTAGTTGCTCTGAAGTGGATGCCATTGCTGAGGGGTGAAGGAAAGGGTCTGATTGTGGGCGAAGTAATTTTAGGAGTGAGAGATTTTCAGCGTGCTTTGGCGTGGTGTGGTAGGAGGTTGTAGGATGGATGGCACTTGTTTTTACCATTTGATGATGGGTAGCCGCTCTTGGATGTAGCGTGGGGTATTTCTGGGGAAGGCTTTGACCCAGCTGATCAAGCTGTGTCCGAACTCTCGCAACTCTTGGTCAGCCATGTTGGAGGGTGGAGTGTGAAGATGTGAGGAGTAGGAATGGAGTCTACGATGAGTAGTGTGTCAGGGGAGGGGGGGGAGGTGCTGTCGCTGAGATTGATCAAGCGCAGCGCGAGCGTAGGAGACTTCAGCGGAGAGAGAGAGAAAGAGAGAGAGAGAATGAAGTGAAGTGAAAGTGGAGGAAGGAGAGGGGGAGTCAGGGTCGATGTCTTTTATAGAAAAGTCCGAGGTAGGTGAGAGGGATGTGTGTTTGTGCACGCGAGAGAGAGAGAAGTGAGAAGGCGGGGTGTGCTGGGTCGATCAGAGAGAGTATTCTTTATGGAGGAAGTAAAGAGAAAGGAGGAGAGGTGGTGTAAAGACAAGACGGATGGATAAAAAAGAGGAGAGGGAGTGAAGAGAAGGACCAAGATTGCTCGATCGAGAAGGACAGACGACAACAACGATGGTGGCAGACATGGATTTGTATCCGGAAGAGTGCATACTCACCTATTCATTCGTCCATTCACTCTTTCATTCTTTCATGCCAATATATATTGTGCATTCAATAGTGATACCACATCCATTCATTCGAATGGACATGTCGTCTATCGCAAGAGGCCGATCGCATCATTTGTAATCATCCGCTGCGAAAAACACCGCGCTTCTCTCGCGACCAGATCCTACCCGCCGAAGGGAAACCCTGATATCACCGGGCACACATGCAACCAGACAGACCAGACCCTTTCCAAGAGCCGGCCATAGCATTCCCAACGCAGCTACCGACATTCTCACTCTGAAAAAAGAATTCTTAGACGCGATCAATTCCACAGTTGATCCCCGTCTTTCAGAAGGAATATATCCTCTCCTTTCCTTTTTTTTCTGTCTTGCTTCCCTTCATCTCTGCTTGCTCTATAGTGCATTTACTTCCCCTTTTTATGGTCCAGATACAAGTAGCATCCATGCATACGCTGTCTATCCTATGCACGCATCGCAACGGTCTCTTTGCGTGTGGATGTGACTGCGCCCTGGAGAAGTTTAAGGTTTATAGGGCGAGAAGTGGCACAATAGGGTGCAAAATGGCGACATTTCGGTAAGCTATCGCGATCTATCTCCTAGAAAAGATGGACCAAACAAGCTGCCACTGCGCCAGTGGTTACGTCTGCTTTTTTATTTTCATGTTACACGCAGTCTGAATACTCTAAACTACGCAGTCTACACCATTACCACCATGCATAGTCTACATCTGATAGCTATCCCCGAACTTCGGACCCCGTCTCCAAGTGAAATAAATATTAAAAATGATCCATTGAGCCTGGCATCTGTCTAGGCTTGACCCTACATATAATAACTTTAACTTCCAAGCTCGCTTCTACGGGTTACTGAATAGATAAAGATGCCGAAGTATCGAGTATTTGCATGCGGTCAAAACACAGTTTGGAGAGGCAAGAAAAAAAAATGGCGGGTAAACATTGATGCCTAACTCACACATGTACGTCCCATCTGCAGGATCTGTCGTACGATCGCGTTTCTTGTCATATTTCAGGATACCCCCGCGTGCTGCCACGCGTTTTCTCTCTACGATCCGTAAGATGGCCTCTTTCCAACAGCCCATACAGTTTTTTGTAAACATGGACGCATTAAATTAGTATGCAGACCGACTTCTAGTCTTTCAGAAATCTATCTCCTGCATGGTGGTTTTCGCTCGTGTATGACGCGATATGATGAGATGAAGGGGGATCATAAGAACCGAAGATTCGCAGCCGATGGTTGCATTTGACTAGAGACGATATTTTTAGGAGCTACAGTATCTACTCAACTGATACATCATGAGCACCATCTCCCTAGGATGGAGAAATAGTAGTAGACTATTTCGAACAGATACGATGATACGATTCGACTGAAAACTTTTAACCATGCCATAAAAGCTGTTTCTTAGTGGTTTATCCGCTAACAACGTGAACAAACATCCCAAAACGCCATCTTTGTGTCCTTTTGAACAATTGATATAGAGTTTTGTTATTTTCGCTGTGCGGGTCAGAGAAAGCACACAAAAAAGGAAGCAGAAGTGCCAGTGTCTAGACCCTTACTCAACCGAAAGCGGTAAACGACGACAACATGGGCACACACGAAAGGCGTGGTTGAAAACAACAACAACAAATGGCCGCGTTTGTGCTTTTAGTGTCCAACTGTCGTTCTTTTGGGCAGGTCAAGCTTGATGGATTTTATTTTTTCGCCATAATAGTGCATGCATGCTAAGCGAGAGCGATATGGTGCCATATCTCCAATTTCTAGCGCCTTTTTATATTTTATTTTGTTTTGCTCCTTTCTTCTTTTATACAGATTTCATCTTTAAGTCGCTTGATATTTGCATTTCACATAAAGCGCTTATTGCTTTTGCTTTCATGCAAGGCTATTCATATTTTCATTTTGCATGTACATACTCCGTGGACTCTGGAACATCTGTCTGCTTAAAAGTCGAGTTCATGGACCAATACTGGCTTTCGCTTTGATCATCTCGCCTCCACATATCGCGCCCTTTCTTCTTTCTCGGCAAACCCATCTCTAGCCTAGACACTGGTTATAGTTTTAGAAACAAACGCATCAAATGAACAACATGAGTATTGTCTCCCTCCAGATCTATGGCACGCTTAATCAAGATAGAGTGGGCTGTGAGGGAGGACTATGGCTCAACACTTGTCCGGAGATATACGCTTGGTTCTTGATTTCAGTGGTATATTGACATGTATATTTTGTTCAGTTGGTTGAGTGTTCATAGACGGGGCTTGACAGTTGCAGCAATCCATGAAGGCAACAGTTGCCGAGACACATACAATAAATACAACGTATAGGAGGCAGGTCAACAATGAACAACGCAAGTTTTGTTGCAGCTGGACCAAGAGGCGGTCTTCTTTTCCTTTCCTTTTCAACAGCGATACCCGCGTCAATTAATTATGGCGTTTCATACTTCATATAACTACAACATATTTCATATTCACGAAAAAAAAGTCCTAAGATTGCACGCGTGCATGCTCTGAGGGTTAAACTATAATTTTTACGCCGTTTTGATTTGTTGACGTTCAGGCAGAGCCTTCCCTTCGAATGGACGTCTTTACACGCACTCTAACGATGCTCCTAGATAGTCGTCCTTAGCTTTCTTTCATTCTTTGATTCATTTATTCATTCTTCTTTCTTTCTTCATCCTCATGGTTCTTTTTGTCACCCTTTCTTTGGTCCTTCCTGTTGTCCTTTCCTTGACCCTTTCCTTGATCCTTTCTTTGATCCTCACCCTGGTGCTTTTATTCCTGCTTCCGCGCTTTTTTTTGTTTATATTTTTCAAGTATGCAAAGTATCAGGTTGAGCATTGGCCACCCTTCAAACCCCTTCCTATTCGTCTTTCTTTCCTTCTCCACATTTTATATATCTTCCCTCTTGCAATGCCGATCTCTTGCCGCTGTCGATCCCCCAAGTACGCTGCTTTCATGCTCTGGCCTGATGACTATTATTGCCATCATAATCACTCCCCTTTCAGCTGGATACCCAGCCCATTAGTCAGGGTTTCTTCCCATCTCCTCAGTCCAGCACGGCTTACTGATATCGCTAACTGTTTTGTATGCTTATCGCAGGTGCGTTGGTAGTTATTTTCAAGGCTTGTAACGCCATGGCGCCTTTGAAAAGTGTCTGATTTTCTGAAAGTTCATTATTAATCGTACTATCCCATGGTAGCGATGTATGGGTTTCAGCGGATGACGAACACTTACCAATCCATGACCTCGATTGCTGCAGCACATGGAAACACAAACCCCTGCCAGGGGAAGGAATAAGCCACCAATCAAATTGTAGTTTAAATTGAACGTGAGGAGACAATCATTCCTCTTCACCTCAGTCCCTTCTTTTCTTCAAACCCACAACGCCAATATGAGCTTCACCCAGGACGACACCCATGCCATCAACACCATCCGTGTGCTCGCTGCGGACACTGTCTTCAAGAGCAACTCTGGTCACCCTGGTAAGCTCATTCACTCATTCACCGAATGAGGGACGCGTTCAGTTCGCGATCAGTTTCCATGTCTCAGGCGAGCAATTGAATTTAATCCTATGGCTACCCGCCCTGTTTCTTTGCAATCGAAAGGTGCCCCCATGGGTTGCGCTCCCATGGCGCACTTGCTCTTCGCGCATTACATGAACTACAACCCCAAGAATGCCAAGTGGGTAAGTCAGAAAAGGACTTTTCTCTTTTTTATTTTGAATGATCGATCGGCGAAGAATGCGAACTGATGAAAGCAATTGCTTCGGTTTACCATTACTTTTGGTCCATTGGGATACTCCAGGCCAAGCGCGATCGCTTCGTCTTGTCGAACGGACATGCCTGTGCCCTCCAGTACATCTTGCTCCACTTGGCTGGTTACCCTACCAGCATGGATGACTTGAAGGCCTTCCGCCAGCTCAACAGCAAGTAAGGAAACCTCTTTTCATTCCTGCGGTCTTTTTGCTTCGCATGGCAGCCCCTTCCCTTTCCCCCTTGTCTATGGCTGTCCTACTCCCGATAACATGCAACGAATGGTCGACGGCGGGGGCTGGGGGAATGGGAGCGCCCAAAGAAGTTCCCTGATCTTTGCATGTTATTTTCCTCCTTCGATGTGTCACCCAGTTTTTTTTTTCTGTGCCAGTCCCATGAAATCAGATTCCGCCCGTCGTATGCGTTGTGTACCCATACTTTTCCAAACCCCGTTTTTTTTTATCCCACTCCTTCCATCTATCTTTCTTGGGGCAGCTAAGCGAAAAGGATACCCAGCAAACCATTGTCGTTTATCACATTCACGTTTCGCATGGTGTGCTGCATTCTTTGGTTAATGAATGTCCACTAATGCGTTTGAGCCTGTGCCACGTCTGTGCTCTACAGGACCCCTGGCCATCCTGAGTCACATATTACCGTCGGTATCGAGGTCACCACCGTAAGTCCTCGCCGGAATGTTTAGAGCCCCCTTAAATATCGTGCTGGTGTCCGTGTATGACTCCAAGACTCATTCGGTTGACCAATTCTTCATTGTGCGGCGTATCTCAATCATAGGGTCCTCTTGGCCAAGGTTTCGCTAACGCCGTCGGTTTGGCCATCGGTGAGGCTCATATGGCTGCTACCTTCAACAAGCCCGGCTACGAGCTCTTCGACAACTACACCTACATGATCACTGGTGACGGATGCTTGCAGGAGGGTGTTGCCAGCGAGGCTGCCTCCCTTGCTGGGTAAGTTTTTATCTCCTCCGTCCGTTCTACCCCACATCGATCGGCCAGCATTTATCAATTGAGATAACAGGGCAGCTCAACATTTTTTTCTCTCTTTATCTTATGCCTGTTAATTGCGCCCCCAACAGTCACTTGCAGTTGGGCAAGTTGATTGCTCTCTACGACGACAACCACATCACCATTGACGGCGAAACCGAGGTCTCCTTCACTGAGGATGTTGTCAAGCGTTTCGAGTCCTATGGCTGGCACGTCATCGTCGTCAAGGACGGCAACAGCGATTTGGAGGGCATTGCTCACGCCATTGAGGAGGCCAAGAAGGTCACCAACAAGCCCTCTTTGATCAAGGTCTACACCACCATCGGTTTCGGTTCCTTGATGCAGGGTACTGAGAAGGTTCACGGATCACCCCTCAAGGCTGACGATATCGTCCAGTTGAAGAAGAACATGGGCTTCAACCCCGAGGAGACCTTCGCCGTCCCTCAGTCGACCTATGATCTTTACCACGCCAGGGCTGCCAAGGGTGCTGCCCTCAACCAGGAGTGGGACGCTCTTGTTGAGAAGTACTCTGCTGAATACCCCGAGCTCAGCGCTGAACTCAAGCGCCGCTTGAACAAGGACTTGCCCGAGGACTGGGCCAAGGCTCTGCCTCGCTTCACCCCTGCTGACAAGCCCGTTGCCACCCGCAAGCTGTCCGAGGCTGTCTTGAACAAGGTCGCTGACCTCTTGCCCGAGTTGATGATCGGCTCAGCTGATTTGACTGGATCTAACTTGACCCGCTGGAAGACCGCTGTCGACTTCCAGCCCGATAACTCTGGCATCGGTAACTATGCCGGACGCTACCTTCGCTATGGTGTCCGTGAGCACGGCATGTCGGCTATTATGAACGGTTTGGATGCCTATGGTGGAATCATCCCCGCCGGCGCCACCTTCCTCAACTTCATCAGCTATGCCTCTGGTATGTCTCTTCGCGCACTATCTCCTTTTGTGTTGCTTGCTTTGAACGCACTTTATTTTTTTTTCCCCCTTTCCTTCTGTATGAAATCAGTTATGCTAACGTATTTTTTTTTCTACGTCTTTGTGATGAATAGGCGCTGTCCGCCTGTCCGCTCTTTCTGGACACCGTGTCATCTACATCATGACCCACGACTCCATTGGTATGTGTTGATTCGATTCACCCTACTTACAGCACTTCCTCTGCACATAACTTCATCTTGTACATTTGTAAAGGAGCAATCAAGGCAGGATCTGTACTGACCTGGACCCTTCTGATTGTACTAGGTTTGGGAGAGGATGGTCCTACTCACCAGCCTATTGAGACCATGGCTATGATCCGTGCTACCCCCAATCTTGTTGACTTGCGTCCTGCTGACGGTAACGAGACCTCGGGAGCCTACTTGTTCGCCATCACTGCCAAGCACCGTCCCTCGGTTTTGGCCTTGACCCGCCAGGACTTGCCCCAGCTCGAGGGTTCCTCGATCGAGAAGACCCTGCACGGAGGATATGTTCTTCAGGAGGTTGAGGGCGCCGATGTCACCCTGGTCGGAACTGGATCTGAGGTCTCGCTGTGCGTTGACGCTGCCAAGTTGTTGGCTGAGCAGGGTATCAAGGCCCGTATTGTCTCGATGCCCTCGACCACCTTGTTCGATGAGCAGTCGCACGAGTACAGGGCCTCGGTCTTCATTGATGGTGTCCCCACTGTTGCTGTTGAGGCCATGACCACCTTTGGCTGGGACCGCTACGCACATGAGTGCATCGGTATCGATACCTTTGGTGCCTCGGGTCCTTTCAAGGAGGTCTACAAGCACTTTGGACTCGTTCCTGATGTGGTCGCGGGCAAGGTCGAGAAGATTGTTGCCTTCTACAAGAAGGAGGGCTATGTCCCCTCGCTTGTTCGCAAGTACTTTCACTAAATGTGTGAGGGTACCGGTGGGAGCGGGAGAGGAGTAACATAGAACGTCTTGATGACACCCTTCCTCCATTTCTTTCTCTTCACTCCTTCTCTCTCTTTTTCTCTCCTTCATCCTTCCGTTTATCCCTACGCATCCTACACCATTCTCGATAGAGATGAATAACCATTGTTAAAAGCACGTTGTAAATAAAAAAAAGTAATTTTTTTCAAGTCTTGATTCTCAAATGTGAGATGGTTTTCGAATGTCCAAGTGGTTTATTATCTATCCTTATCCAGAGATCTCTGTTAACTCGATCAACTTTTCGTGCGAAAACTGTTCGGGTCTTTTATGAAAGTCGTGCAAGAGCTGGAGTTTCTCCTTGTGATCGCTGACATAGTACTGCTGCAGACCGAATGTCAAGATCTGGGCCTGGTCCGGGGTGAGGATACGGGGGTCGGTCGAGATGGATCCGTTCATGAGGACGATATTCTTGGAATCGATCAGCTCTGGGTAGTGAGTGAGGGTCAAGAAGGGACGGGCGTTCTCTCCGTGGGTCTTGTATTCGAGCAAGGAGGTGAAGATCACCTGATGGAAAGAAAACTGCAGCAAGTAGAACTCCACGCCGTCGCCGTGGGACAGTGGCAGCAGGAACTATTTTTTTTTTTTTTTTTTTGTTTCAAGAACAAAAAGCGATAGACGTATTTCGTTTTTAGTAACAATAAACAATATGGAGAAGATGTTGAAGAACCTGAGAAAGATGGATAAGAACTGTACCAGTGGGTATTCCTTGGACCGAGCCAGCATCTTTCTGTAGGTGTCCGCAGGCACGACGGCCGAGATGGTGTCCTCCTGATCGATGTGCTTTTGAATCCAGATCTTGCCGATATCCTCTACGTTCAAATCCTTAACCAACTCCAGCTTCATGATCTTGTCCAGTGACTAATGTAGATATACGCACAACGTAGATAATGTAGTAGAGCAGGTCAGCGATATGAGATCCCCGATTCCTCCTTGTCATGGTCGAGTGGATAATCGATCCTCACACTCATGTTCATTTTTTTTTTTTTTTTTTTTTTTTTTTTCAGTTCTGCAAGCTGATAAGCAAGGATCAACACGTACAGGATTTCCAGATTCCGAAGCTTTTGAAGGATCGACAGTAGCGTTAGCGGTGGGGGTTGATGCATCCTTGGTCTTCTCCTGACCCTGCTGTTCTACACTCCTGCTCTCTTCAACCTTGGGCTCCTGGGGCAGCACATTCTTGAACGCCGTCTGAGTAACTGGGAGCACCTTTGCCTTCAACTCCTCGATGGTCGAAACACCCTCCCTATCAAAATTCGCATAGTAAAAATCCTCTGTTAGTCAATAATTCTCAGAGGCCACAAAGGAGGGTCAAGTGGATGGGGGGTTGTTGAGGAAGCCATCCATAGGAACCTCGACTTCTCTTACTCTTGTGCCTTGCGCTTCAGCTTTTCGGCGTATTTTTGTGTGTAGTCAACATGTTTTGAGCGGAAGAAGATACGACCGTTGGCAATGGTCGCGAGTTTTGAGGACTGAGAGGAAGGATAGATAGAGGTACGGAGCCGTGGTGAGGCAGCCCCAAAACGGGAGGATGCTGCGAAGAGGGAGCGGAAAGCTGATGCCATGGTCTGCAGAAAGAGTTGAGTGGAGGGAGAATGGAGAGGACGAATGAACATAAATGAACCTTGGTTCCCCCTGAAACGAAGATCTGTTTTCATGAGTAACAAGCCACCTCTTGGTACCTGCGCTCCTCCCCCGCCCCCCCCAGGCTTCGGAACGGGTCTCTCTGGTTGGACAAGAAGCAATTGAGCCTTGGGAAAGCCTTTTGCAAATATCATATATTGAAACTGGCTCCGTTTTATAATATCCTCGCTGTAGCTAATTGCAAGGATTCGGTATGGAGTCATGGATCGAACATTATATCTTTATTCTTTCACTATGTGGATATTTTCTTGTCTCCTTCAGAACTGGTTGTTTGTAAGTTCAGGCAAGAGCATATGCTCTCCCAGGGGCACACACGTCCCATCGGGCATCGTCAGCGTAAAGTCCGTGGTCACCCACTGCTTCGCCGGACGGACCGCCACAAAATGTACTCTTCCCTCGGCTTTATCCCCCCGGACCTGGTATTCGATATCGACCCGTCCCTTCAGATGGGCAACCGTACCCGAGATCCAGGGCCAGCTCTTGTTCGTGAAATCAATATTATCACCGAGCAATTCCTGTGCCTTGGTATCGAACTTGACATTGAAGAGTGTACCTCGGACGATGCTCGTGCCCTGACGTTGGTGATTCGCGGCTACGGCCACGGATCCAGCCCAGAAGGAGACACCAAGGACGCCGAGGAGGATGTAGAGAGGCGTGCGCGAGGCCACACTAGGGAGTTGAGTTGTTTGAGCCCTGAACTGGGGGCTGTGTTGGGACTGGTTGAGGCCTGAGGTGCTTTTGAAGGTAGGGTTTTGAATAAAAGTCGAGGTCGGTTTCGAGGGGTTGCTGTTGGTCGTGGTGGATGTGTAGGATCGGAGGGAGGCGTGATTAGCAAAAGAGAACCGGGTGCGGGATGCAGCAGCTGTCCGGGAGCTGTTCAGAAGTGAGCGCTGAAGACCAAGAGTCATGGCGGTGTTGAGTCGTGAGCAGGATGCCATGGTGTGTATGAGCGATGAAGGTGGAGCTGGATCGCTGATCAGTGTTAGGAAGTAAAGACGAGAAGGAAAGAGAGTTTCGCGGTCACATCCGGGGGAAGCGTGAAAAAAAACCTTGTTCCTGAAACACGCCTGGACGCGTTTGAAACACCTTTATCTGGTGGAGTATGGGGACGCATGCCCTGATGAAGCAGTTCTTTGCGTCCTGGGTTTATACACTTAGTGTCAACGCTCGCTCGCTGTCAACGGTTGTTGACATTCATTGCCGCCATCTATGAGCACCAACTGCGGCTGCGGATAATAATGAGAACAAATGACATCCGTCATCATGGTTAAGAGCACCGCCAAGGGCTGGGCTGTGTGCACAGTAAACACTCCTTGTTAGGCCAACAACACCAATAGAGACAGCAAACACAGCTGCTGCTGCGGATGGTAACCTTTATCTGCGCAGTAGGATATGTCCATCTACGCCAGGGTAGGACGCAGTAAGCTACGAGGGACAACGGTCGAAGGGGAGAATGCAGGCCCATCAGAATCATTGGATTTTTCTTTGTTTCCACATCTTTTACCACTATTCTTCCTCGCATTCTGCTGCTGCGCATCTCGTTGCTCATCCTGAATCTGGACTCATTCTGACAAACCAACCCAAAAGTGATGTAGATTCAAAAAACTGCTGAACACTTGCTTGGCACAGCACAGTCGACTCTCCCCTTTTTTTCGATCGTGTTTTCACTCCGCCCAGAGCTCAATTGCCGCGGACAGCCATAGCCAACGACGAAAAGCAAAAAAAAAAAAAAAAAAAAAAAAAGGCGGCCTTCAATGTATTCGTGCTAACATTTTCCTTCGACATTGTACAAGAGCAAAGTACTCTGGGAATGTGGGTATGCAGTGTGAATTGATGGAGTGGAGAGGCGCTGTTCAACAGACCGCCATCACAAACTTGACAGATACACTCGGCCATTGAAGATAACAGGAATGCATTGAGCGCCTGAAAATAGATAGGTAGGTAGGGTTGTTGTTGCTGGCACAAATGGCTAATGGCCAGTGGTCAGTCGCATTCATCCAGGTAGGAGGATGACAGATCAGTTCAGGCAACACGGGCTAAGCGTAATTCGAATAAGGAATGTTTGAATTGAATTCAATTGCTGCACACGAGCCGCGTTTTTCTGTGCTGCGGGATGCCAAGTACAGAATAAGTAATTGAAGTTCCTTGGTAACCTCTTATTTCCGATAGGGCCATTGCCATTTCTCACTTCCTTGTCAACGCTTGCTCTTGCTATTGCCACTGTTATTGTTATTGTTATTGTTATTGGATCCCTTTCGACCCACTACCGTTGTTATTCAACCTGAATGAATTATGGGGAGAAAAAGTATATATGACTCTCGCTGCCCGCCTCATTACCATTCACCATTAGCCATTAGGCAATTCCACTTTGCGCACACTTCCAAAACACTCCCCATTCCACCCACCTCATAGTCATCGTCTGACGCATTGCACTCTCAACCCTCTTTTCGAATCACGGATTTCGAATCTCGTCTTTGGTAATGCATTAACTGGAGCCGCCCGTGCGAAAGGCGCTGCTTGTCTATATTAAGTTGTGTGGTGCCATGCTTGTCTCCCCCCTGGAACACATTGAATTACACGTCTAGGCACCGCGTTCCTCATTTTGACTACCCTCTCCAATTACCCAGTTCCTCCTTTAATCGCCTGCCGCCATGGACCCACCGAACCCTCTTAACATGCCTGAGATCATCACCTTGATCGGCCATTGTCTCCCGCTCTGGAAGTACAGTGAGCGCCTGGGTTTTTACGACTACACTCCCAAGACACTGCTCTCCTGCACGGCCGTCAACAGCACATGGCGCGACGCCCTTTTACCGGTAATCTGGTACGTCTACAGCGGGTTCGTGATGCGGTCGATCCCCAAGGAGGTCATAATCAAGAACAGTCGGTTCTTCCGCGTCTTCTTCTACGATCGATCCTTCTCTGGCCCATTTGAGTGTATCCACCTCAGAGCCCTGAACATCTCCTGGTGGAATCGGGAACTGTTGCCACTGGTCGAGGCCAATGCTGGAGCGCTCGAGAACCTGGTCCTCAAGGGCTCGACCTCACCATCGCCGATGCGGGCCATGACCCTGCCCAGCCTTGACTACGATTTGTTCATGAGAATGACCTCGACTCTCGAGGAATTGCAGCTCTCCCATTGGACCCTGTCTGGCCGTCAATTCGTCAAATTCTTGCGCGCGTGCAAGAGACTGAGCCATCTGGTCTTTGTGGCGATCGAATGGACTGATCCTGCACTCGTAGATCCTCAATATCATCTCCAGGCGGTCCAAGGGTTGACAGATCTTCAATTGGACATCAGCGTATCTAAGAAGGATGCCTTTGTGGATCTAATTCGATCCTGCCCCGATCTGAAACGCTTCTCACTCTATTCCGAGAGCGCTGACGATGCACGAACGCTGATCCCGGTCCTGCGAGAGAGCTGTCCCAAGCTCATGGCCATCGAGTACGTGGCACGATTCAGCTCGGCTCTAAACGGGTATGACCTGCTCTCAGATACAGAGTACTCGGACCTGGTGCTCTGCTCCGGCCGGATAGAATCGCTCAAAGTCGATATTCCCTGTCTAGACAACGCCATGACCAAGGCGCTCATCACACAGTCCTCAACCTTAACCTCGCTCACATTGAGCTTCATCAGCCTTCGGAGTGTGCCCATGATCGATGCTGAGAACATCTGTCTAATCTTGAGGCACTGCATTCGTCTCCGAAACCTATCGCTCTTGTTCAATCCACATTCGCTCGGCAAGAATGAGACGTTGAGGATATTTGACCAGCCCTGGTCGTGCGTAGAGCTTGAAACCTTGGAGTTGACAGATGTCAGCATGGCGATGGAGCACGGATCGCCCTCAAACGATCCTCAGCCGCCACCACTGCAGCTCCAGCCATACCAATGGAGACTAGGTTCAGCACCACAACTGATTCCTATCGACGGAAATAGAGTAATCCGATACGGATCGATGACAAAACAAAAGCTCTTTCAACAGGTTCGCATGCTGCCAAAGCTGACGAGGTTGAGCCTGAACCATATTACGTACTCGGTGGATGGGTTTGGGAGCAGTTCTGGTTGAGAGTGAAGGACCCCAGATCTTCCCAGGGATGCTCAGGATAACAAAAGAATGCATAGTCATCATATAAGAGGCGGTTATAAAAATATAAGGTTATATTGTAAAAAAACATTTCGTCGTTCTCGTATTGGTGTCCTACTCTTTTTAATAACCTTGCAGTCCCACCATGACCTTTGGACACCTAGTCTTTTATCGATAAGGCCCGTCATTAATCATCTTTCTCGGTGGAGCGAGTCGGTAATACCTTTAGAAATAGTCCTAGGGAACGGAAAATTCGATTTCTCCAGCTCAAGCGTAGATTTAATAATGGCTAGCTTGTGTATTTATTTGTTTGTTTGTTTGGCATATTTTCATAACGGTTTAGACGATCTGGGAATGCATGCATGCATGCATGACCTCCAGCCTAACGTTCACTCACCACCAATGACGCGTCAATAATTAGGAGAAAAAAAATCAATTGGACTGTATTGCACATCAAACGAAAAAAAAAAAAAAAAAAAAAAAAGATCTTGCAGCCATCCAACGGCGCAAGCATTCCGTCGAGACTCTGGTTCTGAGTGGTCCGGGTGATACCGCTGCAGTAAATGGATTCAACCAACCGTTTCTTGAGCGACGAAAATAAGTCGCTATAAAGATAAAATAAATGCAATGTAGACATATTTTGGGGCAACGCCGCCAGTGCTTCTTTACTTCCAAATCTCAGAACACACAACGAAGTCTGACCATGGACACCATTCCATTGCTGCACATCCCTGGCCATAGCGGCTACTTTATTCATCTTTATTTACACCTTCATTATTCTATTCAGAACAACCTAATGTTCTGAATAGATATAACCCGTCTATTGAGCCGCCTCGAACTCACGCTTAACGCTCTTCAAGAAGCCCTCGTCTAGAATGCACTCTAGCCCAGTTATGGCCAGACCCTTGGCAGCCCTCATGGTCGCAATATGACCTATCGGCTGAGCGGCAGCTGCAGCAAAGTCCTTAGTATGCAAATTGATTGACGGATCTTCCTTGCCTTCCAGGTTTAGGATGTTAAACATTGGATGGATCCCGGGAAGGGCGTACGTCACGTTGCCCATGTCTGTCGATCCAGATACTTTGGACAGCTGTTCCTCCTTCGAAGGATAGTGCACGCCCTGGGCGTTCATGTACTGTTCGAACTTGCGGGTTAGATGACCGTTCGTCCTAATGTCTATTGTCGAGAAGAAAAAAAGTTTTGTTGTCAAAACGCGAGTATCAAAATGTTTTCTGAAACGTAAGAAAAACGGTGTTCTTCACTATGGCGGCGCAAATTTTATCAACATCGTACATACCCTTGTAAGGATTACCCCAAGTCAGCTTAACGGTGCATCCTGTTGCAGTAGCTGCGCCCTTAAAAATCTTCTCGACCCTCTTCTTCAACACCTTGACCTCCGAGTACTTGGGCGCGCGCACCGTATAAGTCGAACGCGTGTAATCCGGAATGATATTCGCGGCCTTGCCACCATCCTTAATGATTCCATGGACGCGCTGTTGAGGCCGCATCTGCTGACGCATCAGACCAATATTCGTGTAAGTCAAGACAGTAGCGTCAAGGGCATTGATACCCTCCCAGGGCGAAGCTGAAGCGTGTGAGGCCTTTCCAAAGAACTCGACATCGACGGTATCGAGGGCCAGGAAGGCGGGGTAGATGACATCAGAGCTCGAGCCGTGAAGCATCATACAGACATCCACGTTCTTGAACGCGCCCTTCTCCAGCATCACGATCTTTCCGCCTATGCGATGGTGAAGGTGAAAGAAGTTCTTTGGTTGTAAGATAGTGTGCGGCTATGACGAGGAAGTTACATGTGTAGAGTGATCAATAAGCACGGTATGTTTTTCCTCACCTGAGGTCTCTTCGGCGGGTGTGCCAAACAGCTTTACCTCAGCTTGGAGGTTAAATTTCTCGATGACGGCCTTAAGGCCGATAGCTGTCGCCACACCAGAGATAGCAATCAAGTTGTGACCACAGGCATGTCCGATCCCGGGCAGGGCATCATACTATCACGCGAAAAAAGGGTGCCAAGGTGAACATTCAGCTTCCAGTATTCAGGACTCCGTAATAAAAAATTGATCATTTTTGAAAGAAAAGAAAAAAAAAAAAAAAAACACTCACTTCAGAGCAGATACCGATGGTGACCTTGTCCGAGCTTCCCGCCCTGGCGACGAACGCCGTGTCCAATCCATAGGCCTTGCGCTCAACCTGGAAGCCCTTCTTCTCCAGGTAGTCCGTCAGAAGCGCATGGGCCTTGTACTCCTCATAACTCAGTTCTGGGTTCTCATGAAGCTGGTTACAACGTAACGTGGACGCGTTAATAATTATCCTGGTAGCTCCGTTTTCGATTCATAATTTAAAAGAGGATCAGGGTCCTCGCTTGATATGCATACACACACACCTTCAAACTGATCTCGCGAAGCTCTTTAGAAACAGATCCGATAGCTTGCTCGATCGTTTTAGCAAGTTCATCCTGCTCCCAAAGCACAGACAGCTGAGTCTCGTTGTTGCTGACCAAAAGCTGGCTCATGTCCTGTTGCAAAGAGTCGTATGCTGGTAGGAAGGACGAGATCAGGGTGCTGTTGCTGCCATTGTTATTGTTGGTCATCTCGCCATACGCCTGGACGTCCTTCTCCTAATCACCAAGAATTGGACATGCGTATGGGCAAAAAAAAAAAAAAAGAGTGAACAAAGGCTGTGCAATCCATTCTTTCAATGGCTCGGCATTGCTGGGACAAATCACTCAATGGTTCTCAGAGGTGGCCTCTACGCCCAGCAATAAAGACTTTACGCTGTTGATCTGCTCCTGGTTGCCGGAGTCGTTGGTGCTATTGCCAAAGAGACCCTTGAAGATATCAAGACATCCAGCGCTAGCGGTCGCCTGTGGAGGCGATAAAGGCGAAGAGGTGGAACCGGTTTTCTCAGAGGACATTGCGTGGAGGAGCCAGAATGAGAATGAGGGTGAGAATGAGAGAATGAAGTTGAGAGAATGGAGAAGAGCAAGGAAAAGGACCATGGGAACAAACACATTCTTCTGCAAAGCGCTGGGAGCAATTGGCCCGGTTTGCGAATAAGGTTACTGCATTGATTTCCTGAAAAGGCGCCGTTGTCGTTTCAGCCGTGAAACGGAATCGTCGCCAATGCATCGTTAGCATGATACGACCAATCTATTCGTCTTTTGTGTTCTTTATTTGTTTTATATATTTACTTAGAATTAATCCACTTTCGTCGTCGTCATTCTCTAGTCGCGTGGCCAGATACCCAGATCCTGGAAATCTGTGATGATCTCACGAAGACTCTCCGTCGTCAACTTGGGGTGTTCGTATGTGAATCCGGTGGCTGTGCAGATCTTGGTGCCGTCCAACGAAACGGCATTGTTGTAGAGCAATTCCTGGTCCAGGTATGGCGTCAAAGGCGATGTCTTGATGTTATATGCTTTCAAGATATCGGACCATGGTGCCAAGTGCATCTCGTTGATCTCTTCTGTTGCTCCCGACATGTCCAGCTGTTGTGTAGGTAGTCATTGGAAGAGTTAGTTAGCACCGGGCTGTTTCGTACATTCTTGCGCTAAAATGCTCAAGATCGGCATCATTGTGGAGGAGAAGCTAGAATTGCCGTGATTACCTTGACCATTTGGGAGACAATTGTTCCCTGGAATCCAGTCTCAATGCCGAAAATAGCGCGAATGTGAGTGTTGATAGCTTCCTGGTCTGTGTAGACGAACAGAAAATAAGCACAAACATGTCAGTAGACGCTCATCAGTAACTGATTCCGGTATGAACAGCATTGATTGACCGATGTTCCACAACTAAACGTACCAGTGTCGTTATCGTCTGCGAGGTTGAAGATGACGGGGGTTCCCTGCTTGTCGTTGCTGACATACCAGTTGGCAGAGTGCCAGACTGCCCTTGAGACGTCGTCGACATGGACGGTGTTGATGCGCAGGTCTTTTGTCCACAAGAACTCCATCTTTTTCTTCAAGTGCTGGTATACGCGACCGCAGATCAGTCTGGGAGCTGTTTGGTACATTGACAGGAGAAATAAAGCATATTAGCGATCCAGACGAGAATGGTGAGTCATAATGGGATCTTCTGGCCGGTCAATGCCCCACGTACTGAGTCCACCCGTGGCGCCGGTTCCGTAGATGACTGCAGGGCGAAGGATGATTAAATTCAGTCTACGGCAAGGAGCGAATTAATAAATGGTTAGCACGTGGCGTGTTGTTGTTTTTTGGCCATGTCCATGATCCGCATGACATCATGCAGCCGCTAGTGGCGATCAATGGTCCAGGTACATCGACTGAGATAAAAAGGCTAATGATCGGTTCAACCCCTACCCTTCCATATTTTGGAGCTCGTTATCGACCTTCAGCTTGTACTGGGCCATCTGGTTCCAGGGCTTTGTCTTCGAGTCTTCCTTGCTTGCGGTCTAAAGCGTTAATGCAGGACGTATCCATGAGCGATCTGGTTCTGCTCCAGAGATATTATGGAGATTAAACTAAATAAATCACAGTGCCCGAGTGACTTACCCCGGTGCTCTCGTAAATATCGCCTGTTGAGATCTGGACAAAGACCTTGGCATTCCTCTTGACGGCTTCCTTTGCACAGTTGATCGACAGCCTGTAGATGCGGTCCTCATAAATCTAGCGAGAACAAAAAAGATTGATTTGATCAGGCATCCGTCTTTTTTTCTTTCTGGTTCACTGCCGATATGGCAGTCCAGACTGACGAGAATAGAGTTCGGCGTGGTACAAGAGATGAGACTATGCGGAATTTTTGATTCTTTTTTTCCAGGGGAATGTGAAAAAAAGAAAGAACCAGCATCCTGCGCAAAAAAACAGGGGCAGGAGAGGAAGATCGCTTGCATCCACGGAATGTCCTGTCCAACAAATAGGCGGCCGTTGCTCACCCAACAAGCATCGGCATTGTGGATATGAAAAAGGCGTTTGCCCTCGAGATTCTGTATCCCAATTGTAATGAATAGAGAAAAAAAGTTGCGTCCGCCACATGCTCCGTTATGGTTTCGCTTTCTTCTCGAATCGTCCCATCCAATGGCGTGGTTGTAAACCTTTCCAGTTACCATTGGAAAAAAACCCCCCACTTCCGGCTGGACAATCTCCATGACGCCCGTGGCACTACCGTAGGATCTGGATCGCATTTCCCCTCCTTCCCTCCCTCCCTCTCTTCCCTCTCCTCTTGACCTATTTCTCTCTCGCTTTCCCTATTTTTACCCCTTGATCCTCAAGGTTCTGTAACAAGGCTTATGGCATCAAGACCACAAGTATGCTTATTTTTTTATGACATCCGACGGCATCCCAAGGTTTGGCTCCTCTTTCGCTCTCAGCTTGAAAGAAAAAAGCAGGGAAAGGAGCAGAAAGAGATCATCGGGACATGCAACCCGGATTTTCTCACAGTCCGACGCAAAAGGCTCTGTCTTTTTTTTTTTTTCCCTCTCTCAGCCACCAGTTCTTGTGGGTGCATGCATGGCGAAGAGTTCTATTCAGTTGTTCTAGAATTCGACAACTTAATATCTTACCTCCTCCGGTTGAGAGAATTTGGTCTCAGCTGCGAAGTTTACCACATAATCGAATGAGGAACCATCGGCGCGGGTGAAGCACTTTTCGACAGAGGCTGCGCGAATGAAAAAAAAAAAAAAAAAAAAGATAATATCATAAGGGATAAGCAATTGCCGAATGCAATTAAGTGTATTCGGGAATAGGGGGTGGGGAACAATAGACAGACGTTGCAGGGAGGTTGACAAAGGGGATTTACCTGTGTTGGAGAGATTGCCCTGCATGAATTCGACCTTCTCAAAGGCAGCCTGGAACCGCTTGTTGAGATAGGCAGTCTGGGGGAGGACCTTGTCGATAACTCTGATCTCGGCAGCGAGGTTGTTCTCTACCAGATAGGCGACAAAGTTGCGACCGACGAAGCCGACCCCGCCGAGGACCAGGACTGTGGGTTGTGGGGACATGGTATTGTTAGTGTGAAAAATATGCTTGGGGGGATGGACGAAAGTGGAGGAATGAGAGGAATGAGAGGCGAGTTGGGATGAGAAGTCGGAGGGGTTGATCAGCAAAGACAGGATATGTTCTGGGAAGAGTTGGGAGTGGGGGAGGAAAGAAAGGAGAGAAGGAAGTAAAGACGAGCACGCGGCGGAGGTGCTTCTTTTAGTGTTCTGTTGAGCATCTCAGCTTCTTCCCTGCGGAGAAGAGGGGGGACATGCTGCACGATGCAGGACCCACCCGTAACAATTTGTCCAACCCAACTCGCCTCCGCCTCTGCCCTCTGCTGCAAGGGTTGTCGTCATGCACGCTAGTCCGCCCACTTCCCACTCCCCACTCCCCAATTGGCAATGCCGCCCCTGTCTGTCCCTGGAGATGCACGCATGTTGTTTTTCCTGTTCCTGCGTCGCTCGATCAAACATGTTTATCTGCCATCTAGTCTTTCGTCACTGCAAACCAGTACATAAACCTATAAACTTGTTAGACCCGTAAACATTATTTCTTGTGGAGAGTGGAGACCATTCCTTCTTTCCCCTCTCGACGGTTACACATGCCCTAGTGCCCTGGTCACCCCACGGAAAGATAGGCAACTCACCCATCCACCCATCCACCCATCCATAACGCAAAAAATGCCATGGTCTACATACTTGACCATCTCCACTGCGGGCAAATATACTCCAACGCAGCCATTATTTCTTCCGGGGCATACCAATACTGCGAACACCTCGGCTGAGGTTCCATGTACCCAAGCCAGGCTCAGATCCACCTCGGCTGAGTTTTTGGGCACATGGCAATCTAAATGCTGGTAGTCTAATCTTAGGTATAGATTTATTATTCGCCCCCCTTCCTTCATAAAGAGGAACCAGTCGGCTTTGTCATGTCCTCTATCCTGAGCTCTTGTGCGTATTATCAGTCTATAATATTACGTGATTAGAACCTGGCTCCTGACGCTCAACTAGACCTGAGTATCTTCTATTCCTGGCACCATTGCAATAAATCACGTTGCCCTCATAGATTGGACACGAAATTGGCTGTATGCATGTACCCTTGCAGAAAATAACCATGGGAACCAAGAAAAAAAAAAGAAACACTCTAGTATACTAGGTTGTTGTCCCTGAATAACGGAATGCAATAAAGAACTTCTTGTAACCACACGCTCATGAAACATTCCCTACCAGGCATTGCTGGAGACCGTATTTCAATCGTTGTGTTGATCGTTTACGTCGTCTCGGCTAAATCGACATAACAGCATCGTTATTGGATTAGGATACATTTTCCTGAGGAAAGAATGTATACCAGCACTGTCCCTGGTCGTGAGCGCAGGGATGGAAATGAGATAACGGAATGAAACAATAGATATTTATTCCAGCGCAACATTGTATGGCACGGCAAAACGAAATAGCGAGGGCTTCTGTTTTTTACGTCATGTTCTCAATGTCGCGTAATTGGATCGACCTCCATGGCCCGACGATGTGGTGCTCAAGGCATTGCCATCACTCCACTGCTTCCTTTCCATGGTCAATTCCTGTTATGCACCATTTTTTGCCCTTAAAAGTATATCTCCGCGCGCGTAGCATGCGTCCTCTGAAATGTTTTTGGACCCGGGAACTGAGTATGAGTATAGACAGTGGCTGCACCTGAGAGAATGCTAAAGAAGATGACCTCGTGCTAGAAGGAAAGATTGTAAAGGATCCTTCCTCGAGACAATGAACATCCATGAGGACCAGAGATCGCACTGCGACCGAGGAAAGAACATAACTAGTGGCGAGAGGGGGTTACTCGACGATTGACGTTGACACGAGAGAAAGAAGGAATATTAGAGAGACCACGGAAAAGGGATCTTTTGCGTGTTTTGGATATGAATGGAAAAGCAGACTTTTCTTAGCATAAATTCAAGGGGGTCCACCGCAAATCACAAAGAGCAAGTGCTCGTTGCAGGCTGCCATCCGATAGGCGAGCGCAGAGTAAACTATATGATAGATCCGTCTCGAGATTAGATCTACCTGCTCCAGACTACTCACCAGTAGATCGCCGAAGTAGAAGCCAACAATGCAGCCGACGCCCAATACTCCGGACGCGGACTTATGCAGGTAGGCATCGAGTGAAAAATGGATCTACAGTCTCCACTCAGATATGTAAATATGGCATTTGATTCGCACTGTTGACTCGGTCTCAATTGTGCGGGTTAAAAGATGGGTAGGAAAGGAAAGTGAACCACTGCTATGCTGTTTCTGTAGGTCAATAGAGGTTCCCAAGCTTTATGCTTCCAGATATATCACTCTCATGCCCGTTCGAGCGACGATTGGTAATTGCTGAACCCAATAGTAGCATCCTGGTATCCTCACCGAGAATATTAATGCGCATGCAACGAAAACGATAGAGCAGTACAAGGCAAGCAACTTGGTAGGGCCCTGGTGGTATTTAATAAGCTTCGAGAATAAGAGCCGGGCGCTATAGAAGAAGAGTCGCAGGATGAAGCTAGTTCCAGTGACGTTGAGGAACCGAACATCCTGAAATATTATTTAGCTCTTAGGATGGTGTTCTTGGGTGTGTCTTGAAACTCACTGTGGCGAATTTCCATTGTTGGCAAGAAAAATGGTGGAGTTCGATACAGCTTTTAAGCCTACTCATGCAATGTATGAGGAGATGTCAGAAGAAGTGGTATGGCGAATGGGAGGCAGCAGTGAAGAAAACTGCCCCGTCGATGCCTTCTGATGCTCATGGCTTTTACGTTTCCATGCAAGTTTTTGTGAATAAGGCAGCCGCAGTTGGCCATTGCATTTTAGTTATAGCTGTGAGGTACTATCGCGTGGATCCTGTAGGTGGGTCCGCGGACAGTTTAAAAAACGGTAAGTATTTTAGTTAAACCAATGTTGAACGCCACGTTAGTTATTTGATGATATTGTCCGTTCTCAGCCAACCACGAGGTTGATTGCGCGCCCCAAGACGTGTATCCGAAAAGACCGGTGCCCTTTTGCATCCAACTTCTGTATGAGAACACATTGCTGCAATCGTCCATTGTCCGTATATTGTCAAGTAAGCGCTTTCAGTGCATCGTCGGCGTAGCGGTATCTGGAAAGGCGTTGATCGACGAGCATGCACAATGCGATGAAGAACATAGGCATACTTCTTACATGAGCCCTGGGACGTGTCAAGAAAAAGAAGCTTTTGAAATGGGTCGCTCTTTGCTCTCTTTTTGATCATAAGGTATCATGCATTCACAAAGATAAAACGGTCTACTCGTAGCGTTTGGCATAGCCTATTATTTTGTTTTCCCCCTTGCTTTGCTGCATGTGTCAAATTGTTTTAGGAGACACAGCCCATTTGACCGCGATTGCTGTGTTGTACTAGAGGCCTGTTAGAGCCAATAATACAGTTCATATGTCGCCTTCGCTGAATCACACTCACTTATGATGAATCAGGCAGCTACTCTTTAGTGTTAAAGATGCGCCCATGTAGACGGCTCCATGTCCACATTCTGGGAAAGGAAAACAGTGCTCCAGTGAAATGAATCAACTGTTGAAGAAAGGGTGCCTCGACTTGTTGCTGACCATATCGCTAATTCCTGAAACAAAAACCTGAACTATACAAGTGATTCGCAGAACAATCGAGAAGGTTGTTCTTGCAGCGCTTTGATAAAAAGAAGGCGCATTGAATGAAGAGTGGCCTAGCTTAGCATATCCTCGGATACGACTGAAGAAGGAACTGATGGTACATCCCTGGACGCGCTTGCTTGCTCGCGTCATTCTTCAGCTCTGGATAGTCGTGTTTCGCGTCTCTGCCGTGCAGCAATCGTCCTTTGAGATGATCAAAATTCACTGAGGTTTTATGACACTAGAAACCAAATCTCCAAAATGGATTCTGCTTGCTGAGTGATCCGTTAGAAGTATCTTTGTCTCCGTCATATTGCCTTTTGAACCGAGCTTGGTTAACGAAGGGAAGTATAGGGATGGGTCGTTTCAAGATAACCATCCTCCTTCAATTGCTAACCGGTCCAATGAAGAAAAATTCAGCTAAAACAAAGGGTAGGGGGCATTTAGTTTGATAAGTTTTTTGGATTCCAACTCTGGGTTGGAGGACAATAAAATACATTGGCATGCTAGTCTAGGAATTGATGGGCGCCTCGAGTGTTCTAATCCAATTGAGCGAAAAAGTAAAGTTGCCACGTTGTTGCGCTGCGAGGTCAAAGGGTGCGAATCCTGGCTCACCGTGTCGTTTCTTCAGTTGTTCACAACAGCCCTGTTACCAGTCCGTCGAGCTCTGCGCTGTTTCCGGTCGACTGTTTCTCCACACCGTTGACATAGGCTGTGTACTTGATCATGGTTGAGGGTAAAACTTCGACTTTGCCACCAAATTCGTAAAATTCCGCATAATTGACCAGAACAAAGGGAATGTCCGTAATGTTACCCCTCTCCAGCGCCCTCGCACAAACGTGCATCTTGTGTTCGGCAATTTTTCCCCAACTAAAGGACATCCGATATTCGTGAGATAGAGTTGTGGAAAAGAAGGGGTGGTCAGGATTTGTTGACGGCGCATCTCGCTATTTTGCTGTCCATTCCATGATGTGAAGCGCCCCCAGTTCTTCGGTGGTTAAGGTTCGGGCGAGGGAATGTGACACAATCCTCTGCTTTCATTCTTCAAACCCTTGGGTCAATCGTCCATACATCTTTCATGTACAACAATCCTTCTGTCCCGCCATGCTCCGATTGAGGGTGAAGTTATATTTAGTGGTAGCGATTGTACGGGTGGGTCGAAGAATCGGATGAAATGTCCCTCCTGTTCTACTTTCGACGCTCAATAGAGCGCAGTAAACGGAAGCGTGCAACGATCACTGCGGCACACAGCAACATAGGGAAACTTACGGCATGGCATAGCTGTAGTAGAGTACGACGGCCTTCTTGCTGCGGGTAAGAACCTCATCGAGCTCTTCTTGGGACTTGCAGACATTGATGATCGAGGACACCTGTGGAGTCATGTTTCTTCGTTTTCGTTCTTGTGCGCCACGGATTACAGGGGAGAGTGATGGTGTAACGTTGCTGGGAAGAATGCCCTAATAGTGATTGTTCGATGAGAAGCTGCGTGATGCGACGCTGGTCCTGTTTGCTTTGTTCCAATGATGAGGAGCGGAGGACTGGAGGTGCAATGGATATGCAGCCGGCGATGATGACTAAACGGGCGGTTAAAAAGAGAATAGTGATGAAATGGGTTGGATGGAGGAAAGGGCAGGCTCGAGATTAGGCATACCTTTATATACTCTGAGGGTTGCTCGATGTGTTTTTGTCCAATCTCAGTACTTACGCTCTCTATTAAACTACCAGTAGCCCAATAGTATTGTTTGCCTTTGGATGACTCGCAACAACCGCGACAACAACAACAACACAACAATAATAATAATAGTAATTAAACGCAGCGACAAAGATATCAACATAGCTCCCAACGGCGTGTTTGTTGTCCGAACGCTTCTGCGTGCCCGCAGCCCAGCTCTCCATGTCGACTATTGCCGAAGTTTCCTTATGGTCCCACTGTGCACACTGAGTTGTTGTCGACGCTGCTGCTGCCAGGAAACCAGATAAGTGGAGCTCAGATGTGTACTATTGAAAGTGCAAAGCAAAGGGAATTCATTCGCGCATAAAATCCGTCTTTCAGAAGCCCAACAAGCAAGGATATATCCATGCAGCGGCTCCTTGCTTCATATAATCAACTAGTTGCACAGAAGCTCTGGCTTTGTCATACTGACTGCTCTGCTGGATCTCTAACGCCTATCCCCTGAACCAAGGATCGCAACCCCTTCAAATCAAGGACCCTTTTTTCAGCATGCACAGATGATTACGGAGAACATTCACGAGTCTCACTTTCTCTCTCCTTTCGGCTCGTCTTTGTAATCCCACTCAAATTGCTCACGGCCAGCATGCCGGTTGGGTTCAGGGCAATGCCTTGGTCAATAGTTCTGAGCTTTGGACGATATTCTAAGCAACAAAACGGCCATTAAAGGTGAACGTTGAAATTGCCAAAGCCAGCGAGAGGAATGAACTCGGCCTCTTCACCTTCCGCCGTCCTCATCAATTCTCCTTGTCTCCTCTGCTTCAAGCCCTGCTGTCCAGCGATTGTAACCTCTTCAGGCACCCATTGGTCTTGCGAGCCGGTGCAGGAACGAGCACAGAAAGACAGTAGATCCTGACGACATTTATGTATGATTCTCCTTTCTTTTTAATGATTTTTTTTTCTTGTGAAACGATATGGCCAAAGCCAGGCCTAGATCTCAGAAAGAGGAAATGAACCACGAGGAATCATCATTCTGGCTGCAGTTATGTCTCGCCCACCATCATCAGACCTTTCTGGGGCGCACATTCCTCAAGTTCCGTTCGAACCGCAGTGCCAAGAACAGTAAGAGAGCAGTTTTGTCGCACACTCCTCGTCGAACAAGAAAATAGTGACAGCGCTGCACTTCTAGATCTAAAAGCAGAAAACGTTATTGCCGTGCAAGCAAAATGAGAGCTGTGCAGGCCTGCCCGCTGTGTTCAAGCTTGAGAGCTGTTAGAACACGAAAATAGAACGAGCGCATCCATTGCGCCGGAGAATTATATGGAGAGAGAGTGATAGACCAACAGCTGTCGTTTGGCAATTGAGAGTCTCCTGTGTATATCTGCTACAGATCCAGGGCAAGCAAGCGCTCGCCGTTACCAGAGTATTTTGTCGTGCTTCCTCTTTCCTCCCTTTTCCTCGGCTGATGCTAGTCTCGACGGCCTCAATTTGGATTAGAGCTCGCATCGGATTGCAAACTTGCACCAAAAAAAAAAAAGGTCATCACAGTGACCTTCATACAAATAATGGTCCCTGTCCACGCTCGCGGCAAAAAAAAAGTTTAGCTGCGCCCTCCTACAGCCTTTTCCCTAAAAACAAACAGAAAAATCAAGCGGCTGTGGGTGTCAGCTCCATGCACCATGCGTTGGTAAAGTAAATACCTCCGCGGACATTGGGCAGCGTTCCCGTCAATAATGACACAGACACAAAATGGTCACTACGAATATCAGATGTTGTGTTACCTCCCTCCGGTTCTGCTTTCCGAACTCAAAATAGGTCGATCGATCGATTATGGAGTACCTGAAGGTGCAGGGAAATAGGTCCTATTGACTTGAACCGCAGTATACCCATACGTGGTCTACAAAAGCCAAAAGAACATACTCCTCAAGAAAAAAGTTCCTCGGCCAAGGCCATGGCTTTAGGCAACGAGGATGGAGATAACGGACCTTGTGTAGTTTCAGAATGCCATGTATTAGCGTGTTGGCGCATTAGCACAGCTCATCCTGGCATAAAGGCGCCATGCTTAATTTTTTGCAGAGCTGAACTGGGGCTCTCCATGTGCTTTGCGTTCGCGTCATCCCTCTTCTAGGGGATGTTCTTAGTCCACTCAGGATCCTCTCCATGCCATTTGGTGTAAAAGCTTGTAAAAGCTCAGAGATAGTTCGAGCGATAATGCACCGCCTTCTTTTGTTGAGTGGATGGTATGGTTGCCCACATGAGAGAGAAGAGGAGCAAGCGGATAGGCGCGCAAATCTCGATTTATTGGTCGGGTCACTATCCCCAGTTTGAGGACTTACATTGCCTGTTGGGGAAGGGACAACATGAAGGACAATCAGGGGTGGTATTGTTACACGACGTTGTTGCTGTGCTACTGGAGCCGAAATTAGACTTGGTTCAGGCAAGCGAGCCCGATCGATAAGATTCCCATGGAGGTCGTGCACTCGGACTATAACAAAGACGAGGGTGGCTATCCCCATCTTGTCCATTCGACTTCTCATTCTCTCATTCTCTCATCCAACCCATTCCAACCATCTACTTTTTTCGCCCAAACGCTGTTGACCTTGAAGCGCGTTGATGAGCCATTATCCCTCGCAACCTCCTCCTCCCAGTACCGATGGCAAGCCCAATGTCATGATTGTTGGGGCTGGTCTTGCTGGCATGTTCTTGGGAATCCTACTTGACCATATAGGTGTTCCCTATGAAATTTTTGAAAGAAGTAGCGAAGTCCGACCTCTCGGTAAGTCGATGGTGATTTATTAGTCTTCTATGAGGCGCTAGACATATGAGATAGATAGTCGTATCAGCCATCGTACCGCCATACCGCCATTATAACACTAACGTATCCGACACCCCACTAAGGCGCTGTGATGAGCTTGAATGCGAACATCCTACCCGTATTTGAACAGCTTGGGATATATGAGGAGCTTCTGAAGATGTCGTATCCAAGCAAAGGCTTTAACATATATAAGAGCGACCTGACGAACATTGCATCCCTAACCATCGATAATGAAGAAGAGCTGTAAGTGTGCGCTTTAGGGGATTTATTATTTTGGCTCTTCAAGCGGCATTGTTGAAATGGTCGTGATGGTCATGAAATCAGCAAGTAGCAATTAACAAGTGGTTTATGTTGATAGGTTCGGATACAACTTCTGCGTCTTCGCTCGACCTCGCCTTCACGATCTCTTTCTCTCTCGGATACCTCCGGGGAGAATCCATCGAGGCAAAAAGGTCATGTCCTTATCTCAGAGCAAGGAAGGGGTGATGATCCGATGCAGCGACGGTACTACCTACCACGGGGACATCCTTGTGGGCGCCGATGGTGCCTACTCCGGCGTTCGCCAGGACTTGTTCAAACAGATGCAGAAGACGAAGGAGCTTCCAGCGTCCGACACCGAAACACTCTGCAAAGGCTACATGTGTTTAGTCGGAACAGCCGATAAACTGGACCCCAACAAATATGAGGTCTTGAATGATAAAGTTTCGAAGGTGTACCAGGTCATTGGAACTGGCACTCAGTACTCTGTAAGAAAAACAAAAAAAAAGAAAGAAAGAAAGAAAAAAGAAGCGGAAAAAGAAGGATTGAAGGCATAGGTGGATGCATTTGCAACAAAAGCTAGCTGACAAAAACTGCATTGATACGGTACATAGTGGAGCGCAGTTAACGTTCCTGACAACAAGATTTGCTGGAACGTGATTGTTCAACTTGCGACGATGAGGCAGGCTGAGGACGAAAAGTTCAGGAACTCAGAATGGGGGCCTGATTCAAACGACGCCATGATCCGAGAGGCCAGGGATTTTCTGCTTCCCATCGGAGGCACGATCGGTGATCTTATTGATGCCACGCCGAAGGAGGCCATCTCTCGTGTGCTACTTGAAGACAAAGTCTTTGACACCTGGTACCACGGTAGAACCGTACTCATTGGCGATGCATGCCATAAGGTAATCAATGAACTATAAATTATAGAAATCGCAGACACATTCATGTTCAAAGCCAGTATTAACACTCTGGGTCAGTTGCTTCCGAGTGGTGGGCAAGGCGCAGTTAATGCACTGCAAGATGCTGTGATACTGGCAAATTGCATATACGACCTGCCATCGTTAGAGCAGCACGATATCACAACAGCATTCAGGGATTACAAGAACCATCGATATGCTCATGTGAAGGATGAATACGAAGCAAGCAAGACAAATGCAAAAGTCTTCTATGGCCAGGTAATATGCGCTTCACGATCGCTGCAGAGAGTTGCATGCTTGGTTTATTCAACTACAACCAAACGTGTCTGACATGTTGTTGAATATATATTGACTTATAGACGTTCCGCGAGCGACTCATGCGCAATGTAGCACTCAACTACCTGCCCAAATCGCTACAGCTGCGAACCATGACTAAGAGCTTGGCGTATCGTCCGCAGGCATCATTTCTTCCGCCGGCACCGAAAAGAGGCACTCGCCCTGTGCTCCCACAAAAATAATCTAGTCAAAGCGATGTAACGAAAAAAAAAAAAAAAGCACACGACAAAAAGAAACAGAGTGCTTGAACAAGTAATCGGTAATGTGGGAACGACAGTCAATAAATAATAAGGACCAGGGCTTTCCACTGTTCAGATACCACTGCTTTAATTGACAGAATTGAATTGTCCTAATGGATAATGAATTGTGGATGCTATTCACGATGAATTTTATTAAAAGCTGTAGAGGCCTGATTTGCTAGTGTCTATGGGTGAATCGGGGGAGTCCTCTGGTGGGTGAAGACCACCCTCAGCCTGCAACGCCTTGACGTTTTTGGCTATACGAGACGCCCCTTTGCAATGCATCGCGAAGGCAGGGTCCCAACCTGTGTCCTGTCCTCTTAAGGGCCTTCTTCGCCGACACCACAGGCCCTTGACATGGCATCCTCCGTCGACCCATCCAACTCAGCATCCTCATTCGAATCGACGCTTGCTAAGAGATGCCTCCTGCACCGCGCAAGAGTACTGGGTCCAAAACAAGGCGAATCTATGGACGACAACGGAGTTTCCTTGGTCAGGATGGTGTCGCTTGTCGCCGTGAAGGCGAGTATGGTCTTGAGGAAGCAGCACAGCCACGACCAGTCTCACAGCTGAAACGTGGGAACTCGAATCTAAGAGCACTACCAGCGATAAAGCGTGGTATTTCAAGTCTTAGTGGCGGAAACAATGTGGGTGGTAGCTGCAATTTAACTGTGGGGTGGAAACATAGACACAGGCAAGCATTCACGCAGCTGATCTCCATCTTCCTGCGTCTATCGTCCGCTATTCATCTATGAATGCGCATAGGAACCAAATGTGGCTCTCAGGGCGTCGCATGAACTACGGGAGGCAGGGCAAAGCCATCGGTTCAAAGATGAGATCGAATATATTTTGCATGGTATCAGGTCAAACAACAAGCTAAACATTCGCCGGACCAGGTACGTCGCTTGTTATGGTACCAAACCTGCAGAAGATACAAGAACACGAACAAGATTTGACTTGATGAAGTCCTCTCCACTTTCCTCATACAGCTGCTTAGATCTATCGCGCTCCATGTTGAGGCAGGAATTTGCTGAGCAAGTCAAGGCACACCACTACATGCCAATAATCTTTGAGTCAATATGTATTGACCGGGATCCGGTAGGGTTTATATGACTGAAATTCTATGAGGGCGCAATGACAGGGCAGTGCTGACCACAGAACTACAGATTGTATTTTCCTGCCTGGTGCTCATGATAGGCATCGTTCTGCAGGATGAAAAGGGATGGAGAGATGTTATGACTATCAGCAATCTCGTTGATTTTCTATGCGAAGGTTTGAAAATGAGCGCAGATCCCATGGCTGTATTACCAACTGGTCGCCACGAAATATCTATGGTAAATGAAGGAAGCCGTTGAATAGTATCAAGGAGGATATGCGGACAGTTCAACATATTAACAGGAAGCGATGCTCTGTATCAAATAGTACAACGACTTCAAGGACATAGTTCGGCAAGCGGGAATCATTCAAAAAGGACAAAAAGTCTTGACAATGTCCATAATCCTGTCGACTTTAGCGTATATCGTCAATGGGTGCGTATCAATGCAGGATGCTGGCACCCTATCAGTTGTTACTCAAGACTCCGCCTTTATAGAAGCGATTATCAATATCTTAGTGGATGATCTTGCATGGATAAAGCAGCCATCATCGACACCAGTAAGTAATTATTGGGTTCTTGTATGCGTATTGTTTTGCATATGATGGAGAGCACTGTCATTCATATGACACTTGGCTTTGCATATGCTAGGATGTCGCTCTCTCCGATGTACTGGACATTGATCGGATAGAGAACTGTCTCCGTATTCTCGAGAGACTTGCACTGATCTGCAGACGGCCGGCCGCGGCGCTTGCGGCCAATATACGACTCTTCCCACTTTTGGTACAATTGATCGCACTCTGTCGCGCGCATGCCTTCCAATATCCTCAACGCACTGGTGAGTTTAAGCGCTTGAAATGTCTGTAGTGCTGTATGATGGATAATTAACATCTCGGCGTCTTTACCTCGTTTAGAATCCTTGAGCCTAATGCTACACACCCTGCGTCTGCTGATCAATGTCACGAATGGATTCGAGCCTTGCTGCGACAATCTGGCACAGAGTGGGTCAATTGCGATCTTGGTCCAAAATTTCGTGCAGTTTTATAGCCAATGCCGGAACTACAACCCTGAGCGACAAGACACAGAGCCGCTGTCATCAGCAGATGTGAACAAAATACAATGGACAATGATAGATTCACGGTCGGATTCTGGGCTATCATTCCAGATGCTGCCCCAAGATGATGCTGCAAGCTGCTGTGTCACTGCTGGCACTCTGGACTTGGATTTTCCTCAGCCTTCGCTCGATGCGACATTGAATGCTTCGCATCGTAGAGAGACCATAATCGAGAACGATGCCAATGGATGGTACGATATTCTGCTACTATCGATCGGTCTACTGGTCAACATGCTGGAAACCAATCCAGATCGCAGGGAACAAGTAACACGCGCAGGTAAAATAATAACCAATGGCTGCATTATGGATTTGTGAGGAGTTTATGTTAACGGCGAACTATATTGCATATTGTTTGGTACTAAGCTATTGGATTAGAATGCAAGGCGATTGGAGATTGCTTTCATAAGGAGTGCAGGTGTGAAAAGAGTATGGAGGCACTGGAACGGTTGGTTGAGATATATAACACGGAAGCAACCATTAGCGAGATGGTATGGAAACTAGGGCATTTCATATCAGCAGTCTGTTATGAACGGGAATAAGACTCATCATTTTTTCGATTCCTTTGTTTCTTTCATACAGACGGAAAATCAAGTCCTGGCAGCCTACCTGGCGTTACTTATCGGCTGCATCGTCGGAGAAAATCGCGAATATGAGGCCCGTCTGTACAAGTCGATCAATGGCGGCAGTCTTGTCCCTATAGTAGACCTTCTGAAAGAGTTCGTGGCCCTTCATCAGACAGTGCAAGCAACCCAGGAGGACGGCGATCAAGTGATGTCGACCCAAAGATCATGCCAGGAACTAACGGATGGATCCACAGACGGTTTCGATGCGATCCATTCTGGGGATGAGAAGGCCCTTTCAGAAATATCATTTTCATCCGCAAGTGTTGCAGAGACCCACAGTAGTTTTCTCAAGATCATCCAAGTGTTGCAGGAAATTGAAACACGTACTCTATCCCTTGGATCGTCTCATCTGGAAAGAGAGACAGACACCTAGGATAAATTTTAACTGATACGGCCAATACAGTTATTCTTGCTGGGGCCGGCGGAGGGGCTTTGGGCGAGACAAGTTACTGATCCACTCAAGGCCAATACAACATTGGCCAAATTTTGGGAGCCCATGCAGTCCCTATCTAGCCATCTCTGGCACCCATCCTCAAGACAGACAGACGCCCGATTCGCTGGCTTTGTCCTTGTTTTATCCTACACATCTCGGATATTTCGATGACGCGAGAGATTCATCCGTACAAACGACAGTGTACCCGAGGCTGTTTGCCTATGTAGTGCAATGGCATGCGGAAACATGGCATCAATATTGATACTGGAGTGAAAACAAGTAAATTGCAATGAATATGTTTATAACAACATACCTTGTGGAAAAAATACCCCTTGAAGCTCTCGTGTAGCGATGCCAACATGGTATGGGTGTTGATCTTTCCTGACCCGTATATAAACATCGCCGGCCTCGTTGGCCCAGTATGCATCCCGCCTTGTCGGTCCACGATTCGCAATGCCCCATGCACGGCATGATCCTTCTCAGCCCGGTTCGCCTTTTTGAGCTCCCACAGCTTTTTTTCATCGAGCAGGATCCGTAAAAAATCACGAAGTGGTTGTAGAACATAGCTGAACTATCAGAGGTCGTGCCGGTGTTCTTCCATGCATACGAACGACGACGACGGTGGCGAGATCTCCAATTCCGATATGCTAGGCGTTTCGCATGTATGGCCTCCTTCCTTGTCCGTCTGCGATATGGACCATGATCCCCACATCGTCTTTGATCGTAACACTGACCCGTTCGCATTTTTTGGTCCCCAGCGCGACTCTGAATGACAAGCTGGGAGTGTTGAGGGCGGAGCGTCTGATAGGCAAGGTCGTAATTTGGTTCGGTTTCCAGGGGTCCAGCGCACAAAACGGTGCCGAAATTACTTCACCGGGTCCACCTCCACCACCACAACATCCTGGAGGTCCTGGTCGAAAGCCTTTGCGAAAAATCCTTTGTTAGTGAACCGCGACGTAATCTCCGAGATCCGCGCTTTAGTTTTGGATGGCTGCCAATGTTGTCTTATGTCGAAAGCGATTAAGTGAAGCCTGATTCCGTCTGTTTTCATCATACTGCTGATGGCATAGTGTTCCTTAACGCCGTCATCACTTGGGAAGTCAGGGGGCACGGAAGACTCCGTGCCTTCGGCAGCTGCTTGCTTCCTAGCCTTGTGGTTCGCAAAGACCCTCTTCATGTATCAATCGAGTGCAGTTTGGCCGTTCGTGTTTGGATGGTCCTTCAGCAATCAGCTCATGGTCGTTGTTTTCTTGCCATATGAAGTCTGGATCTTGAGGGAGTCTGCCTTAATCTCGACCTTGTCTCCGATAAACGGTAATCGGAAAAGTTCTCCATACTTCTACGATGCAAGTTCGTGGGCCGTCTCGGGGGAGCAGACTTGAGGTTCCATAATATGCCGCGTAGGGTGCGTCTTTGAATTTGAATTATCCCATAGAGATGAAAGAATGGCAGCCTCAGAGCACAAGATGAAAGAGTCCACCAAGTTGAGATGTGTCCCTTCTTAAATGACATCTGTAGGAGCTCTCGCCATCCTCAAGTGGAGGTATATCATACGTGAATAAACGAACACGCTTCAGCTAAACGAAACAGGAAATAAATACAAGTTCACCGTGGAAAAGCAAATCGACGCGACATATGTCTTTTTGTTCCGGACAGTGGATATGCTACCTTATTCACGATGAATTTGGGCCGTCGCTTTAAAGTTCCTTGTTTGTAAAAATCTGAAGAATAAACTTAGGACGTTGACATGAACTTCCTTGCTCTGCAGATCATAAGCTAGCGTTCCTTTGGTGTCTTCTGTAGCTTTGGGTAGCCCATTGACTCCCATCTGGTACGATAAAGGTCAAGTCAAAGTAGACAGCTAGTGAAGATCAGATTTGGTGCACGTATCTATTTGCAGAAGCATTCAAAACTAACGTTAAGAGTATGCAACAGTGCTTGAGGGCCGATAAGGGAGTGGATGAGGAAAGGGGTGGGGTCAAGGACGTTCGGAATGACGTTTCTTTTAAGTCTTCTGAAATCTTCGTCCAAAATGTTTGCATGCACTATGCTACGGAAATTGCAATGTTCACACTCAAAACAGTATTCGTATCTTGCTCATTGTTCACATAAACCACCTAGACTGGGGCGGCGGAAAACTGTAGTTGCTGCGAGATAATGTATTTCGCGCCAGAGAAAATAGCTATTTATTTTGGACAACTGGATCGTTAACAATGTGAATTTCTGTAAAGGCCCTTAAACTGGCAATTGTCACGTGCGTCCTTCCTCCGCACCCTGGAGACAACGCGCAAGAGCCGATGACCCTGGCCGCCCTGTAGCAGTAGCGGCTGGGGCCTTCGAGTCAACCAGGAGGATGGTCAATGGAAACCTTTGCAAGACAAAAGACGCTCCAGTCGAAGGAGCACAAAGGATTGGATACGAGGGCTGTCTTGACATTATCCGTGCACTGGATGAGAGGACTTTTTTTGGCGCATAATTTTTTCACTTCTCCCATCTTTCATCTCCCGCCCCCATCCCTGTCTTTACCTCTCTTCCTTCCTCTTGATCCAACAACCATTGCGGATCAATCCTCCTTTCCACCCTTTCATTACCACTTTTTCTTTCTGTTTTCATTTTTGACGAGCAGTAATAAAGGTATCGAATCAGATGATGAGCGACTATAAAGTGCATCATCCCTCTCTCCCGTCCTCTTTTATGCGTTCTTCACGTCCGCTTTGCTCTTGAGGTGCACGGCAGCTCAACGACCAGCTATGCACCAAACCAGTCATCAGAACCCATTATTCTTGGCGCTGTCTTCCTTGTTCATCAATGTTTACAGCAACCAGAGTCTTCTGCGACATTACTGGTTGATTTACGCCATTTAAATCGGGCATGTTTCCCTCGCGTTTGAATCCTTGGCGTTGCAGAGCGATTTGGAGTGTTATTGTTGTCTGTGAATCCTTTTGGTTGGGTGGATGCCAATCCTGTGTTGATCATGATCATCTGTGTGCTCAATGTTCGGCGCTGGCTGCCTCAGTCATCCCTGTGCCATCAACGTTTATTGGAGACCACCTACCATATTAATCCTTTGCGTCACTGTTCCCTTTCCCTTGTCGAACCATGAACCGTGGCTGATGAAGATGCCGTCTTTAACCTATTGTTCATTCTCTTTGGAATCTTGAACTATAACCTGACCTAGAACACTAGCCGAATAGCACAGGATACGTCTTACGACACTCGTCATTGTAAATATATATATTTCAGCACTATGAGCCTTACGGACGTCAGCGACGTCGAGGGTTGGATCCAGCACCTTATGCAGTGCAAGCAGCTGCCCGAGGCTGACATCAAGAGACTCTGCGAGAAGGTAATTTTTCTTTCTGTTGTTCAGTATGACCAGCTGCAACTTGCTAGCGTACGCAGCTGTCTTGTAATAGCGGCCATCCGAGGCTAATTCTTGCCAGGTCGTGTGAGTCATTTTCGACCGCACTGGCGGCAAGCATAGCCATTGCACAGAGCAAGAAAGACTATGCGTCGTACATCCATGGTGGAGACACAGCTGAAAATGAACATCCACTTACCTTAAATGCCTTTCATTTATCATTTATCTAGGCCCGCGAGATCCTTATGGAGGAGTCCAATGTGCAGCCCGTCCGCTGCCCTGTCACCGTCTGTGGCGATATCCACGGCCAATTTCACGATTTGATGGAATTGTTCCGCATTGGAGGCAACTCTCCCGACACTAACTACCTGTTCATGGGTGATTATGTCGACCGTGGATACTACTCTGTTGAGACTGTCACCCTGCTCGTTGCTCTCAAGGTTCGCTACAAGGATCGTGTTACAATTTTGCGTGGAAATCACGAGTCGCGTCAGATCACACAAGTATACGGATTTTACGACGAATGCCTGCGCAAGTACGGCAATGCCAACGTCTGGAAGGCCTTTACAGATCTTTTCGACTATCTCCCTTTGACGGCGCTGATCGAGGACCAGGTAACGAATCATCTTTGAATGTGCATGTTTTTGAAGCATTAATGTCGCGAGCGCCAAATCCAAAAAGAAGTATTAACTGACGTTCTTTGACTTTTATTGAGTGTAGATCTTCTGCCTTCACGGAGGACTTTCTCCTTCCATTGATTCCTTGGACCATATTCGTTCATTGGACCGCATTCAGGAAGTGCCTCATGAGGGACCCATGTGCGACTTGCTCTGGTCTGACCCAGATGACCGCTGTGGATGGGGTATTTCACCCAGAGGTGCAGGCTACACTTTTGGTCAGGATGTCTCCGAGACGTTTAACCACAACAACGGTTTGACGTTGATCGCCAGAGCCCATCAGCTTGTCATGGAGGTATGTAAAAGAGCGATGCAGCTCCTTGGTGCATCTTCGATCTGGTTTCAACTTAGGAGATTGATCATGGCGACAAAAACGAGTGCTGACAGAGAAAGTACTGCTTTTACTCATTAATCCGATAGGGTTACAACTGGTGCCAGGACAGGAATGTTGTCACCATCTTCAGTGCGCCAAATTACTGCTACCGATGTGGCAATCAGGCTGCGATTATGGAGATTGACGAGCACCTGAAGTACACCTTCCTTCAATTCGACCCTGCCCCTCGTCGCGGCGAGCCCCATGTCAGTCGCCACGTCCCGGATTATTTCTTGTGATCCTGTACTTGTACAGCTTAACATTCACTGCTATCTTCTTTTCATTACTCCCGTGGTAAGGCATGTTGCGACTTTTTATCTTGGTTGTTGTTCTCCGTGTCGTCTCCGTCGATTTGTTGGTGCTGACATTGATGTTTGCATTGCTTGCTATCGACATTGTATTTAGTAGATGCCCCAGCAGCGAGAATCAGCATCAATATACTCACTTCAGAAGCACTTTCACGCCAATAAAACCAATAAAACTGATGTTGTAAAAGAGCACCTCCGCGGCATCACTCGTTCAAAGTGAAACATTCAAAATGAAACGTACAGGATCAAACCATAGCTTATTTCTCTTTCCGCTTTCCCACGTTCCCTCAAAATGATCAACTCCACCATGCGATCTGTTCGTCCAATAGCAGCGGTTTCTGCATTGATCAGCACCAGCCGCGTCCACAGCATTGCACTCGCGAGGACACATCGATTGGGATTTAGAGCCTCACCGACAACATCCGCGCTCTTGCACTCACATCTTTCCACCCAGAGCATTCGTTTCATGCAAAATGACGCGAGATCTAAAAACCAAGACAACGCCTCCTTCAATCACAATATGAGCAGCAGGCTTCAGGGCAAGAACGTTCTCATGTATGTCATACCCTCGACCAGCAGACGCACCTATGCGCTTCAATTAGTGTGTGTCTGAGTCTGTGGAGGCACCTGTTTTGGGGCTGCTTTCTTAAAAATTGAATTTTGAAGCTAACTAACGTCTTTCCGATAGCACTGGGGCATCATCCGGCATTGGTGAAGCGTGTGCAAGGCACTTTGCGCAAGCAGGATCGAACTTGGTGAGCTCCTTAGTCGAAAAAACAGTTTTAAAGCGGCATGGTTAAACATCATAATAACGGATATTGGCTTATTTCAAAGTTGCTGTCTGCGCGCCGCAAAGATCGCCTGGACAAGCTGAAGCAGGAGCTAGAGGGGCGCCATCCGAGCATCAAGGTCTCGACATATGAGCTCGATGTCCGCAGCCGGGCCAAGGTCCAGGAGACGGCCGCAAAATTTGGTGATGTTGATGTGTTGGTCAACAACGCTGGTAGGTGCTGTGCGTTGTTCCTCGAGTGCATCATGCCGCGTACCATATGTCTAATTTGCTGATTCGTTCATAACGTACCGCTAGGCTTGGTAATTGGGCTTGACAAGCTGGAGGATATTACTGAGGAGGCCATGGATACAATGATTGATACAAATGTCAAAGGTCTTGTCCACGTCACCCAGGCGGTACTTCCGGGGATGCGAGCCAGGAACAAGGGACATATCATCAACATCGGATCCGTGGCAGGGCAACAGGCATACGCGAATGGGTCGGTCTACTGTGCATCCAAGGCTGCGGTGGCATCGATCTCGAGGGCCTTGCTGTATGAAACAGTAGATACACCCATCCGTATTTCCGAGATCAATCCAGGTACGTTGTCCAAATGATTATGAAAGCAAAACTGGTGCAACGTGTTCCTTGGTATGTTATTCACAAATGTAACGAACGTGTGAATTTCATGCTGTACCTATTGCAGGGATGGTCGAAACAGAGTTCTCGGTAGTGCGGTTCAGAGGCGACATGAACAAGGCCGACTCCGTGTACAAGGGACTACAGCCGCTGGACGGGAATGACATTGCAGAGACGGTCGTCTTTGTAGCCGGTCGACCAGACCATGTCAATATAGCCGAGATGTTGGTTTTCCCTACCAACCAGGCTGCAGCAACAACAGTGTACCGCAAGCCCTAGCGTGTTCGCTCATGGATTCGTATTCAAAAGATATGCAAAGCGTTGTTTTAAATAAATAAAAAAGGCGTGAACGACACTGCCCTTGGGTCCAAAGCGTACCGTAGAGCTGGGATCGCGCCCTTGAAGCTGATTCGTTTTTAAATCGAGCATCATCTTTGACGCCCATCTTACATCTTCCTCCGCCCCGCTACTCACTCTCCATCTAATTCATATACCCAGCATCAGTGCCTTCCTTCGTCGCTGTCTTGGACCTCACGCGGGTATGTGAAAAGGAGTGTCTGTAGTCTTGGTGGCATTCGTCTTCCGGTTTGATGGAATGTCAAGTGTTTGCAGGCAGATCCACACAGCACCCACCCCAATCTGCTTCTCCATTGACATTCTTCATGGCAAAAATTAATTTTGGTTCAGGGTGAAAAGCAGGACATTGTACTATTGCGGCTAGTTTGCTGTCACAGTTGACACCTGTCATCACAGCTCCAGCTCATCAACACAGCTCATTGTCCATCGCAATGGGCTTCCTTCTCCCCCACACCTGGGTTGAGCTGCCAACCCCCAGCTCTCTCGCCTCTCCTCCGTCGATCTTTTCCTTCGTATGCCGCATGCAAATCCTGCAGCTGGCCCCAGCGCATAGTATAATTCTTCTTCGGGCAACCTTTCAATTGACATACCATACCTATCTTCGCTCCCAAATGATCACTCGATTACCTATCGAGCGAGGGGAACAAAGGCGGGAATGACATGCTACAAATCCAATTGACTTTCCCTTTGTCCTCTCCCTGCCTCTCTCTGTTGGGCTCACTTTTTCCCCTCGCCCTCGCGCACTCTCTGATTTTGTTTGATTCACCTGTTCAGCCCTGTCTCTGAAAAATGAGCGGACCACTAGATGGTGACCGTGGAACAGGAGCAGAGTCCACGGCATCGACGCGTCCAACAAGATTGAGTGGCCCTCAAACGCAGCAGCTGCAGCAATCTAGGCCACAGCAACACCAGTCGCAGCACCAACTGCAGCACCGGCATCAACGCCAAATGCTCAATCTTTCATCTAGTCCCAACGCAAGAGGGACTGGTACAGCGTCGAGCTCAGAAGGACCCAGCACACAAGGTACATTAACGGCATGGGAATGGGCATTGGCTTCATATTACACTTTAGAGCACCATTGAAGTTATGATGATGTGTCTAGATCCTCTCTATCGAAGCGCATCTGCAAGGGTGCTCGGCTGCATATTTCTGCATACTCAAAAGGGGAATGAAGAGGATACAAAGATGGTGTGTGGACCACTCTTAGAAAGAATAAAGTGTAATTTGTGAGATACAGCAGGATAGAGTTAAGGCCAGGAGGATGTCCGACATGGTCTAACCGCTTTCAAACATACGTCCGATCAATAGACCCAGCCAATTATAGCACAGGAAATCAAGGCAATGTCGGAAGTCGCATAGAGAGTCATCAGTCTACCTGGTGCCGGGGTGCCGACATCCAGGAAGGCCAGAGCGCCATGCATGGGTCAGGAGCGACGCGTCAGATTTCAACTTTGAATCTCTTAAGCGATCAACACCAACATCGCCAGCGCAACCGTCAGCACCAGCCGCAAAAGCAGTGCTATCAAAGTGACCATAACCACCGTGATAGCTCTGCGCCTCTCGAAAACCATGATTACGCGTATCAAAGAGTCCAACCAACGGGATTCAATCACGCACGCACCCCAAGGCAGACATCCGCTGACAAACGCGGACATGGCACTGAACATGAGGACGACACTAAGGGATCAAGGCATTCATCGGCAAGTGAAGCCTATATGATTGATAATTTGTCATTACACATATGCAGGGTAACTGCTCTTGTGAGCCATAGGATGCTAAATATCGTGTTATATTCAGATGCCGTTGAGTTCATCAGGAGGAAACTCGGAAAGAATATCGTTACCGGAGGCTCCGAATGCCCATAGATCGGAAGAGTCTCTAGTCGGCGGTGCTATCAATCGTGATCGAAGACCAAAAGACAGTGACAGAGGTGGGGTTCAGGTCTGAACAATGTCGAGCTTCGGGGTGCTTCGGGGCTGACCCATTTTAACTATGTTTGGGCATTATTATTACTATAGGGCACCATCCTGACTGGGGTTCATCAATACAGTCGTATACAAGGGCGAATCATCAGCGACAACATAATCAGTATCATTACCTCCAGCCTCACAACCGTTCAAAGCCGACAGAGGGACATGTTTCAGCTCATGAAAAGCTCCAGTCCACACTCGAACGACAGCAGGATGCACGGGCTACTGACTCTATAGACGATTGTGGCCTTCCTTCGTCCCAAGAAAGACGCGACCATGAGTTCAGATCCGCTCGAACCGTAGAAACGGGGCACGAGCATGATCTTCATATTCAGCACCACCAAAATCTCACTCGATCGCATTCCTCGCCACAGGATGCGGCACCTCTTAACCAGCGCAATGTGAGGTCCACAGATCAAAGCAACCGTGAGTATCGCCACCCATTGTGGCATGAAGGACAGTATCAACCGGATATCTCGACACAGCAACCGTCAGAGGAGCACACCCAGTCAACGCCATTACACAATCGACCGTCACCAAGCATGCTTGAACATGACAATGAAGAGTACTCCACACAACACAGACGCCTTCGGCCGGATGAGCAACCAAACAAGCATCATCAGCATCAATTTCAACATTACAAACAACACCATCAGCACCAACGTTTGTTTCAAGGCTCTAAAGTGGTTCCAACCCAGGCGCCCCTTGATATCCACCGTCATGGAGTTCGAGAAATGGTAAAGCATCAAGGAAATCAAGGTACATTTCACAATGCTCCGAAGAAGCCGGGATACGAATGCGCCTCGCAGCAGCAGCAAAATTCGAACTGGCTTGAAGCAGATCAGCTCCCACATCAGCACTCTCAGCTGCACGCGCAAATTCCACAGCAGTCTATTGATCATAGTCAGCGGGAGGCACCTCAAGGAATCATTATTGGACCGGCCACTAGCGTCAATGCTTCCGATGGAAACGAAGGTCATATGGCATCTTCACGGTATACGCCTCAGGACATGAGAATGAGTCAAAGATCGTTTTCTGGATCTGAGCGACATAGTATCCAACATTCAATGGTTTCGGACGGCTCTAGGCCAGATACTGGCCCAGGCACAATACAGCGAGCAAACCGAGTACAGACCGGGACCCCAGTCATCAAATTTGTCGCGAATCATTATAAAACAGGACCGGACATATCAAATGTAGGTTGTGGCACGGAAAACAACGGCGGCCAAGGGCCGTATCGCCGAAAAGAGCGCGAGGGAGTTGACACTGATTCGGACGATGTAGCAAAAGAAAAGAAAGGCGAACGCGACAAGGAGAGGCTGAACGTCCGTTTGAAGGGCGTGGGCGAAGAAGAGAACCATGTCGTACAAGTAGAAGGAGGCAGTCATGATGATCGGTTCGGTAGTCCAGCACCACTGACGGGTTTCGGCTCACATATGGTCTCGCGAACTCAGTTGTCTGGAGAGTCGTTGTCTTTAGGCGTCAGAACGGACAGCAGATGGCGAGAAAACAGTAGCTCTTCACCCACAGAATCATCCGCGGGGGCGTTTTCCCCAGGATCCATGCCTGAGAATGTGCCGCTCAGTGAGCGAGGAGTGGGTATGCAGCGGGGTTATTTGCGGAAGAGATCAAGACGAAACGCGGATGGGACCTGGGGAAAAGATCCTGGAGTTATTTCGCTGCAGATAGGGCCAAAACAAGATCAGACTGTGAAGCTCATGGACGAGAGCGCAACAGAAGCATCGGATCGTTTATTGGTGTCGCAGCAGACTTCAACCGTGTCCTCATCTATCGATACTCACAATGAGTCCCAGTTAAATTCAAACCCTATCCCCAAGAGAGCCGCGAAATCCGTGGTTAGCACTATCGCGCCGATCAACATGGCTAGTCGTAGGACGAACCGATCCACAGGCATGTCCTTTAACCGTTTATTTTGCAAGGTCTCTTTGAACACGATTGTTTTACACGCATTGCATAGATTTGGGTGAAGAGGCGTTATGTTTCTACTGGATAAGGGGCTTTAAAACCATCTCGTACATCGACATGGAATTTGCCCTGCTTCCCTTTGTCTCATGCCATATCCCTCACCGTGGACTGAAGATTTTAATATGGACATGTTATCAGTGAGGTCATTTCTCAAGTTGAATGTCGATATCGAAATGGGCATTTCTACCACCGTTCGATCGGCGCGTTGTTGTATAACAGGACGACGCACTTTAAGCTATCGTCAATACAAGGATACTGGCTTTCTGCACATTATGTTCACCATAACCCGGCCGTTACAGATATCAATGCTTTTTGACTGGAGATACAAACGCCCCCGATTTAGCGTTGCATACCAAAAGAATCCCTGTAACTTTTTTCTCAGTTGTACACCCAACGTTGTGGCAGCTGATGAGTTCAATCTTCCAATAAGTGTTCATGCATGCTGAGCATTCTAAGCAAGTCGTTTTTTGTTTTATTTTTTTTACCTTGTGTTGATAGATCAAGCCATGTTTGGTACGCCAGGGTTTATGGATACGGAGCACGTATACGCTTCTGCTCATTATACCGTTGATCGCAAGGATATTGTAGCCAAATGCGACGATACCTGCGATGATCAACAGTCTAACGAGTCATTGCAGTCGGCCTATTCTCGACGTCAAGAACAGGCTCCTAGGAGGTCACGTCAGCAACAGGATGGCTTCACAGGTAAGGACTCGGCACCTCGAGATATTGCCAGCATCAAGGGGTGCAAGAGCGTGGATATAGTGGCTGCGTCCATCAGCGAGTGCCGTAATGAACAGACGCATAATTGACTCCGATGTTCTGCGCGGTAGCTACCATAGGCGCTCATATTCCTTCGACGGACATCAGCAACTGGCGTAATTCTGGACATGACATTATAGATAGCAGTACGGGACCAAGACTCCGGCTAGGTGAAGAAGGCTATTATACGACACAGGATCTCGAATCACTGTTCGAGATGTGGAACGCACAACGCAATGCTGCCGCTTCGTCTCCGCAGGAGGAGGCAATGATTGAGCACAAAAAAGAAGCGGTGCGGGGTGAGAGCAGCAGCTACAGGCGGAGCTGGAAGGGCAAGGAACGCAAGCACTCCGCTCTTTCTAATGGAGAGGAAACCCCTGAGATTGACAACGACAAAAAACAGGACTATAACACGGACAGCGACGAGGAGGAGGATGGCAGCGATGGAGATGAGAATGAAGACTCTAATATTCAAGAAACCAGACAAACTCTCAAGCGGAAAGGGGCATTTAAATCAACGAATTCGCGGTACGCGGGAGGCAACAAAAGGAAAAAGAGTAGCCTGCAGGAGTGCGAGACCAAGAGACACGAGTGCCCGATCTGCTCAAAGAAGTTTTCGCGTCCAAGTCAGTTGGAGACACATCGACTGACGCACACTGGGGAGGTAAGGATATCCCTGGTGGTCGTAGGAACATTCCCTTCTTCCTACTTGGATTGACCTGTTCTCTCAAACGTTTTTTACTCTGCCTCTATTTTGTGGGTTACTTCTTTAGAAACCTTACATTTGCGACACATGCGGGAAAGATTTCAATGTGGCCAGCAATTTGAAGCGACATATTCGAACCCATGTATCTGGGAAACGCAATGGAACCGGCGGAGATAATGAAATAGGCGCCGGCGCGTTTCTCGTAAAGCTATCTGTCGATGTGGTGAACTCTCCTTGAGCTAGAGTCTCTGAGTGTGGCCTTTGTAGCGGCCAATTCTGTAACTGCTCCGCCATATAACTCCGGCAATGGCGCGTACTTCCCTTACAATCATTACCGGCGGCTCAACAGTGTTTTCTTTACAATCTCTGGGTTTGTCTTCGAACCCACCGCAACAGCCATAGCGGCGCAACCCGATTACATTAGCATCATTAGCGGTCATGCCTTCAACACAGGAGGAAGAGAATGCCCCGAATCAGAAGTAGATTTGAACGGTATGGAGGAGGCGGCTTTCATTAATTAATTAAAAGTGCTGTGGCGATCACGAGAACTAAAAGCTGGGTAATAAGAAACCTTGATCTGACAGTCTGGGCACCGGATTCGAGATCCAGCTGTGCGGGTCCGAACATCGGCACTGTGCCAAATCCAGCCGTTCCTGCGTCCTTGCTTGCGCCATCTTTACCTGCTACAGGCAGCGTTGCATTCTTGCCAGGCTGTTCGCCTTTGGGTGTCTCGGGTACAGCTGGCTTAATGCCCCGGGGGGGCTGCGGCGACGTCTCGGATTGTGGTGATTGCTTCGGTTGTAGTGATTGCTTCGGTTGCGTTGGTATCGATGGTTGTTCTGGAGATTGATCAGGGGCTTTGTCAGTCTTGGACACTTGGGAAACAGTGCCCGGAGCGGCACTCTCTTGGTTGCTGTGTTTCTCGCGGTGCTTCTTATTGCTGCTGCTCATAGTCTCGATCTGATCGTCCTCATTGCCATCGACGCCTTCCGCGTAGATAGGGGGTTGGATATCATCCGTATTTTCTTGTCCGATAGCAATGTTTTCAGCATCGACGTCGACGCCCTCGTTGGCCTGTTTCTCGAGCTTGTCAATGTTGACGTCCTTGATGATTTGTTTCTTGAACTTGTCGGTGTCGACGTCTTCGTTGGTTTGTTCCTTGAACTTGTCAATGTCGACGCCCTCGTCGGCCTGCTTCTTGTCAACGTCGATATACTCATCATAGCCGCCCTTGCCAGTTGCAGTACCGCTGTCCTTTCCACCTGCAGCATCGCCGTCCTGATCTTTTGCGATGTCCTCAGGAGTGGCAAGCGTGTCCTTGCCTCGCTGAACCTGACCCTTCACAACATTGCCATCGATCACTCCCGCTTGAGGCTGACCACCCATACGGGGTTTCTTTCCCTCGTCGAGAATCATCTTTGGAATGGCAAGAATATCGTCCATGGTGATGGGGGCAATATAAGGCGCGTTAGAGACGCCATTGTCGGTCGCCTCTGAGAGCTGACGTTTGTGATGCCTGCTGTCATCGTTTCCATCACTCTTGTGCGACTCGCTCTCCCTGGATTTTTTCTTCTGCTTCTTGTTGGCATCCTTCTTGGCTTTCTGCTGCTGTTGAGGGCCCTCTTCTGCTTCTCTGTCTTCCCCCGCTCCAAGGCCTTGTTCCTCTATGAACTTGAGCCTATTCTCCTCCATCTGCTTCCGCAACTGCCTCTCAAACTCCAGATTCTTGGGCTCATCGTTTCCAGCCAGTTGTACATCCGGAAAGACATTATCTGCAAAGAGGCCAAAGAACGCGTTCGCACCTTGGTGTTCCGTGTCCGCAATTTGTTGAGGCGTAAGAGGTTCGTGCTTTTTGGGAAGCGGAACCGTGGCTGTAGGCTGCTCTGAGGTTTCGTCTCCCACTTCTGAATCCTGCTTCTTTTCTTGTGTTTGAGGATGTTCTTCGGGCACAAAGTCCTGTGGGACGGCACCGTTCTTTAAGGCCTCTTGCTCAAGCTGGAGCTGAATGAGTTTACTGCGAAGTTTTGAAAACATCGGCCGGTGCTTGGCAATAATGCCCGGGAGGACCAAGGTGCGTGCAGGGGACGACAATGATTCCGGACTTTGGCTCTGCTCAATTGGCTTTTTTTTCTTGTTCTTGTCGGCGTCCTTGGTATTTTGCTTCGACTTCTTGGCACCTTTGACCTCCCGCTTCTTGTCGTTCTTAGTAGCCAACTTTTTGCTCGACTGACCCTCCCTGTCGTCCCCCGAATTGTGCTTCTCGCCCACTACCACTACTTCTTCATCACGGTTCTCGTCGTGATCGTCGTCGTCTGCGTGCACCTTGTCGTCTTTGTATACCTTCATGGCTTCCTTCGCGCTCTTCCCTTGCTTCGTATCATCTATCTCATTTTGTTCTTTAGCCACATTCAGGATAAAACTACCATCTTGATTCAACAACCCCTCGTCTCCTAATTGGACTTCTTTGACTTGTGCTGTAACTTGTTTTTCAGACACTGTCACTGCTGGTTCAATCGCGGGTGTTGAGCTGATGTTCTGCACGGGAATATTGTCCACTGGCTTGACACCGTCCACTACGATGGGAGTGAGATGCATAAGAGAAGGCCTGGCGGCTTTTTGAGCGCCCTTGCTGGAAGAGGCCCACAGTGGATGTTCGTGTATGGTCGCGTGGGAAATGGGCTTGACAGCAGACTCTGAAGACGTAAGGACAGCACGCGTTGAGGCAGATGTAGAATGGACCGCGAAAGGTGGGTTACGAGCGCTGGAATGTTCTTCTAGGCGCTTACTCGGTTCTGACGAGGAGTCGGAAATGTGGTTAGCGCGCATCCTGGTATTTTTGACGCCCCCCCCCCCCAGATATGTCTTAATGACACAGGGATAATAAAAATATCTTACCATCGTCAGGCATGGAAGAAGGAGTAGATAGCTCTGATGGCTTCCCTGAGAGGTTCGATGGAATGTCGATGGGCTGTTGCTTCGCCGATTCTTTACTGTCTCGATGTATTGGGACCTCCTGAGACTCGGGCTCCGCCGTCAAATGGACACTAGGCATTCCGCTATCATCTTTATTCTCCTCCCCATCATCCTTCCCCTTGTCGTCGTTGACGGCTTCAACGGTGCCCTCAACTTGTACACCTTGCATTTGATCCGAACCGTCCTGGGATGCCTTACCCAGCGCAAGCTCCCGTATCGCTAGTGCCCCCTCCAACGCGACGACTGCTTCATCATCTCGTGCCTCACCAACCTCATCGTTTTCGTCGTCGCCGTTGCCTTGTCCGCGTCGAATCGATCCTTCCCAAATTTGAGATGTGGCCTGCGCGTCCGCAAGCTGCTTGTTCTCCTTAAGGGCGACTGGGGCGTCGAGCGCAACGTTGACAGCAGTGCTTCCACCACCAGCGCTGCTATTGCTGCCCTGATTTGTGTTGCCTTTGGCTGTTGCTGCTGCAGATGCGAGAAATACTCCCTGGATCAGGACTGCGCCTAAGAGTAGAAACGCCTTCGGTCGTCGTCGTCGTCGTTGTTGTTGCTGCTGCAGATGCGAGAAATACTCCCTGGATCAGGACTGCGCCTAAGAGTAGAAACGCCTTCGGTCGTCGTCGTCGTCGTTGTTGTTGCTGCTGTTGTTGTTGTTGCTGCTGTTGTTGTTGTTGTTGTTGTTGTTGTTGTTGGTCGTTATGCATCATGATTACGTGTCAAACAAATGTGTAGGTGAACTAGACTAGAAGAATTGGAAAGTCATGAATGCATAAAAAAAAAAAAAAAAAAAAGGGAGAAGCGGGAGGATTATTAGATACGGGAACAAAGATCGAGCGCACAGCATGTTCCAGATCGCGATCCGACCTTAAATATTTCAGTTCCATCGTGTCCCTTCATGCCCACTCGCGGGAAATTCCTCTCTGCACTCACACCAACGACTAGTCCGCATCGACCAAGTAAATGCGCAGAAATGGCTCCTCTGTGTAGTTTGTATCTTGTTTTATTTGGTGAAAGACTGGTCAGATTAAATTCTAAGTTAAATGGCAGAACAAGGGTAGAAATACTCTTGCTCGTTATTATGAGATGCTTGTGGATAGACAGTGGTTGTGGTTGTGGTTGTGGTTGTAGTGGTTGTGGTTGTGGTGGTTGTGGTGATGGTGGTGGTGCTTGCTGCGTGGGGCGAGGTAGGGACGCTGTAAATCACTATTCCATTGTCGTCGTCCTGTTCCATCATGTCCCCTTCACTTCTTTCGCGGCGTCTTTTTAAAAATCCTGTCGTGGCATTGGCAACGCTGTCCTCGAATCAGTGGTATTGCTGCCACTCAGAAGTGGGGTTGGTGACGCTGCCCGTGTGTCAATCGAATTCAAGCGAGGACCGCTTGGTGGTAGAGGCGGCGGTGTGTAACTTGCTCCCACCAGATTACTACCCAGCTTTGGCGAGGGCGTGTGCTGACGGTTGGGAGTATAACTCATCCCTGGTGGAGTCAGGGTCGAGTTCCGGTCTGGACCTTCAAACGGATTATGTGAGCCGATGAATGCCACGCTTTGTCTTCCTATCGTTCCACCAGGTGCTGGCGCGTGCATGTTCAACAATGGGATCGAATCCAAACCGGATCCTGGGTAGACCATGGTGTCTGAAAGCGAATAGCCACCCGTCGAACCGGAGGAACCTGTGGTCATATGCCTGGCAAATGGCTGTGCGCTGTCTCCAGTCCTACGCGAGCTCGAGCTCTCGTCCGATAACTCTTCCTCCCTGACCTGGCTCATCCAATCCTCAGAGTCCGAGACCATGAACTGGGGCGTGGGCAAACCAGCCAAGATGGCGGCCTTCTTGCGGCGCTCCTTCTCCCACTCGCCCCAACGTTTCATAGTGATGTGCGAGCTGTCGAATTGACCTTCCTTGCCACCATGGTCCGCTCCGGCAACTTCTCCAGCAACCATACGTGTCTGACCCCAAGAAAAGTCGTCAAAGTGCCAGTAAGCGTAAGCAGGCAACACAAAGTTCCAGACAAAGATCGAACATAGGTACACCATCATCCAGCCGACATAGACCATCTTGCGCGAGGTCATCACGATCAACACGGCAGGCAATCCAAGAATGGCAGCCAGCAGAAGCAAGGGCACCGTCGTATTGGGAACCTTCGGGTCGTGTGAGATCGCGCCGTAGATCGAGATCGTGACCAGGTAGATAGTGAACGAAATAGCAGCAGGTAATACGACTGTTCCGACCAACTCCATGAAAATGACAAACTGCATAGAAAAGCAGAAGGTACCGCAAAGATCGCGGACGAGGACCAACTCCATCAAGTTGTGGATTGTCGAGTTGATCCAGCGACGGCGCTGTGAAAGCAGAATCTTGAACGTATCCGGCACAACAGTCTTGCAGATCGCCTGAGGGACAAACATCATCTTACGCTTAGGGAACGTCCTCAACATGAGCGTACTGAGGTATCGATCTTCTCCCAGCAACAACAGGTTCTTCTTGTGAAGCGTGTCGACAACGTTCTCAGAATAATGCTCGACAATATCCGGGTTCGCCAGAATGGGCACCCAGTAGCCGTTGGGTCCCTTGGGCGCCTTGATGCGGTACATACAGAAACATCCTGGCAGACAGGTCACACCTCCGAACATGGACTCGAAGGCCTTGGACATATGATGTGAAATATAGTACTCAAAGACTTGAATCATGCTGACCCATGAGTCGGTCTTGTTGGCAATCTTGGTCTCTCCACAGAGTCCCATGATTTCGTGGTCGTGAGCCATCGCTGCAATCATACGGGACAAAGAGTCAGGGTAGACTTTCGTATCGGCATCCACCTGTGCATGAATAACATTGAAGAGTTCATTAGTGGGGCCGCTCATATCCACAGTCGACTGTTACGTTCTTTGAATATAAAAAAAAAAACTTACCATGAGAATAATCTCGTACCGGTCTGGAGCAACACCAGTGAGGCGCCAGATCGTGTTGAAGAGCTCGTACTCGAACGAAGTCATGCGCTCGTCAAACATGACGTGCTGCAAGAAGCCCATCAGAATAATCTGAGAATCGCGCTTGCCTCGGTTTCCGGGCTTAGGCATGTTCTGCTCGGTGGGACCTCCGACCTTGACAATCAGGCACACAGGTACGCGCTTCTGCAACTTCTTATCCGGGACGGTCTCATCATCGTACTTGTAGAACCCGGCGTACACCTTAGCCATGTTGTGGCGCTTGGTACCATCAGCAATGGCAACGTACGAGTGGGCAATAACTTCGTCGCGGGGCACAAGATCGTCCTGCATCATCGACAAGCAGATGTCAGGCGTCGACATATTATTGCCGGCTCCAATAATCATACCATCGCAGATAATGACAATCAGCTTGTGCGAGTTGGGATAGTCTGTCGTAGCAATCGAATCCAAAGTCGTGCGCAATCCATCAACGCCTTCTGAATAACAAGTGACCAGGGCCATGGTGTGAATCAGAGGGAAGTTGAAAGGCTGATAGGATACCGGAGGTTGAGGAATGACAAATGGTGAAACAGGCACAGGGCAGTTGCTGGCCGGGGTAGCTGTAGAAGACGATGTTGAGGAGCGGCGGGACATGTTGCGCAGACCTCCAAAGCTGCTCACGCTGGCGGGTCTCATGGGGTTGGGCAGAGGAGGAGGCGATGGTGGTGGTGTTCCGTTGGGGCCCAGCGACTGGTTAAGGTAGGATCCACGGTTGAGGGATGAATTTGAAGCGGACGATGCAGAAAGGAAAGCAGGGTTGATACCCGGAGAACCTGGTGGTGTATATGGCTTGTTGAAGATGCTGTTAGGACGGTTGAAGGTCGACATGGGTCTTGCATTGGGGACGGCAAGAGTTGAAGACGAGAGACCAGCTCCAATACCAGGGTTGTTCAGCGTAGGTGTGAATCGCGATGTCGTTGGGAAAATGGTAGAGCGTTTGCCGTTGGCAAAGGCTGGCCGGCTAATATCTGAACTCCATGCCTCAATTTGCTCCGCACGCTTCATGCGGTCCTGGTAAGTTTCGTTGTCGAATCCTCCCAGGCGATGGCTCAGGAACCACCCAAAGAAGACAGCCAGGAAGAACTTGATGAAGACGACTCCTAAGATGATGACCAGAGAAACATAGGTGATAACGTCCGAGGTCACACACCCGATCGTCTTAGAATCCATGGCGCCGACTCGGGCGACCTGCTTAAGACAGGCACCGATCTTGGTCATTTTCTTTTGCACAAAGAGGAACGACAAATCTCTTTGAAGACGGATGGATCCATTGCGCAGGGCGTTCATGTCCTCATCCAGGGTGAACTCGGGCTTGATCCACTTGAGAATATCTGCATCAATGACATCGCCATCGTAGGCAAAAAAATTGCGGTCCGGATTCGTGATGTTGTCCCATGTATAATAGGCAGGAGCGTTGTACTTGCTCTTGAGCGTGTTCCAGAAAGTTCGGTCTGCAGGTGGAGTGTGACAGGCAGCGCCGGACTTATCCACAGTCGCATTAACAGAAGTAGCTCCATTAATGTTTCTCATAACGCAGGGGAAGTAGTAGTTGGCCTGGGTGTCTGTAGGCGTGGCGGGTGTGTTGCGCGCAACTAGTCCCTCACAGGCTCCTCCAGCGGCTTCCTGGAACAAGAACGAGGCATCCATACCCTTGGCACCATAAGTAGGGTCGTTCATGATGTCGATAGGCTCGCTCGAGATGTCCTTGTTCAGTGTGGGGTGCATCCAAGCAGGTTCGCCATTTCCGGTATCCTCGGCGTTGAAGTAGTAGCCCATGCCGTTGACGATAACATTCTCCGGTCTCGATCCAGCGACGAACTTTCCGCTCTGTTCCTCTCGACACAATGCCTGTTGAAGTCCGAATGTCAAGAAGGCAACTGCCCCGACCATCATAATGATCAGCGACACCAATGCAATCTTTTCGCGCCATGCCCTCTGGATCTCTGCCGTGTGCATTCCTACGCGAGGGAGAGACAAAGAATTGATACGATATAATTGTTAGTACTTCCTACTTTGTTCTTCAGTTATGCGCAAATATCGCCTCACTTCTGACGCTTACCACAGGACTTTAAGAGCGCTGCGGGGAAGCAGCATGTAACGGCGTTGTAGTATACGATCCACTTGGAGGGCCATTCCCGCTTGTCTTTCTTGAGCGGATTCTTGATGTCGCCAATGATCTTGCGCTTGGATGGCGATGCTTTTGTTTTTGTGCGCATCTGTCCTGGCTTCTCAATCTCGCGACCCAGCACACTTTTGCCACGGCGCACGCCTCCAGCTGACCGACCAGGCACAGTTCCTCCGGTGGGGTCAGTGCCTGTTGTGGAGGGCTGCACCTTGACATGGGAACCATCAAGGTTCTGCGTCGCGTTCCTGTAAAAGTATTGAGGATGGCTGCGGTCTACGCGCTCACGCTCGGGTCGTACGAGCGATTTCTGCCGACGGAAATTCGTGCGCCCCCGCATGTTGGTGTCGACCGTCAAGCCGCCCTGTGACTGACGACGATTCTGGGGCTCGACATATGTCAGGGTATGGCTCTCCAGATCCTGATATGGCTGTTCCATGCTATCCAACACAAAGGGTATACAAGAGATGCAAGGTTGGGGTTAGTGTTGACAGACGAGGACTAGGGGAAGGAAAGAGCGATGGGAGAATACAGATGTAAACGCGTCCAAGGCTGTCAGCGACAGTGATTGGATAGCGATAGCAAGATGGACGAAGAAAAATATTGAGATATTGAGGGCTAAGGAAGCGAAAGTGTGCAGGGCCAGCGGCGCGGATAAAGGCGATATAAGTATATGATATGTTAAATGGAACACGGCGGCAAAGCGGCAAAGTCCCCAGATTAGAGCCAGGCTGGTCTGGGACAGAATCACAGGCTGACTGGATGGGGACGGATCGATGAGTTGAATGGGTAAGCGGGCAAAGGTGGTATTGAGAATCCATGGATGCATGGATGCATGGATAGACCGTCGTCCTTCGGGATGTGATGCCGTACAAGTCGAGACAAGATAGAACGGGCGCCAAAACGAACATATGCAGCCAGTCGGGGCCGGTATTCCAGATGGTTGACACCGCTCTGCCTTCCCTTTCAGGAAGGAAAAGAAGCAGCGGCATCGACTCAAATCCGACTTCCAGGAACGAACAAAACGCGACAAACGGACCCTCTCTCCCTCTCTCTCTTTCTCTCTCTTGTGTAGTGCATGATGGTGGCGCACGTTCTTCTCTGGACCCTTTGCGACACCAGCTCAGTCAAGAATATATTAATATTGATATTAATATTAAAATATAATAAAAATAAACAGCCTCTCCAAAACCCGACACCCAAAAATAATATACTGTTCCTCTGGCCGGGTCAGACCAGGCCAATCCAGGCCAGGCCAGGCCAGGCCAGGAACAGCGATCCATGTCCAGCCTGTGTCAAAAAAGACGAAGAAATCAAGGAGACTGGGACAAATAAAATAAAGGGACCCGAAGGGGAGAGCAGGAGGTCTGGATGAACAGTCCAAGGATAAAAGGTACGAGGAGGAGGAGGAAGAGGAAGAAGAGGGCCGCTGGACCTGATCCTTGCCACACCGAGCACCAATTGTGCACGGCACCCCATCCCAAGAAACCTTTTCTCCATTTTGCTTGATGGTTTGTTGAATATGAATGATGCGCATGCGCAATGTATGCCGTATGCCGTATGGCTGTAAGTTACCTTAAAGGAATATTCAGCACGCTGGGCGGGAATTAGGGAAGATAAGGGAGCAGGTCGATTTCCGGTAGCTAAATGAGAAAAGAGGGAAGCAGGCAGAAAGGGTATTCGATGGTGAGGATGTGGGACAATGAAGAGCGGACTATTGAGGCGTAGTGGAGTAAGGGAAGGAGCTGAAAGAGTCCGATGAAAGAGAGGTGACCATGGTCTGATGGGACAGCCTGCGCCGATCGGGTATTATCAAGACAATCCAACCAGCAAAAGCCCTCAGGCTCAAGGGCCAAGCCAATGATGACACCACGCTCAAAAACAAATGTCTATGTGATACCCCTGTACGCCTCTGCCATGGATCATGCTTCCACGCCAACGTGATCCACTAATCGTTACAATTACGAGCGCCATTGTCGCAGCTTGTCAAGCAGATAAAAATAGGAGCTGAAGACGGATGCTGTGTATGCTGTGAAATAGACTTTGGGGGATGAGGTCTGTCGCGATCACTAATTAAAGACGGGCACAGGTATGTGGATGTGGGCATGGATAGACTGGATACGAAAGCCATACTTTGCAGTGCTATAGGGCATCAAAAGCGTCCAATGACTTTCAGGGCACAGTTGTTCAGGAGAATTTTGGTGGCTGCAAAAGAGATATGAAAGAGTGGGTTCGGAGGAAGGGAAGGGATTTGCGGAAAGAGAAAGAGAAGACAATGGATCGCGAGCAAAGGGGTGCAGGTGAAGACGTGAGGATGCAACGCTCGCGGTATTAATTGACGCCAGTATCAGTAGGAATGAAGCGAACTTTAGCAGGGAATGGATGGGTTGGGGCAGTGATATGAAGGTGACGAAGCGAACAATGAGGGCCTGATGTCATCGCAGGATAGGGGAATAAGCAGGGAACTTTACTATACCTGTGTTGTGTTCGCGTCGCAAAGATCGAAGGACGACTAGGGCCGAGCGGGAAATATCAAGAAGAAGAGAGAGAAAGAGACGGGTCTATTGTTAGCTCACTGTAAGAGACATGGAGCAGATCTCTACAAGTCCTTTTGACCGATCTGAATGAGAGAAAGAAAGAGTATGTGTGGTATTAAAGACTGGTGATGGAGTAAGAAGAACAAAGTGATATCGGAGCCAAGGGCGAATGTGGGGACGCGCCCCATGCTATCAAAGACTGAATCGGCAGGTGGCGAGATAAGATGGGGGTCAATGTACTTTGACAAGACCAAGGAATATCATAAGGAACGTTTTGTAATGAAAGCGAAAGCGAAGATGATAGCGATTATGACGACGGAATGTGTGGTCAGTCCGGTAATAAAAATAAACACAGTGCAGCCTAATTGCTCAGATCCTTCGGACAAACGGAACAAGCGAGCGCAGGTACAAGCACTCTGAGGCTTCTTTTCTTTTTTCGCTCTTCTTCTTCATCCGCGCCTGTGCCTCCTTTACATTGCCCTTCCCTCTCTCTTCCACAGGCGAGGCAGCAGCAGGAGAAGGCATCAGCATCAGCCAATCAATTGAACTGTGCATCAATGGCGTGTTTCGCGTCAAGCAATTGGCATAGACATGTAGAAGCATGTCTTCGGCACGAGCTAGTCGCATGGTCACTGCTTGAAGTACAGAAAAAGAAAAAGAAACGCTTGTGGATGTGACATGTAGGAGTACTATGCAGCCAGTGTAGTCTCTCAATATTTTCAGGGACAGCATGGACAAAAATTCCAGAAGGAGAGCATCAATCAATAATAACAAGTGCAGAGAGTTATTGGCCTACATATGCAGACCGACAAAGGAGAGTAGAGCAAGGGAGGGCCATGATAGGCGGAAGAATGAAAAAAACAAGGATATTTGGTAGTTGGGACTACAGACAGATGTCGCCTGCCTATCAGCGGTCTGACAGTAGGGATATATTTACCTACTGCCAGGGAAGAAATTGGTCGAGCAGGGGCGGGAGAAAAGATGGGAGAGTGGGAGAGGAGAGGAGGGGAGAGGTAGGGAGCGGTTCAAATTGTGCACAGCACCACGGATCAAAAAGGACGAAGAAGGGAAGTTGAGGAGATGGACGTTTCAATAAAGACGTTGGTGCTATCAGGCACAAACAGGTACCATTTGTCACGCCAAACGTTTTTTAGTGTCGCTGTCACGTTCCTGGGACCCCATACCACACTCCTGTAAATCCATAATGAAGATAACGCAAGCCGCTATGCCCACTTTTGAGAGGTCAAAAAGGAGATCGTGCTGAAGGTGGCCTTCTTACCTCGACTGTTCAAGAATTGGCTCAACGATCGGGAGACTGCGTACACGTTTAAAAACAAACACACAGAGACGATTAAAAGGCGAATGACAATCGTTGATGAGTATGAGGGTGAGTGAGAAATACACAGATGAATAAAATAGTGGTCCAAGGGATTTTCAGGCACGGAAGTGCAGGGTGTAGGGCGCGACGGGAAAGGCGTGAGGTGTGAGGTAAGAGATGCGAGATGTGCTTCCTGTCCATTGTTCCTGAGAAAGACATAAACCTGTGACAGTGGAGATGATGCCCATGAGGTCTTGTTGGCGCGGGAGAGATGCAATTGCTATGATTGCTGTGCTTGGGATATCAAAGAGGACTATCGAGGGCATGATGGGCATCTTACCTTACTCGATCGCAATATCAAGCCCGGTAGTAGAAGTATGGAGAAGAGAGCTGTGATGCGAAGCAGCGATATCGTGAATTAGTTTATGTAGACGATGTTTGTCGTTGCAATGGGCGCGTGGGCAGGAGTTGTGATGAGAAGTAGATGAAGGAATGGGTGAGGATGGGAACTAGATGACCTCTTTGCGATGCGAGGCCGGGGCAAGGAAGGGGCGGAGCGAAAAAGAGGAGAAGGGGTTACGTAGAAAGGAGGACAAAAGACGAAAGAAGAAGAGAGGAAGGAAGGAAGAAGAAAAGAATAAGATGGTAATAATAAACATCCTAGATGCCTGTTTTGCGCCGTTGAGATCCGTTACCGAGCATCGGTGCACCAGCATTAATTATGGCAGCAAGACAGCGAAAATCACGGCCCAGCTGAACACAAGAACATCACACTAACGCTGTATGAAGACACATTTAGAAGCACACGTTCAGAGTCGAGGGCGAGTACTGGTTTTTGGTGGACCTGACACAACTCCTCCACGAAAGGAGATCGCCAGATAGTACAGTAGACCACGCAAGCCTTCCAGCCCTTCTATCCTCTCAAAAATAATAACCCGCTCAACGATGCGTACAAAACATACATGAACAAAACCTTAAATCATCTAATTAGTTCTTCATTTCCGCTTCTAGATTTGTATTGGCCGAACCAGCACACTACAAGCCTATGCTGTCAACCTGTCTGATTGCCGGTGGGTGCCCACCCGGTCCCAGATTCAAGCGGAAACCCCTTTAGATCTGTCTAGTAGACTTTGAATTTGGTCCGTAACCCTGTCCCACAGGAGATTTAATACTACCACAGCCTAGCATCCCACAGTGCTCGCGTCGGTCGTTTGCCACCCCTGTTCTCCCCTTGCATTTGCATTTGTATATGGGACGACCCAACTGTACCTCTGCAATACACAAGGAAAAACAGGCCCTCGCTCCGTCTTCATACTGTTCTGAAACGTGGGTCGGATCAGTCAGTCAAAAAGTGAGAAACCCAACATGTACACCTCTATGCGGTTCCTTCGGTACACAAATGTAGACTACTTATTTCATTTCGCGAAGATGAGATCCATCACCGACTTGGGAAGCATACCGGTTCAATAGATGTGCTATGAGGAATTTGGGTCTGCTGAGCGAAGGGCACTGGCTCTCCATGTTCCATGCGGACGTTATTATTTATTTTTAGTCTGCTACAATGATTATATTTAAACTGCTCACTAGTAGGGCTCTTGATGAATGCGCGATGCCGGTACAACCAATGCATCGCTTTTTATGGCGCCCTACATATGAATTTCCGTGGACCATGGGAAGACATAAAAAAAAAACTGGGTCCTGGCACGGACCATCTTTAATGCAGGTTTTGGGGCTTCTTTCTTGGTTGTCTCGCACGTTTCTTTGGCCCACAATTGCCGAAAGGACTGAACGTAGGAATGACTGCGGAAAGGCGAGCTGGGTGCTGTTTGAAAAGAGCTCTGTCATTCTGCTGCAGCGTATATAGGAGTGCGGAAGGGCTCGAAGGGTTCCACCATATGAAGACAGCATGGTCCAACAACGTGTCGTATAGGCCTTCTATTTTTCTTGATGATTTCTTATTAATACACATGGAAACCTTTTACATTCTATGAAATTAAATGACATGCTGCGTCTACATGTCAACCACTAGCATGGATGATCCCTTCATCTTGTACACGCCCAACCGCTGTGCAAGTCCTGCTAGGCGATGTCCAATACCCAAAGGGTTGACCGAAGTTAACGACGTTGTTGATGATGTGGAGGATGCAGAGGTTGGAGAAGTTAACGAGACCGGCGAGAGTGAAGGGGGTGACATGTTAGTGTCAATGCTGTGGCAAGGGTCCACTGTATCCATGCCCATGTTTCTCAAGTTCCTCGCGTTACTAATGCCTTCTTTGGTATGTAGGAGCAATGGTGTCGAGAGAGATCTGCGGTAGCCGCTCTTCTTGTCCGTGCTACTTAATGATGGAAAGCCCCACTTCTTGCAGCGACGATCGAAAGGCTTGTAAGCATACACACTATCCTTATGGATGTCAAGCGAACTCTGCGCGCGGCTCAAAATGCTGCGCCCGGAGGACTCTTTCAGATCGGATGGATCCTGAATTTTCATGTCAACCTGTTGGCTATCTTGGATATCACAGAAGTGATCTACTTCACCCATGATTGAGTCTTCAACATCAAGTAGCGATGCGATGGAAACAGTCGAGGGAATCCCTCTCAGCGATTCCTCCAGGCTCTGTCCCTCGCTTTTGTCGCTTCCGATGTAAACACTTGGCGCCGTGGAAATGGGTGATGTTGACAGAGTGAAAGTAGGGCAGTCCGAGAGGGTTGCAGGAGGCGAAGACAGTGCTGAAGGTTGGGCCGGGGTGTAATTGCGGTGAAGGTTATCGCTGTTGACCCACATAGGACGCACGCGCACGACCTCATTCACAATCTTGCTTTGTAGCACTTGCGACTCCTTGGCCGCACTCCAGTAATGAATCCAACTCAAACTATGAAGACACGGGTCCTCCATAAGCTCTTGCTGTTGTAGCGACTGTTGGTACTGAGGCAAAAATGAGTTGATATACCGGATCTCGATCATCGGGTATAGGTTCTCCATTGTCTCGAAAACCTGGTGATACTGTGCTTGTTCTTCTGCAGATCCGACAAACACGTAGCCGATGACCGGTTCGACCTCTCTCGTTGTGCTACCAGCCGGCGGCATCGCTCTTGGTCCCGAAATCCGTTGTGCGCTCAAAGTCACCATCCCCCCATTATCACATGAATCGCCTGCAGGCGACTTGTTCCAGGTAGAGTCTCTCTTGGGACCCTTCCTGGTCCTGGAACCCTTGATTCTAGTGGGCGCAGGGGATCTTGCGGGTGAAGTAGCGGGCCCCAGACGACCCTCCTCTCCAGCTGGGATCCTGACAAAGTTGACCCAGTTAGAAAACTTAGATGCGGCGCTCTCGACGCACTCCAGAGACAAGGACGATTGCGGTGCAGGGTACAGGTGAACTACGGGCATGTCCCACCAAAGTGCTGTTTGAGTGAGCCACTCTACATGACGTTCAAAGGTAAGTTCAGAATGCGTGTCGATGTGATGTGTAACGGTGACAATAGGGACAGAGAGTTGCGCAGGCTGCTGCTTGGACGGTATTAGGACGGGAGCTCGCTGTCGGTGCCCTTGGCTGAACCAGGATTGACCAAAATAATTGTAATTCTCATGCTGGGTACGACTGTCCGAGTCATTGTCGAGAGTGCCTTCAATTCCAGCACTCTGTCTGGAGTCATATCTGTCAGGGTTCCATAGACTACTTCTCTTTTGGTGATCCTTGATACGTTTGGTACCATTCTGGAAAGGGCAAGCGACCTCGAGCAATTGCATATTCATGGAGGGCTGCTGTGGTAGGGGTCGCTGCTGCAGTTGCAATCGTGCTGTTTCAACTTCCTCTGCAATTGTCGCCTGTGTTATTTCAGTAGGGTCGAATAGTGGGCGATCCAAACGATAGGGATTGCGGATCTGGAAGGGGAGTGTTTGTTGTCTCAGGGTCATCTTAGAGGATGAAGGGAAATAATGGTTCGAGGATAGGATAGATAGAATGCGATTTACGGGAGCTAGTTAGGATAACACCATGAAGAGCGGTCGGAAACCAGAGAATATAAAGGGCCTGTTTTGTCTACAGAGCTTCCTTGAAAAAATGGTCATTCGGACTAGGCACGACCCCAATTTCTAGACCTAGCCCGGCGTTCACGCGGCTCTGGCAGGATTTGCTCCGTTATCACTCGCTATTCCATATTTCTATTACGACTGATCATAAGTTTAAGGACGTGTAGACGAACTAGCTGTTCCGGGCAATCGACATGGACGCGTAATTAGGATTATACACAGTTTGTTCTTCTTGTGGGGATATGGTATTTGGGTCTCGATGTTTGTGCTTATCAGGGCAAGGACTCGAGGAATGGTATCATAGAAAAAGGAAAGAAAATCGATGGAGTGCGAGATGCGGCAGTTGTTTCTGCGTCGGACGCGTAAACAACTTGAGCTATGACGACAGTGGCTGCAGGGGTACGAGACGTTTTGTTTGCGCGGTTCTTATCGATGTGGCTAATGGCATCGGTGCACAGTTGGGCTGTAGTGTTTGGACGCCAAGAGTCGTACGAAACAATGCAGAGACCAAAAGAGACGGGAAGAAGGGAAGGAAATCCAAGAGTGGGGTTGTTGCAGACACGAATAAACTGGCTTTGATGACAAACATGGTTGGCGGCTGTTTTGCGATCTTTTCAGATAATGATCTCCAGCTTTGCTTGTTTGTTTATTTCTTTGCATGAATAGCTCTGTAGTTTATCTTCATGGTCATCAACGGTTGCCCTTGCTTACAGCTCATAGAGTTTTTGAGATCGGAATGGGCAAAGCTTTGAACGTATTTTTTTCTATGCCTGGCTAGACACGTAATGTGTATGTTTCTTTCATTCTAGTGATATACGCCCTGGCGCGGCCCTGTTCCTCTTTCCTCTCTTTATTTGTCTACTGTTCATTCGCTTTCTTGATTAGATTCGCATTGTTCATTCTCATTCAACTCTCATTCAGCACAAGAGTAGAACGAACAAAACTGCTCTAACGAACGCTAGCCCCTCTTTGCATACTTCGTTATTTTCAACTGACCATTGCTGTCTCTTCCCGGCAAACCAGACTTTGTCCCCATCCACATCTCTCAGTCGTGTTTCAATACACCGCTCCACCCCACAGTTGCAGGAAGGTTGCTCTGCTTGTCCCCTGTCTGTCTTTATGACCCTGCGTGTGCCAGAAATTATTATAAGCTCAAAATTATTGGCCAGCTTCGCGTGTACCCCATTCCTAGTACCTGCACCCCTGTTTCTGTTCCTGTTCCTGTTCTTGTTTCTGTTCTTGTTTCTGTTCCTTTCCTGTTCCTCTCTGTTCCTGGCCATCGAATACTATTCCCCTCAGTTGACCTCTCACATCTTGCAGCCGCCTCCAAGATGGCCAGTTTTCAAGACGACAGCTCTCGCTCTGCACACTCCCGGGCAAGGACTTTTTGGTAAAGTGCATGCGCGCCAGTGCTCTCACATTTCGGATACCACTTCCGTTCCCTGAAAAGTTAAGACACTAACTTTGATTCTTTCTTCTTGCGCCGTATACACACCGACATCAACATCCACTCCCTCAATCCTTCACGTCCGCACTCGCCATTTTCCCTACTGTCTTAATCCACTTATTCGTCCTTTATCACCTCATTGACAACCCTGCTCCGCCAACTCAAGGTCTAGTTTGGCTTCTGAATCTTCTACCACACCCTCGTCCTCCCCAGCACCACACAAGGACACAGCCAGCACCGATGTCTCGAAAAAAGCCGCCACCAAGCGGATCCGAATCCCAATCGCCTGTGTGAACTGCCGCCATAAAAAGATAAAGTGCGATGGCCAGACACCATGCTCGCACTGCGAAAAATTCAAGGCAGAATGCGTCTATCCAGCAGCGACCAAGCCTGTGAACCACGAATATGTCGAGACGCTTGAGAACCGACTGAAGAGTGTTGAATCCCATCTGCAAGGCCTCATAGGCTCTACATCCAGAGGACAAGGCCAGCGGCACAGCCATTCCCCATTGGAACAACCAGAAGCGGATGCGATTCCTCCCGCGGAGAGTTCGACTTCATCAAAATCCTCCTTTGTCAGCCCTGCTCCGCATTCTATTGTATCCCCCGTTATACAGCCACATCTTAATTCTGGCTACGCGTTTCTTGGCACGTATTCAGGCGGTTTAACCACTCCTGCAATCAACACAGCGTATATTTTGGAAACAGATTCGCCCATGGATGACCAGACCTTCAAAGTCGAACGCATCATGGGCACTCTCAGCCTCCTGATGGGAAACCTCAAAGTCGACCGCGACGGCACAGCAAGGTTTATGTCAAACCTTGTGGAACATCAAGAACGCTCGTACACTGAGATACGAGCATACAGGTCAACCGCCGAACCGCCTACCATGTCTTCCGGCCTTGACTGGGAAATTGTCGACAATCCTCGCCCGTACACACTTCCCACACATTTGCTATCTCGAAGCGCCATCGACACATTGATCAATACCTACTTCAACAGTGTCCATGCTTTCCTGCCGATTTTGCACAAGTCAAGTTTTCTGACTCTATGCCAAGGCGGTGAACACCGCGTACCGCCCTTCCTCCTGATGGCCATCTGCGCCATTGCTTCACGCCACTCGACCGAGACCGAGCTGCAAAGTAAAATTGGGTTCACAAGCTCCCATCATGCCCTCTACGACTATGCGCGGGCCTTGCTTGACAGCTTCATTGATATCCCCAGGATCAGCACTATCCAGGGCCTGTTACTCCTTGCCTATTATCAGATCAGGGAACATCGCGCCGGCCAATTCTTTCGCGCCCGGACTTATCTCAACGTGGCAATCCGTATGGCAAGGGACATGGGGCTCGCTCGGGACCTATACAAAACCATCGATGAAATCGAGTTGGCCCATACTGACGACAGCGTTTCTACTACAGCCAGCGCCATCATTTCCATGTCGCCATCGTACCTCACGCTAAGTCATCGGCATCAACAACGCGCAGACTCAAGTGCTAGCGCCAGGAGTCTCTGCAGTGGTGGCCGTTCGCAACGAAAGAGGCTGATAGCGATCCACCAAGAGCGACGACTATCTTGGCTGGCATGCTACTTTTTGGATGGGCTCTCCAGCAGTTTACTGGGTTTCGAATACGGCGTGCCACATGTACATCCAGAGATGCGGAAGCTGATCCGAGAGGCTAACTACGCCACGGACACAACTCAAGGAGCGACTTTGATCTTCTGGTACCTCCACCTTGATCTGGTCCATCTGTATCGCCGGATATGTGACATGTACCGTCTCTCAACCTCCCAGAGTGAAAGCGTGGCTATGTCGGCCGTCATTCAGGGCACGGAGATGCTCTCAATCGAACACGCATTCGAGTCATGGATCACCAGGCTGCCCGCCCACCTCGTGTACACTAGGAAAACTCAGCCAGAAGCGATCCCTCAAGATCAGGCTGATAGCAAAGACGCCCTCCTAACTTCGTACTACACGTTATACCTTCATCGATACTACCACAGTGTCAAGCTGCTGCTCCATCGGCCTCTTATCGCCTCAAGGGTCCATCGCGGAAACCTATCCGATCCCAATTCGGCTATCAGCAAATGCGTTAACGCTGCCTCGTTGCTGACAGATATTGGAGAGACCATCTTCCAGAATTACAGCTGGCCATGGCCGGGTTGTGGTCTATTCGCCTACCATATGCTGCAAGCGATTGAGATTCACGTCTACTGTATGATCACTCGGACCAGCACTGAGGCCCAGGATATGTACCTCCGGACCATGGACCTGATTAAAGGATATGCTATTCTTGCTAAGCTGCCAGAATTGGAGAAGGATCTGTCGGCGATGAATCAGGCAGTTTCGAACCATATCCTAAAGGAATATCCAATAGTACCAACACACACGCCATTATCGATCCTGCAGCAACTTCAGCAAAGTCAGCAGCAGCAAGAGCAGGAGCGTTATCTCTCTGGCATGAAGACATCTTTTTCGGGACAGTACTCTCAGCTAAGCTTCATGACGACATCGGTATCGTCTACGACTCCAGTCAGCACCTACCATACGCAGCATCAGCTCCACATCAACCAGTCTCTCTCGCAAGTGCCCCCTGTAGACTTCGCAGGGGCAGCTGAAGATACGCGTATGCAATCGCCTCCATCCCAGCCCAACACATCGTTTCCAGCATTCCCAGTATCTTGTGCCAGCTCACTGGTATCCACAGATATGCTCCACATGGCATCGCCGTCAGAGGCATTCTCGACAGCGTTCGAATCCGTTCCAGTAGCAGGTATGAGGCAGCAAGGACAGCAATCGCAGCAATCACCACTGTCTAGTTTTCTGGATGCTATGAAGGCACCATTTGCTATGTACGGACACTCTGTCCATGACATGTTTGGAGGCAAAGAGGAACAGGATCAGCAGCAACAACCGCAGCATCAACAGCAGCAGATATACGCCTACTTGCACCCGGAGGACAATGCAACGTCGATCCCAGTGGGCGAACTTATCCATCTATCCAATATGACCACAACGACCGACCTGCCTCGACCGTGCCAACATCCTGCAACAATAGCGGCGATTAAAGGCCCAACGGATGTTCATGCCTCACAGACCCCATCCTTCTCATCCTCGTCCACTACCTCAGCGATGCCGCCACCAAAACCTCCAAAGCGCGTCCACGATCAATCTACAGGTAGCACCAATTCTTCCAGTGTGAGCCACTCCTACAGACCTCCCGTGCCGAAGAAGCCCACTCAACTCGTTGGTATGGGACCTGGTGCATCCTTAGCCCCCTTTGCGCACCATCAGCATCAACAGGTCTTCAACGAGCAGGGTCAACCAGGGTCGAATGTTTATAGTGTCATACTATCGCCGCCGCCCACGGACACTCCATCGTCAGCCCAGGCGTCTCTTCCAACTGTGAGAGTGTCTCGAAGGCCTATCAAGGTGCTGCAGGCGCAAAAGCAGCTCTATGGATGCGACTTGAAAACCCCATTGGGTCAGGGCGGTGAAGGAGTTGACGATGCCGATACCCATGCGAAATTCTTCATGGTTAACTCGGAAATGAACGAATATGTTGCTGATTACATGAAATGTAAGGCTCAAAAAGCAGCTCTTTGCTTTTCTACCCAGTGCCAGCACCTGTTTGATGCTGTGCAGAGAACTAATGCCCCTCTTTTGTTTTTTTTTCCGCTGTGCTTTAGTGAGCCCTCATCGACCCCATGTCTTGTAAGAATGTCATCGAGCACCTATACCCAGTCGTCGCCCTTATCAAATTCCCTTATATCTCAAGTTGTCCCTGTAACCATAGTCCCGTAAATATTACTAAAGTAAAGTCTTCAAATACCACATTTGTATATTTTTTTGACAGATGAACTTGCATAGCAGTGAGTCATATTCTATTTTAATGAGTGAGGAATGGGCCGCTCGTGCGTGTACAGATATGTGTGCGGATGTGTGCGAGGGTGTGTGCGGATTTATGTGCATGGGATGATTATGATGGAGAGGGAGATCGTTCGCTTTTTCTTGTCCGTTCTGCCGAATATAAAATATCCGTTGCGATAGTCCTTAGTGGTGCTTCGGTTTCGCTCCATCCACATACATATTCCTGGTCGCTGATGGGATCTTGGCCGTCAGACCGTCCAGTTCCTTAGACATCAATACTTGACATCCTAAACGCGATCTACGATGCGGAATGGTATGTTGAGCATGGGTCATAAAATAAAAAGTCTTTCAACCGATCTCAAGGACAATATGAGAGCGATTCTTACGTGTCTGTGAGACCATATGCCAAATCCAACATATCGTTCTCCTCGTCTGATGGTTCCTCCAGCTTGTTGAACGAGTTTTCGTCCAAAATCAAGTGGCAAGTTGAGCATGCCAGTGAAGCTTCGCACGCTCCTATGAAGGATATAATAATTGAGTCGCCTTGAAACACACATGTGACTTAAATCGCACAAATTCAGGCAGCAATTCAGGTTATACCTTCGACATCAAGATCGTTGGCTCTAGCGACATCTAGCAAACTCTCGCCATCATTGGCCTCTACAGTGACCTTTTCGCCGTCCTGTTTAATAAAATGGACTTTGAGTCCTGTACCTGGTGATGGACGAGGCAGTGCACCATGTTGCCACACTACAAAATAATGATAATAATAGCAAAAAAAATTGACAGGTCGTTTAGTTTCCGTAACCTCTTATTGGCGTACCCCACACAGATCATCTATGGCGTCTGGTGGGCGTTCGACTTGCATCGATAATTAGAGCGTTCTGACTAAACGCCTTGGTTTGTTCAGCATCGGTAAATCGTATAAGCGAAAATCAACAGCGCCGCTATGCCAAATTTTGCCAATGTAAATCGAACCGCCATCTGCCATCACATCAAAATCCTTGCTCTGTTGATTTCTTTGATCTGATATATAGTTCCTGAATTATCCTATTCACGCATGCTATGGGTATCCTGATCAATTGCAGGGGCAATTATCGGAAGACGGCGATCATAAAATGCTGGTATATATGTCATGCTTTGCCTTGCAGCCGATAATGCGTTTGCGCAGTATCCTGACAATTTCCTGATCCGGAACCAGTATCCTGGGAAAGAGAAAAAGGTCGCATGAACCCAGGGCAACAGCGAAAATATTGCTTGCCCAATGAATATCCAGGAGTACTTGCTTCTGTCATTACCTGGACCGGTTGAAAAGAGCATATGTTGATTGTATGAGCTCCTGACGGTTGGAGAGGCAACAAGCCGGGAGTCAAATGGAATCAGCGTGTTTCTTGCGATCCGTGAGATGGTATTTCGGTTGTTGAAACTTGTTGTCGAGATAGAACGGGTGGTCGATTGAGAAAGTACGAATGAGGCGACCGCAGCGCGTCTGAGGGCGGATGTGAACACCATGTTTCGAGGCTATGGGGATGCGTGGAGAGGGGAGTGGAGAGGCAAAGGAAAGCGGGGAAAAGTTTGAAGGACCAGATCCAAATAAGGCAAATTAATGACGAATGCACGTGGCAGAATCAACCGTTGGAGTAAAGGTAACGTCGCGCTGTAGGACAGCCCTACATTCCCTCGGGAATGGGTGGACACATCCAAGTGCTGCATGGACACAAAGCGAAGAAGGGGAATGTCCACGATCCAGGGCAAATAATTGTGATATTGCTGGGGTTGAGACTCAGCTTTTCACGCACTGAATTCAGGATTGCGAGATAGTCGCATGATGGTACACATCCTGCACGAGACCGACCAATCCCTATCCCTATCCCTTGGCGACGTCGATAAATGCTCCAAGTCGATATAATCGGCTATTCCAATTAGCTGCTATCAGTCAGTCTAACTTCACGACATAAAGCTCTGTTCATGCGCATGTGCGAATAATCGTATCAAAGAAGGAGAAAGAAGGGGGGGAAGGGGAGGGGGGATTAAGCACGAATCAGACCACTTCGCATTCCAAGCGAGGCCATTATACGACGTGCTGGTAGCTGCGAGGGCAAATGAGGAAGGATGCAGATGGCAAATCTAACCACATGCCATAAGGGTGCAAAAGTACGGTTGGTTCGTATCCATGTTGGATACCAAAAGGATCGTCGCCTTGTTCAGGACAAGAAGGGGTCTGGGAGACGAAATTGGCCGTGCTTGTGCTGTCGCACGTTCTTGCCTTGGCGCATAAATTTATCCAAACCCAGGGCAATGGAAACACGGTCGATCGTCAACGAATCTGACAGAGCTGTGGGTGGTGGAGAGAAGACTAGGGCTCAAGTGCAGTGCACGTGCGTGTTGCGCGTTCGTGTCTCTGAATGTTTGAGGTGGTATAAACTTTGGAGTGAGCATTGCAGAGCCTTTTCCATTTTAGTTGATCAATCAGCTCTTTATAACACATAACCTTGTTCTCCAATCCAATGACGATACAAGAGTTAAGGCGACGATAATACCGATGATAATGACGATCGTTCCCCTACTGCCTCAATCGTGGATGCGGAGTCGAGTCGAGTTCGCGGAAACCTTAAGTTATCCAGCTCAACCCACATCCTGGTACATGTATGAGCCCATGTAAACCAATGTGTTACGGGAGGAGGAAGGAGATCAGAGGCTCAATTGAACAGCAATTGTCGGAACAGTGCTATCCGAGGCTTGGAAACAGTGACAGTATGGACACTTTACTCCAGGACTTTAATCTTTTGATAATTGGGTAAGCTCTGTGGAAGAGGGAAGGAAAGACGGATAAGAACAGCTTCGGGCAAATGCAAATAAACGGATGAGCGAATGGACGAATCAATGGATGGAGTTGGGTGACGGATGCCAAGGAAGGATCGCTGGATTATGAGCGAAAGGGCCTAGGGGCGAGCATGTGTATACAGACTATTGATACATGAATGTGTATCTATGTTCTTCTACGCTTGTCTGTGTTCAGTAGGTGGAGGCGGAGGGGGAGAAAGAGGGGAAGGGGAGGCGACCAGGGAGGGGGGTTTGGGGATAGCAGATGTGTGGGTAGGTGGTGAGGCGGCGAGGAAGCTCTGGACAGTCGCTCAAACGCGCGTTGCTCATTTTGCCTACAGGTCTTTTTTTACTATTTTTTTTTATACTTTTTTTGCAGAGGATCCCAGCTACTCATTTCTGCGTCGTTCTCTCCTCTTCCTTCTCTTTTCATCTCTCTTTCTCTCCCTCTCCCGTCCTCCTACTTTTCCCTCTCCCTTTTTCTCCCTCTTTCTCGTTCTCGTCCACGTTCTCTTTCCAGCCTGAAAGGGAAAAAAAAATTCCATGGCTCTGCTTTAATTTTTATTTGTCCGTGATAATTCTTTGTTCGACCAAGGAATACAGGATTGAATTATAAGACAATATAAAGTAAACCGGCAACTCCCTACTTCAAGCTTATGTCGCTCGCCCTGAAGCGAATTGCATGCAGTCGACCTGATTCATTCCATAAAACAGAACTCCATGGGGATTATTCTGATGCCCTTGGTCCTCTCCTTGTTTCGAATGAACTTGTGCAATGCAGGCATTCGGCCTGATGCAAGCCCATTGTCTTTTTTTTTTTGTGTGTGTGTGTGTGTGTGTGTGTGTGTGTGTGTGTGTGTGTGTGTATGTGTATGAGTGTGTGTATGAGGGTGTGTATGAGGGTGTGTATGAGGGTGTGTATGAGGGTGTGTATGAGAGTGAGTAAGTGAATGAGGGAGGGAGGGAGGGAGGGAGGGAGGGAGGGAGGGAGAGACAGAGAGAGGAAAAAAAATAGTTACAACATGCCACACTCAAACAAACTACTGTGTTTTACAGCACAATGACCCTGCAGGGTCACCCTCTTGTCCAACAAACTGAACATCTCACAGCTCTTCTCCCTCTCTCTCTGTGTTCCTGTAGTAAATTATCTGTGTCCCACCATTGCACAGCGCCAAAACCACACACCGAAACGCGACTGTTGCCCTCTACCGACCACTGGGACCCCTATTCAATCCTCGGCTTCAGACAACATGGATAAGATCAGATACTACCAGCCACGCGATCAGGCCACGGACGAAGACAGTGACGGTGACATTGACCTTGCCGGATTGTGAGTTCCTATCATTGTTGGCCATTATTAGATGTAAACAGTATACCGTTTGAAATTAACAAGCACGCGATATCATACATATATAACTCTTGTTTATCTATTCTTTAGAACATACTCTCTCGAGATTGTTCAGCAACCCCAAAGAGCAAGGATGTGTGGGTTCGGCGACAAGGTAGGGCATGAATAATCAACTCCGTGTCAATTAAACTGTGTGTGCTGGGAGCACGCACACAGGATTCATAAAGGCCTGCTAGTCTCTCCATAGGCGCACCGCTTTGGGTACGAGTGTATGCCCTGTGGGACTCTATAGTTTGGAGACGTTTCATTATGGATACCGCAACATTAAAAAGCAATCAATCAGCCACGGTAAAAAGAGTCCATTGAGCACATCTTAACCACTTGCATGTCAATCCCATGCTTTTAGGATCGCCGCAACATCACGCCCGCGCCCGTTTTAAAATTAGTGGCCAAGACGAGCGAGGGAAAGATTGTTCAAGCTAGGTTTGTATCTCTTCCATGCTATCAAATGCACGACAATAGCACGCGTCTCGACTTTTATGAAGAGAGCAAAAGGCGTAGGAATGAGGCGTGAAAAAAAGTGGTTATTCCTGATGGTGCTGGCAATGTAAACTTGCGGCAAAACAGGTACAGGATCATGAACTTTGCCTGCCGTTTAATGAAATCTGCCGTATGCGAATGTCCCACAGGCGATGCCAAAAGTGCTAGACAAGCCAACAAAATGTGCTGCTGTTTCTGGCGCCGTTGTTGTTGGCAGGTGAAATTCGTGTTGGGTGAGCAACGGGCTCTTATTTTTATTTTTAAGAAGGCGGCATCCTCACGCCTTACCATATTTTCACAAGGGCCTTGTGTTAATGCTTGTATTTGGAGGGAATGCTCTGCCTACACCTTTGCTCGGAATGGATGGTCGCAGCCGGAGTCTCGGTTTTCGCGAAGGTCCACAAAACCTTATTTCATCTCTCCTGTTAGGTTGTGGTCAGACAAACATGTAAACGAGTTATGAATCACACTTATTCACTTCTTTACTCTTGTTCTTCTTTTTGCTCCAATTGCTTCCCTATCTTCCGATGCCAACAGCCGTTTGAGCAGACAGGCATTTGTCGTGAATGCCGATCTCTGGTTAGAGGACGAGGTCACAGAGAGAAATCTGGTCTTGATCTCGTCCATCTCCTCCGCAAAGCCGCCACAAAGGCCTTGCCCATCCAGGCCGATCGACTCAACATCATCAAGGGGATCTCGCTCATCCAAGACTCCAGGAGGTATACAGCATATGGATAGTATGCGCCTCTTTCATTTCATTGAGGGCTCTGTGATATACTAAGCACCCAAAGTTTCGTCCTGATCCCATGTAGGAAATAAATCTGGTAGCACATCGCCAACACTCACACCAGATGGACACTCCACGCTAATAGTACCAGATAAACTTTCTCCCTCAGAGAGACCCAAACAAGCGGTTCGGTTTCAAGACGGACATTACGATCCTTCGTCAGATCACCATTGGAATGAATCCAGGGACACTCTCAAACACGAAGAGACGCGTGTACACCAACGGACAGACAGCGCACGTTCAGCAACAAATCCAGATGATGTCTATAACATGAATACGGAACAAGCTGTTGATGAAGAAATGGACGAGTTGCAGGGGGGCTCTACAGAGGAAGATGTCGACTGGGAAAGCCTTTCGACTCAAAATCTTGTAGGCCAAACCACTGTCGCGGGTCAAGTCGCGCCGGACCTTGACGGCAAGTCATCCCACATTTGGTTTGCTTTCAGTGTGCTCTCTATCCGGACAGAGGGTATTTTCAAGCTACGGTTCTCTCTGATTGACCTGACGCAAATGGAAGGGTATGTCCCGCGGAACCAGGGTGTTTGAATGCGCATACGCGATGCAACTACTGCAGCAAATTAATACTGCTCACACAATGCTTCACTTAACCTAGAAAAACCGCCTCTGTGATATATATGTTGTTCTCCAATCCTATTCATGTTCAGTCGCCAAAAAAGTTTCTTGGCACATGTGGTAAGGAAGGGCGGTATTCTTGTCATACAATTGGCGGTAAACGCCACTGTGGACATCCAAAGGCTAAAAAACCTTTTTTCCTACTAGATAACAACAAGATTGCGAACCACTTGAACAAGTACTCGATAAGAATTCCATCCCGCAAAGATGAGAAGCCATACAGAGGCTAACATTGATAGTCTTATGGAAGTCGAGAGTTAAGGCGCGTTTGTGAATAAATGACCTGTGAGCCCACTATTGGTATATTTTTCTATTCCTCTATTGACGCGTCATTTTGTGCGGGAACTGTATCATGTGATGTCAACGTCCTCTCAGAAAAGTGAAAAAGCACGCGAAGTGCTGCTGCTGAGCTTTCATCTTCAGTCCAACCAGCACCCAGACATGAATGAGAGTGAAGAGAACAGAGTCAACATAACCAAAAACGAGCGCGAGGAGGATTCCTTTTCGGATGAGGACGAAGTCGTTCATTCTGTTCGCTTCAAGCGGAAAAAGATTAACGACGTTTCAGAGAATGGTGCAACTGGCGGCTCTGCAGGAACAGTAGGGACATCAGCTGGACGTGGATCAGGACTATACCTCGACACGATTCAACGCTACATGCTTGACTTTGATTTCGAAAAAGTGTGCTCGGTATCACTCTCGAACTTGAATGTCTATGCTTGTTTGGTCTGCGGAAAATATTTTCAAGGTACAGAGGGCGAGCCAGCATGTTCTGTTTTACTAGTATCTTGTCGACACGGCAACAATGCCTCCATTGATCATCGATAGATAACAGAAACGACTGTCAACCCAATTAAACAATCAACCCATAGGACGCGGTCCATCATCTCATGCCTACTTTCACAGTCTTCATGAAAATCATCACGTCTACATCAACCTCAGTACGCTCAAGATTTACGTTTTACCGGACTCTTATGAGGTTACGGACTCTTCCCTGGATGACATCAAGGTAGGACAGCGCTCCAGCTTAGTATGAAGCTTGCTGTTGAAGGATCAATAGATCGAAAGTATTTACTTGTTCTGTAGTACGTTCTGGATCCAAGATTTACGCCAGCGCAGGTAGAAGCGCTTGACAAGAACTCTCGTCAGTCCTTCGATTTGAACCGCAAGCCTTATCTCCCAGGTATTCATTCTTTGCATGACTGCGAACACTCCTGCACGAGGGGCGGAAATATGAATGATATCGCTTTGCCTCAAATCTGCGACAATTAATGGACTTTTTTACGATCGTTTTGTGCTTCGCAGGATTCATTGGACTGAATAATGTCAAGGCAAACGACTATGTGAACGTGGTGATTCAGGTCTTGGCTCACGTTCCCCCCGTTCGCAACTATTTTATGTTGCAAAACTTTGATGACAAATCGGAGCTTGTGAAGAGATTCAGCACATTGGTTCGCAAGATATGGAATCCTGCAGCCTTTAAGGGCCAAGTTAGTCCACATGAGCTGCTGCAGGTACGCAACAGCTCTTCTTTGCTATGATAATTCATATAGTGATACCTAGCATTGCTCATCCAGCTTTCATTATTGCTTCTTGTTCTATTAGGAAATTTCAAATGCTAGTAACAGGAAGTTCAAGTTGACGGAGCAAAGCGATCCATTGGCGTTTCTATCATGGTTTTTGAACACGTTACACAGGGAGCTTGGAGGATCGAAGAAGAAGAATAGTAGCATCATATATTCCACCTTCCAGGGAGAAGTGTCGATCGAGAGTCAGCCGATTGAGACAAAGGCCCCAAAGGGCGCAGAACTGGCATTTGATGTCAACAACGGTAATGACTATGTTTGTGCTGAGCTGACCTCTCTGCTTTTCGCTTGTAGTCAGCTAATAGACAGTCGCTCCATCTACTTAATAGCAATTACAAGGGTCACGTCGCCGTTTTTATTCTTGGCTTTGGAATTGCCGCCTCCACCACTCTTCCATGACGAGCTTGAAAAAAATATTATCCCGCAGATCCCTCTGACAACCATTCTCTCCAAATACGATGGCAGGACAATTCAGGTTCGTTTCCTGTTAAAAATTCTGCATTTACGAAGTTTATACACATCCTTCTCTAATGCTTGCATCTGAATTTTTATGTAAATAATAGGAAAGCGTCGCAGACCTGAAACGTTTCCAAATTACCCGACTACCCAACTACATTATCCTTCATATCAAGCGATTTTCGAAAAACAACTTTATTGAGGAGAAGAACCCAACTATTGTTACATTTCCTATCAAAAACTTGAGCATGGCCGAGTGTAAGTGTATACCGTTTGACATAGTATGCGTTCTTGTCATCACAATGTAACCGATCTAACGCCTACGCTTTTCTTGTATTAGTTGTGTCTGATCCAGAGAAGGAGAAGGTGCTCGGATTACATTATGACCTGCTTGCAAACATCACACACGAGGGAGATCCGGCCATACCGAATTCTACAAGCTATAAAGTCCATACTCAGCACCGTGCCAAAGAGCAGTGGTATCAAATCCAGGACTTATTCGTTGAGGAGATCAATGCGCAAATGATCTTCCTATCAGAGTCCTATATCCAGGTACGTGGTGAATGGTGTCAAAGGCTGAGTGCCATCTATCGCTGCTCGAGTGTTCAAGTGCATAATGTTAACTTCCATTATCCCCCTCTTGAACACATCCTATGCTTAGGTTTGGGAGCGCAAGACCTTAGTCTGACATGGACTTTGCTGATAGCAGAAGACATACTCAATTAAACCAGAGATTTTACCCCTCCCCCCTCCCCCACGATATTCGGGCTGAAAGAGTTCCATTAACACGAAGCAACAGCTTGTAATTGGTCACGCCATGGGATGGTGGAGGCAATGGCGACTAAAACAACTGCCTTCCAATTTACCAGCTGAGCTTTTGCCGATCATATAGCGGGAGAATCGCCCATCCCATGGCGAGCCTGCAGGGCAGGCAGCGATCTTCCCATTTCCCCACCATCCCTGTGCTCGTTTTCCCCCTTGCACTCAATCCAAAGCACAACACGCTTTCTCCTCAACAGTTGACGACGACCAGCTATTGCTTTTGAAACAACCCAGTCCATCTCCTGCACTTTCAACCAAGAGCAGAGAGAGAACCACATGGTCGTATACAGAAGGGAGCTTGCAGACAAGCTTGGACACAATCTTCGCAGCTTTGACCAAACTTCATGAGCAAGAGCCCAGCGTTAGTGTTATGCTTATACAAACAAAGACAGAGGGCAACCTTCCTTCTTCGACTCGGGTCTGCCGTGCAGCCACAGCCGCATCGGCCAGGTGCTTGTGTACTCGCATAAAACAAACACTCATCAGTTAGCGCCTTCTTCTCATCCTCCAGATCCTTGCCACATCAATACCTCCTCGCACCCCTACTCCTTTCTTCCACTTGCGTTTTTTTCGAGTCTTCTCTGGTCTGCCTCGCACTTTATACTCCATATTCCTGACTTCTAGCTATAGAGCTTACTGTCGCCATCCCTCCAATCACATTGCGTCTTTAAACGATGCGGCACACAATTACGCCTCAGCATCATCCCCAGCAGCAGCAACAGCAGCAACAGCAGCTGCAGAGTCAGCAGCCCTTGCACTTCGCGCCCCTGACACAACATTCGCTTGCACAGCAGCAGCAACTACAACAGCAGCAGCGACTCCAACAGCAGCAACACGCTCTAATTGCCCAGTACAATAACAGTCGAGGAGAGCAGCATCTAGCAGGGCCAATTGGTTCCCAACAAGCGTATCAGTTATATAATACGACACACAATGATCCAGACCATACGTCCTTGGTGTCCCAGCAGCAACAGCAACAACAACAGTTGCAGGAAGGGCAGTTTTACATGTCTGCGATACAGCAGCAGACCGCCCTACAGAATCAATTGGGACAGCAAGCCCTGCAACAGCAGCAGCAGCAACACTCCAAGCAATCAGCATCTGGAAAGCAAAAGACCGCGTCTCATTATGGCCAGAGATATAATCCCATTTACCCTTCACCAGCACCCTCGTCCACCACTCCAGACTTGCCCAATGCCTCACTCAGCGTCTCCCATACTGCCACCGTCACTCCTCTTCCCATACCTGTATCTGAATCAACGGCCCCTAACTCCTCAACTATGAATTCAGTCAGGCAGTCGCTAACTCCCCAGCTCTCGCCATATTTGAATACCGCAGGGTCAAGTAGTGACAACTTGACGCCGTCTTGGTCGTCTGCTCATCCGTCCTCAAGCCCGTCTTCTGTCGCGTCATTGCCAGCATATATGTACACTAACGAGGTAAAAAAGCGATGCTGTTATATGGGTTGTTTCACATTAATTGATGGCGATCAATTGGATAGGGAATGCGAGAATTGCTTGCCAATGTCATACAGTATGAAGGGCAGGAAAAAAAGATAGTTTGTTCATTTAGCTGTGCGGTAGTCTTTATAGTTGGTGTTTCTCTCGGCTGGGTCATCTTTCATCGATTGGTTCTGGACCCACTTCTTAAATCGTTGTGGGTTATCAACTTTTATGTTTGTTCTATGTCCCATTGGAATTTGCTCTGAGAAACGCGCGATCAAGAGGATAGTGGGCACGTTCCTGGTCAGGAACATGGTGTGTATTTTGTTGCGAATCTCCTTTGCCTCTCGCCACTCTCATTGGCCATGCATATTCTTTGGTATTTTGGGACTTTGGTATCATGGAGCTGTGCACGTGCAAGTTTTCCGACACTAACAGGATGAGGTTTTTTTTTTTGCGTCGATCGCTTTAGACAAAGCACGCGTCTGTACCGGGCACAGACCTTGCCATCTCGAATCCTTTGACAGCAAACAATCTTTATGCAAGATCACTCCATACGCCGTTCTACCAGATGGATGTGGCTACCATCAATGGGGCTCCCCTTGGTTATGGCTCTCAGTTACCCAGGTACGAACCACAGATTGTGACAATGCAATTCTATTTATCTTTATATATTCTCAATCATTGTTGCCAATGGACTTATTCTACTCGGTTCTAATACTTTTTGTTTGTGTGGACATTAGTGATATGCCGTTGTTGGGAACGCCAGTTACGCTAGCAGCCGGCAATGCTCTCTCCCAATCCTTAGCATTGTCTCACTCGGGACTACCTGTTTTTGATGTTAAGGCCTATACATTCCGCAAAAAACCCAGGCATTACGTCGCAGTTAAGCATAAGAATGCTTTACGTATTGAGCCCATTATTTATCTCAAGACCAGTATTCTGGATGAACATCGGCAGGTAGTCCGAAACTGGGATTATTTGCGATTCAACCTTGACCGGTTCAGGGACAATGCACAGCCCAAAAAGAAACTGAGCTCTGAAGGCAAGCATTTTGGACATCACTATGAGCTCTGTAATATGAAAAATTCAGAACACTTCTAATCGCTGATGCTTTTTATTTGCTCAATAATTTGGTCCGCGGATATAGAGATGCGAGGCGCGAGGATATTGGATGTCGACATTGTTTTAATCTCGCCCAACAACAGGGATCGTGTCATCGAAGATTCCTGTCCGGCCTGTGTAATGCGCATGGATGGTGAGAGAAAGGTAAGAAGTCGAGGCGAGAAATATCAGTATTGTTTTTTTTTAGGCAAATAACACGCGTTGTTTACAAACGTGCTGATATGCTCTACGTCGTCCGCTACACGTCTACCATTAGATCATGCAAGTTTTAGCAAAGAACTTCAAGCAAAGTCCTGCAGGAGAACCGTTGATTGATATTCGCAAGGGCCACGCCATTGTCTGCATCAAGTTGAACTGCTATTGTGATCACCACAACGAACAGGAGGGGTTCGTTGTACGGATGCAGACGTCTCCTGAAGTTGTGCGCATGGGCGGCTCAGTCAAGTTGCGCATTTGTTGCGAGGCTCGCTCTAAAACCGGAAACGCAGAGCAGGACGCTGAGGAAGAAGATGGACTGACGGATATTGATGCACCCGTCTCCACAGGTTCTCGGTCTCCTGCCATGGTCCCTAATGAACAGATGCTGCAGAGTCCATCCCTGAGTCATGCTAGCTCGAACAGCTCGCTGGTAAAGGGACATCAGCGCACCCCTTCGACCAACTCGAGCTCAATGGCTTCCCCTAGGTCGATGGATGAGCGCGTGATCAACTCCTTGGCGGTCGGCAATATGGGCTATGAGAACGGAATAATGAACGGCCATCGCAGCAACAACAGTAACGGAGGCATGAACGACCGTGTCATTGCGCCACCAAAATTTCGTCAGATCTATCCGCTCACCCCGAGCGAGGGAACGGTCCTCGGAGGCACCCGAGTCACGATCCATGGCGCCCACTTCGATGTGCTTCAGAACCCTGTTGTTTATTTTGGCAAAGTCCCAGCAGAGTTGGTGACGATCTCCCACCATGATGTGATGGAGTGCACTACTCCTGCAGCAGAGAACCTGAAGCCGGGCATCGTCGCCGTTCAGATTGTATCCTTGGCGTTCCCTTTGAGTGCACAAACAGACAGCGTGGATTTCATGTACATGGCGCCGCCAGACTACGATTTTTGCAATTTGGCTGCCCATTCCTTGTCGTACGCCATGGCCAACGAATATCCGCAGGACAACAGCGTAAGTGTTTGATTTGTTCAGGTTAAGTACTCCTACGTATCAAAAGATCTATGTGCCTTATTCGGCTGCATTCCCTTACTTTCATAAAACAGTTGGCCTTCCTTCTGAATGGACACGGGGCAGGAGCGGGTATTAATCTCGGATTGTTGGACGATGGAACAGCGTTGGTCGGCAATGACATCGATGTTGGTTTTGCATTTTCGCTATCGGCCAAAGAGGACATGGCGCTCGATTTCTTGCGCACTATCCAAAGTTTGGCACCGGGCCGCATCCTGCCTTCATTTAGGGTAAGCAAAACAAAGTTCCTTTAGCACCTTTTTTTTTTGGACATTTTGAACGTCAACTAATTATATGTATGTTTCAAACGAACCCTAGAACGACTCGGGGCATACATTACTACATTTTGCCGCTCAATCTGGCATGACCAGATTAGTGCGGGAGTTGCTGGCCATGGGCATTGATCACACAACTTTGGATAGGAATAACAAGACTGGTATGTGGAACTTGCACACGTGCACTGGAATCTGATCTATTAAGCACTCCTCAACAATCCCTCTCTTTAATGCAATATTCTCAATATCACCATAGCGCTTCACTTTGCTCGCATGATCCACAATGAAGAGATCGTCCAAATGCTCGCCCAGGCCAGAGTCCCACCTCGCCCCATGGTACCGCGCCTGGATTCAGAGGATAACAATCGCAATACACGAAAGGATGCCGTGGCGGCATTGATCCGTAGATACGAGGAGGATCTGGTCAGGGTCGTGAAGCAGGAACGACACCATAGGCACCGGATGCTTACAGAGATGAGAGATCGGACAGCGCATATCATGGACCTCAAGGACCAAGCTACCATGAATACAACCTCGCACACCTTATCCCATACTTCTGATTCAGCCACTACAGATGCTATAGGACACGAGCATCACCATCATAACTCGAGGATGACGGCAGAGGATACAGAAGAAGACGACATCATGGTAGATGACATGTCGAACCCGTCTTCGCCCGAGGGAGGTAGATCTCAGGACGGAAGGATGGACTGGGATGACGAAGGAAACGATCGAAGCGAGACTGACCATGAGCGCAGGCGAAAGGCGAAAGAGGATCCCGGGGGATCCCAGGAATCCGGTCGGAAGTTGTCCAGAGAGCAGCCCACACCTCCCGCTGCTTCAGCACGCTTGGCTGCTAGGCCTAGCACCCTAGCACCAACTCAGTTGGGAGACATCCAGGATGGAGCGAGCCGTTGGGAAAAGTCCAGAAGCATGGCCTTGTTTGGGCACACAGGGGAACTCTCTAAACAGATCGGATTCCAGTCATGGTCCTGCGACAAATGGTCTGTCTCATCCTTAAAAGATGCCTCCACAGAGTCTACCCTTGCTGAAATGGCATCATCCACCCATGATGGCGTCCTTCATGTGCTGGCCTTGACAGGTACAGGTCTACACCATTACCAAGAGCAGTCGCCATCAGTACCGGGTGTGTTTGCCAGAAACCTTGAGCATTGGAGTTTGCTTGAAGTTGAGGATGTGCATTTTAATGCAAAGGGCCAATCTACGGTTGTCAATATTGATATGTGCGGACTGGTAGCACGGGGCGGCAGGGGCATTATCGGAGAGCGGATCCGTGTGGAGCTTTCCAAGAATGACGCGCAAGATCTTATGGATACTCTCAGACGAGCCCATAGTGGGCTCATGCGCCACCTGAACTTGCATCCGAAGTTTGAGAACGCTTCGGATAGCACGGCTCGGCGACAAGAGGTGGAGAAGAGCGAGGAATGGATCGACTCAACACTTCGCCTGTGGGGTAGACTGTTCAACATTGAGGATCAGGCCCTCAAATCTGTCGATTACTCGATTCGTCACGGAACATTCACCTTGAAACCTGTTCAGGAAGGTAGGAGGGGTCACTCTATTTTCATCATGGGTGCGATCATGCGTATGCTTCGAGAGTACGACCAATGCTCCAAAGTTCGGTTCGAGAATGTACGGGTACTCGAGGACGGATGGAACAAGCCAGAGTTGATCAACGAGCTCGAAAAGATGACGCGGGAGATGAAGCAGATTGATCGGTGGAACTTTGCGGGCTGCGGCTGGAGCTCGGAAACTGCGAAGGGATTTCTGGGCGGATTCACGAGAACGTACTATGCGGAGACAGGAACGGATCCAGATCGCGAACCTTGTAGGCGAATCTCCTTGGCCAGGAATGACTTTGAAGGCGAAGATACCGTTGGCTACTTGTTAGCGAGATGTCTGGGAGAATGGCGACAGTTCAAGACGCTGGATCTTACAGACTGCAACATTGGTCTTGCGGGCATGGAGGCCCTCGTCAACAGCCTCCAGAATATGTTTACGATTCGACTGCAGGGTAACAGAGTCGATGACCGCTGGTGGCAATGGGTAGACACGCTACTGGCAAAAAATCAAACGTTGCAAAAGTGTCGTCTGGGCGCCCCGATTCGTCCTCCAGCTACAGATAGGAGCCTGATCTATGCGGAGCGACTCTCCACGCTGCAAGACCTCGCTGTATTGGATCTCTCTACTACCCCTGTCAATCACGCCACGATCGCTGTTTTGAGCTCATTTGTGTCCACCCATGGAGAGCTGATGACGCTTGCTTTGACACGCTGCCAGCTTGACTGGACTAGCGTTGTGCCCTTATTCAAGACTCTCTGCGCGGTGAACAAGAGCACCAAGTTTACGCTTGATGTCAGTCAAAACCCGCTCTTTGACTCGGAAGCATCGCTTTTGGGTTGGATTCAAGTTCTCGCTAAGGATGGAAGGAGGGTTGATGGGACACCGTTCGGTGTCAAGATGCAAGGCCTCATCATCCGGGACGCTGTCTTGCGGCGGGCACTCGAGCCATTGGAGGAGGCCACTTGTTTGAATGAGTTCAACATTAAGGGCATGCTGATTAAGCGCGAGAGCCAGGCAGCAGAACTGGAAGGTCTAGCCTATGGGGAAGCAAGCGCCAGGATCAGGCCTGAGGATGCATCTGACGAAACTTGTCTCGGCCTCGGACGTGTGCTGTCCAGGAACAAGACTCTGGTCATGATGGATATCTCGGGTACAGAAATCAAGCAGCAAGTTCAGGAACAGACAGGCAGCAGCACAGCGCCTGCCAATGCACGCAAGAACGTTGTGGCAATCGGTCGTTCGACCGGTGGATTCGGACGACAGGTGTCGCTGGCCTTCTTAGCACTCGCGGAGAATGACACGCTTCGGGTGTTGTCCATGGACCATAACCGGTTTGGAGAAGATGGCATGGTGCTGTTGGCGGAGGCACTGAAGTCGAACACTGGTATCGGTGTTTTGTCATGCGACGGTAACGATGCCTACACCCACAAAGCATTGAAGGCAATCGAGAATATTCTGCCTCCGTTCGAGCTCACTCCCACCTTGGCACCGTCGCCGTCTTCTATGGCTTCGACTCAGACGAGGACATTCCAGGGCACAATGGAGGAAGCGCAGGCGGCCGGGTACAACAGCACGCTGTCGTTGTGGATACTCAAGTCAGACGAGATTCTGATGCATCAGGACCTTCTTTCAATGGAGGTGGAGCGACTGTTGACAGATCTGCACCGAATCGAAAAACTGCAGGCATGCAGCCGCGAACAAGAGGGAAAGTTTAATGCAGGAGGGAGCATTATTAGTGGCGCGACGCTGTTGGTGGATGCAAAGGAGCGGCACGAAGGAGCAGTACGGAGTCGGGAGGATTACTTCCACACGTACTCGAGGATTGTTGGAGCTATTGAGGAGAACAACAGGAGGACAAGGGAGGTCTATGAGCGGAAGAAAATGATGGAGCAACAGGCGTCGTCTTTGTAGAATACGCCGTTACATATGGTGCTGATATACCCCCTCTTCAGGAATAGTAGTAGACGCGAACTAAGGATTTGTCTTTACTTATCCATGTGTTTTGTGCCTCCTGTGCCTGAATCTGTTTCTTATGCCCGAATCTGTCAATTTAGCTCAATGAAAATTGAGATATGAGCATCATTAAGTGCAATCTAAATTAGGAGCCAGTATCCAAAAAAAAATAGCACAGGGTTCGAGGAGTCAGTGAAAAAGGAAGTTGCGTAAGGATTTTAGCTGCAAAACTAAGAAATCACAACTAAAACCCTTAAATAACTTTCTTTTTCATTGACCCCTTGTAGGTGGCCAAAAAGAAAACAGGATATTTCCAGGCCTTCTTTAAAGGGCGGATTGAGCCTAGGCCCCTCTTCCTTGTCCGCCTTCTGCTTCTCTTTATTCATACACTCACTCGCTCATCTACACTCTTACTCATTCGTCTTTGTCTGTTCATCTCATTTCATCTCATCCGAGTCCACCCCTTTCGGCGCACACATCCCCCCTCCTCCCTTACAAGAGTCATGGCTCTGATGCAGGGCAGCAGCACTAAATCCGAGTTCAGTGCCAAGAACAGGACGCTTCTCCTTCTCTTGATTTCCAGCATCGCCGTCTTCATTTTCTCCGTCCAGTTCCACTGGGCACCGTACCTGCGAGACTTTAACCTTGGAAACGATACTCTCAACGTACACGAAAACGACTCATTATCACCATCGCCATCATCGCCACTACCACCCAGTAAGCAGTCGCAACTAGACGGTGAAAACGACCACAATCTCTTCCTGACCGTATTCCCTGCAAGACCACCATCAGAAGGGGAGCGGTTTTTAGCTTACCTGCCTCACAGCGGCTTCCACAACCAACGCATCGCTCTCGAAAACGCGCTTCGACTCGCTGCCTATCTCGACCGGACTCTCCTCTTACCGCCGCTGTTCTTGAGTCACATTCGAAAGGGTCAGGGCTGGAGTAAATCGCCTAACTTGTTTCAACAATGGGCTGGCCGTAACAAGACCCGCATCGACTACTGCCGAAACATCGATCCATCTACCTGGCCACCCAAGACTCGGAAACAGCGCGAAGACATGACGGACCAGGAAAAGAAGATCGAGCAAGAGTGTCTATTTTATCACGCCTGGACAATGACGCCCTGGACGTACTTTTACGATATTCCCAAGATTCTGGAGGGCATTGTCGGCGTTGCTGGTCAGACAGAGCCCATCAGAGTATTCGATCGTCCTGTGATGACTTTGGAATGGTTGGTGGAGCATCTGGGGATCCGGGATCCAAGTACAGAGATTTATTTCTATAATGACAGTACTCGCTTTTCATACCGAATTGTGGACGATTCAGAGATAGACTACAGCGTCAAGCCCAAAGAAAAGGAAGACAGAAACAACAATGGACTGGACGACTCAATGGAAGGTCTGACGCCAGAGCAGATCGCATCCGTTAGTCGATACGAATACAAGTTGTTCTTAACAGATCTCCAGCAAAGACCCGAGAAGGTATTGCATTTTGGGTCGTTATATGACAGGGATAGGGTTGAGGCACGATCCGAACGGCACAAGGCCTTGCGAAGCTTTATTTCATACGGGATGGACCTCTGGAATCAGGCCATTCTGAATGCAATAAGCCTAGCAGAGAAGCAGATGGACGAGTGGAGGGAGGAAACAGGCAGGGCTGCACCAGGATTCTTGGGCGTGCATTTCCGTACCGAGGATGGCGGCTTTGTGAAGATGGTTCCCAAAAATCTACAACGAATAATTGCGTGGCTCGGGGAGATGTTGAAACAGGACCGCAAGTATCTAAAAGAAAATGACAGGAAGGCAGCAGTGCAGCAGGTTCCGGCTCCAACAATCTCCCAGAAAATGGATAGTGTCGATAGAGTAAATGAGACTCAGATACTGTCGCCAAACCCATCAACGATCCCCTCAGTCTTACCAAAGGATGCCGCGGAACAAGAGACGTCCCTAACATTTTTGGAACGCTGCAAGGGTGCTCCACCCCAGTCACCCATGACCTTCATGGCAACCGATGTGCACCAACCCCGCCAGGCCCCTCTGCTGCGCGATCTTCTGAACCGTTACCCGTGCACGATGTTTTTGTCGGATTTTCCAGAAGCTGTGAGCACCCTGGAGCGGATCCGGAACCCGACGGACGGAGTGGAAATGATGCATTACATGATTCCATTAATCGACGCGACCCTAGCAGCGAAGGGGAGGGAGTTCCAGGGAACGGAGAGTAGTACGTTTACAGCTTATATTATGGACCATCTTTGGCCCGAGTACCATCCTGACCGGGCTGTTGAGACCACTGAATAGAAACAAATAAGGCTTGTTGGACGATTTAGACAGAAACCTGCGTAGGATATACCCCCTCTCTTGCCTTCAATATAATTAATATGAACGACCAGTGCTTTTGGTGCAACAGAAAAGGCATACACACGTAACAGACGCGCCTCTGCACAGCAAATTGGAGTGGCAAATATATTCATTAAGGGGTTTGCCCTCTCTGACGTGTCGTGCCAGCCTGTATGCTGATTGGCGGATATTCTGGCAGCTTCTTTGTATTTGATAGGCCTAAAATTGGATGGTATATTGCTTCAGAGCTCAGACTGAATCCTGAATCCCCTTACCCCTCTCTTCCACTCATCCCCATCGACCCTTTTCCCTTGTCCATCTTCCACTCTCTCTTCCGGGGTTTATCTTTCTTTTCCGTCAAAACACCTCTTGCCACAGGCACGGATACCGGAACATAACGGGACATCGACACTAGACATCAACAACAGCGAATCCAGCTACTACTGCCTTGAAATAAAAGATGGCAAAGTACACGTTTGACGAGAGTGGGGACACGTTCAACTACTTTGTGCTGACGACCCTGGCCATCATCCTCATCCCGGCTACCTACCTGACTGTCTTCAAGAGAACAGGTAAGATATCCATCCTAATTGAATATTGCCTGTTCAAACTGCATTATTTTATCCTCGGCTTCGGCTTCATATTCAACTTGGACTATTGAGCTGGCGTTATGGATCAAACAGATAACAAGCACGGCAGAGTAGGGGGACAAACGAGAAGGGGTCTAATCAGGAGCAGCCACGAAGAAAGCAATTAGCATTGGAGTGAATGACAACGCTTTATACCAGACAACAGCCACCCATCGAAATATCACTGAAAACGCATAAGAGTCTATCTGATCAGGGTCTTACTGGGCGTTATATTGCTTCTCGCGCCACCAGCAATTGTATCTAACTCTTCCCTGTTATTACTATTGTTCTGTGTGAAATTGATTCGTCTTTAGTTGTTACTGCAAGAAAGGTCGCTTGCCCCTGTGATGCATGCCAGCGCAAGGCCTCGCGTGCTGTTGCCCCTCGTAAATCTTCCGCCGCTGGTAAAAAGTAAGCTAAGATCTCGTCCTTCCAAATGTAGCATGACATTCCTGTGGAAGCTGTGCTCTTTGCTTCGATTGCTGCGATTCAATTGCTCATTCATATGGAGTGTTTGTTCCTTTGGTCTCTCTTGTTGCTGCGTTTAGGATCGCTATTCTTCTTGGATGGGTTCTGTTTGGATACGTTGCTTATCAGGCATACATTACTCCCTCGCCCGAGGTGAACAAGTGGAACCCCTTCGATATTCTTGGAATCTCAGACGTAAGTGAAATCATCTTGAACCTAGCGGGATAATAATAGCTGTGAATATGAGTGGAAGATATTTGTTTTAACTGAACCACATCTGTCGATCTACTTTATCATTATAGAGTGCAACTCCAAAGCAGATCAAGTCCGCATACCGCGGATTGAGTAAGATTTGGCATCCTGACAAGGTCAAGTCAGACTTGCATGAGGAAGCCGACGCCAAGATGGCAGAGATCAACAAGGCTTATGAGACGTAAGTGGCAAACCAGAAATAACAAAGAATATCAAATACGACAAAAGCGTCCGTATAGGCTCGAGCGTCACTTTTATTGCCAGGCTTTAGCCTTTTATTCCTTGTTTGTATAATAACCATATCCTATATTGCACCATTTTTATATTACATAGTTTAACTGATGATGCTACTCGCGAGAACTGGGAGAAGTACGGACATCCTGATGGTAGCAGAAGCTCGATGACCATGAGCATTGCGCTTCCCCCATGGCTTGTCGAGGCACATAACAACTTTTGGGTTCTCTCTGCTTATGGTATCGTGTGCGGTCTTATGCTGCCTTACTTTATTGGCAAGTGGTGGTACCGCTCTGGAAACTACACTAAAGACAGGATCCGCACCAAGACTATGGGCACCTTTTTCAAGCAGCTCAAGGAGACCACCAACCCCAAGGAGATTGTCGAGATTCTATCGCAAGCTGAAGAATTCAAGGAGGATATTGTGAGCCGACCGTCAGATGAGGCCGCATTGGAGAAGCTGGGTATTCAGGTCAACACCGCACTGGAAAGCAGGATCGGCGAGAAATTCGAGTACACCAAGAAGACTACTTCGCCTGCGGCCCTGAAGGTCTTGACCCTATTGTATGCTCATACTTTGGGAGTCCCTGTTGAGGACAAGGATCTTGCTCAAGGTATGCATTGTGAAAAAATGTGCCTCAGATCTAGTAATAGTTACTAGAATCATTACTAACGATTTGATACCTCATCATTTTCTTTAGACCAAGTCGATATTACCTCAAAGACCCTTCATTTGATTAATGGAATGATCCAGATCACTACTGCTCGTCAATGGCTCTCGGTTTCGTTGTTCCTGATGGACATGTCGCAAATCTTGGTCCAAGGTCTCTATTTCCACGACTCTCCTCTTCAGCAGCTGCCTTTTGTCAATGTTGATGCGATCAAGACCATGAAGGGCAAGAATCAGATCCATTCGATCAGCCAGTTCATGGACTTGGATCGTGAGGACCGTGTTGCACTGCTCAAGGACAATGCTACCGCTGACCAGATTGACCAGGTTGCCACTGTTGCTAAGCAGTACCCCGCTCTGAAGGTCATTAAGGCTTTCTTCAAGGTCGCTGGTGACAACATCATCACCCCTGGATCTCTTTGCACGTTTATTCTTAAGGTTCGCGCCGTTTCTCCTGGTGAGGCGGTCGAAGAGGAGCCCGCTAAAACCGTCAAGGCTGATGTTGATGCTCTGTTTGAAGGCGAGGTTGACAGCGAGGAAGATGAGGACGGCAACATCAAGCCTAAGAAGGAGTCCAAGACCCTTGCCCCCAGTGTCCACGCACCGTACTTCCCTGGTGAGAAGAAGCCCTTCTGGTGGATTGTGTTGGGTGACCACAAGAACAACCGCATCGTGGTTCAGCCCACCAAGACTACCGATATTACTTCGACCCCCAAGACAATCCGCATTCAGTTCCAGGCTCCTCCTCGTGCCGGACAGTACTCGTTCAACATGTTTATCAAGTCGGACTCGGTCTTGGGCTCTGATGTCCTTCAGGACATGACATTGACAGTGTTGGACGCGTCAGAGTTGCCACCCGAGCCTGAGGCCGATGATGATATCTCTGAACCTGATGAGGACTCCATTGCTGGACAGATGGCGCTTTTGAAGGAGCAAGGATTGGCTGCAGCGGCGATTGGTGGAGGCAACAAGGGACCAGCTGGAACAGTCGCAAAGGGCAAGGGCAAGGCACCCGAGACTGACAGTGACACTGACAGCGACAGCGACTAAAGCATTACATGATAGCAGCGAAAGGTCATGAAGGGGGTGAGATGAGCGTTTTGGTCAAGGCATAGCATTTTTTATTTTCTTTTTATTCTCATCCGTCGTAGTGTTGAATAGCCATTGAGCCAGTGGTTTTGTTTTTGTTTTTGTTTTTTTTTTAATCTCCAAGAGCTGTAAATAGAAACAACTGCCTTGTCTACCTTACTTCGTTTTATTGTTCAACATGGCCATACTGTCTACGCTTGGATTCTCCAAGGCGCGCTGTGAATCTACAATTCGGGTTTTCGTAGGCGTTCAAACACTGCCATAATATGGAAATCCCTAAAATCCAGCTACCAAATTGGTGGCAAATAAAATGTGCTATGGACTGGAACCAGGATGTTTTAAATCCCGGGCGCCCATGGAAAACCAGGGTCCCTCGCGTAGAAACAACTGCATGCTATCGATATAACCCAACTGTGCTGCATAATTTGGTGGGAAGCTCCCAAAGAAAAAAATCGCGATCAAGGTATAAACATACGGTAAGCCACCAAATTTTTTTATCGCCCATCGTTCAAAAGGTTCTGGCCTGGGCACTCCTTCCGCTCGTCTTTACCTTTTTCACCCCCGCACTTCCAACTCAGTCCAATTTTTTTTCCTCTTCACAGAAGAAAAGAGATTAGGATATTTATCTCGCCACCCCACCTGCACTTGCTTTATTCATCCACTCTCACAGGAGCAAATACCAATGGATAGGCTGGTTATTTTGTTGCTCGGCAACGGTGGCCGTGAGCACACCATTGCCTGGAAGCTGGCCCAGTCTGACCGTGTCGAGCGTATCTTTGTTGCCCCTGGTATGAACAGCTTTATCTTTCCCAGTCTTTTTCACTTTCTAGTCTGCGAATGAGAAGAGTGAAGCTGCCTCATGAAAAGTTGACGTTGCTTTATGCAGCATTGGGGAAAGATATTTCCCATCCTGACCTTGACTTACTCTGGATTGCTTAAAATCATGATAGGTAACGGCGGAACTGCCTCTGGATTAAACAAAGTCGAGAATGTCGACATTGGCGTCGTGGACTTTGCAGCTTTGACCAAGTTTGCTGTCGAGAACAATGTACGGTGTGGTTCAATTGATATCTGAATACTCGTAAATGGTGCTTTATCCATGGTCTTTATGCTGATACTGGTTTACATTCGTTTTTGATAACGCTAGGTTAATTTTGTCATTCCTGGACCCGAACAACCTTTGGTTGAGGGTGTCACCGCCGTCTTCCAGAAGAGTATGTGGCAAGAAGACGATAAACCAGCAGCAGCAAGCACGATGTTTCTTGTTTCTTATGATCAATTGAGAATCTACGCTTATTATTTCTTAATTCTTCCTTCTCCCTTTTGCAGTCGGTATCCCCGTGTTCGGCCCTTCGTTCAAGGCAGCACGCATGGAGGGCTCCAAGACATTCTCGAAGGACTTTATGAAGAAGCACAACATCCCCACTGCCGCATATGAGAACTTTACGGACGCAGCAGCTGCAAGGGAGTTCATCCGCAAGGCCGACTTTAACGTAGTCCTCAAGGCGTCCGGTCTGGCTGCCGGAAAGGGTGTCCTCATCCCTGCAACCAAGGAGGAAGCTTATCAGGGCGTGGACCAGATCCTGGTCGACAAAGTCTTTGGCGATGCAGGTGAGTTTGCAAGCAGAGTGTCTCGTGTGGCGCTCGCTGCCGGGGGTATCGGTGAGATTGAATCGCGGGGAAGCTAAGGGCGGCGGTCAAATTGAGGCCCCGAAGGAAGTAATGGCGGCGAGCGATGATTGGCCGAAAAAATGCGGGGATTCTTTTTTTGGGCAGTTTGTTCCCTCCCAAGGTGGTTTTGCTTGCCTGACTCAGGAGGGGCGGACTTGCAAATAGTCTAATCGGCGTATATCGCTGTGGGGACTGCATATACCCAGCACGCAACAGCAACGACGGCAAATCAAAGAAAGACCAGACACTGATACTTGTCACCTTGAACAAAACAATAATAATAATCGCGCACTCTAGGCAACGAGTTGGTCATCGAGGAATTCCTTGACGGTCAAGAACTCAGCATCCTCGCCTTCTCGGACGGATATACGGTCGTCCCCCTGCCCCCTGCTCAGGACCACAAGCGTATCTTTGACAATGACCAGGGCCCCAACACTGGCGGCATGGGCTGCTATTGCCCCACTCCCGTCGCCACCCCCGAGGTCCTCGCCGATATTAAGCGCACGATCTTGCAGCCCACAATCGACGGCATGCGTCGTGATGGTTTCCCCTTCGTTGGCATTCTCTTTACCGGCATCATGTTGACCAGCGCAGGCCCCAAGGTTCTGGAATACAATGTTCGCTTCGGCGATCCTGAGACCGAGGTTGTCCTGCCCCTCTTGAGCGATGACACCGATCTGGCCGAGGTTATGGTCGCCTGCACAGAGGGTCGTTTGGATTCGGTCCGTGTGGGCATCAAGCCTGGCTTTGCTGCCACGGTCGTGGTCGCCTCTGGTGGTTACCCCGGAAAGTATGCCACGGGCAAGAACATTACGCTTCAAGAGACAGAGCAGGATGTGATTGTCTTTCACGCAGGCACGACATTCAAGGACAACAAACTCTGCACCTCTGGAGGACGCGTCCTGGCCGCCACGGGAGTCGCCAAGGATTTGCGCAGTGCCGTGGATAAGGCTTATGCTGGTGTTAAGACCATTGCTTTCGAGGGTATGTTCTTCCGCCGCGATATCGCTCATCGCGCCTTTAGCTTCCTCGCAGAGCAGAGTGCCAGCGCGAACCAGATGACATATGCGCAGGCTGGTGTCTCAATCGATGCCGGAAATCTGTTAGTGCAGAAGATCAAGCCCTTGGTCAAGGCGACGCGTCGTGTTGGTGCCGATGGCGAGATCGGAGGGTTCGGTGGATTGTTCGATTTGAAGGCCGCGGGCTTCCAGGACCCCATCTTGGTCTCGGCCACTGACGGTGTGGGCACGAAGCTGAAGTTGGCACACATGACCGGAATCCATGACACGATCGGAATTGATGTCGTTGCCATGAACGTGAACGACTTGATTGTCCAGGGCGCCGAATCATTATTCTTCTTGGATTACTATGCGTGTGGCAAGCTTGAGGTCGAGGTTGCCAAGGATGTGGTCAAGGGTGTGGCCGAAGGCTGCTTGATGGCCGGATGTGCTCTGGTTGGAGGCGAGACCTCGGAGATGCCTGGGCTCTATACTCCTGGCGATTACGACCTTGCAGGCTTCGCCGTCGGTGCCGTCGAGCGCAACAAGATTATCCCACGCATGGATCTGGTCAAGTCCGGTGATATCCTCTTGGGTCTCACCTCCTCGGGTGCACACTCGAATGGTTACTCGCTGATCCGCAAGATTGTCGAGAAATCTAACCAGGAGTTGCACTCTCCCTGCCCTTGGGACAAGACCAAGACCCTTGGTCAGTCTCTCTTGACCCCCACTCGCATCTACGTTAAGCAACTCTTGCCCGTCGTCCGCAAGGATCTGGTCAAGGCCATGGCTCACATCACTGGTGGTGGATTCATAGACAACATCCCTCGTGTCTTGCCTAAGGAGCTCGGTGTTGAGGTTGATGCCTCGTCCTGGCCCTTCCCTGACGTATTCAAGTGGATCATGGCCACTGGCAATGTCCCCCATCGCGAGATGGCCAGGACATTCAACTGCGGTATCGGCATGGTGTTGGTCGTGAACTCCGAGGATGTGGAGGAGGTCACGCGTCTGTGCAGAGCCGAGGGTGAGGTTGTCTACCAAATCGGTGTCCTTAAGACCAAGGAAGAGAACCATGGCGAGGAGGTTGTCATGCGCAACATGGAGTCAAGCTGGGTTGCTTAAAAAAAAAAAAACGAACATCCATAAGAAACACAGATACACACATACGCACGCCTATCAACATCCATTCTTCACTTTCTCCCATTATATACACACAAAATCGAACGAGCGTGGCAACTGTAATATACATAAAACATCAAGTATTTTTTTCATAAAGGCATGCAGCCTTGTTAACGCTCACTACCTGTCCTGTATGGTACTATGCTGAAGGCCACCTTTTGGGGAGTCAGAGGCCGGTCTTTGTCGCGTCTCTCTCGCTTTTTTTTTTTTTTTTTTTTCCGCCGTTGTTTTGCTCCGATATTTCTTCCTTCTCGCATTCCCTACACACAGACTGCAACCAGTGAAAAAGTGCACACTCTACCGTGACATCCGAGATCTGAGCAGTTAAAAGGATAATGTCGGTCTGAATCATTGGCGCATGAATGCGTCTTACATATATAAAATTCACGTCACTTATATAATGATATGTTTGTTATCTCGATGCTTCACCGAATGCTGGTGGGATGTCTCTTTTATTACCCCTCCCTGTCCACATGTTATATTCAACTTGTCGGTTTGAGCATAAAATCACATAAGGCCGCCCGTCATCTTGATATGAAACGCCACATCAGCGTTCTCAGCATGGCGCATGATATGATTCGGCACTCAGAAGGTCGTAGTGCCTACTATGGCCATGGTAAGGACTGGGTCATTCAATAGATCGGAAGAACGCCTCTCGCCCTGACAAACGGGATGTACGGCAAGACAAAGAGGCGACATCGACAGACCTAGATATTGTATAGGCTATACACGTTAAGCGGACGGTAATGGGGTAATATAATCCGGAATGCTCCCTCTCGCGCTAACGGCGTGGATACACACTTGCGTTATCTTGAGGAAGTCAAGGTCGACTTTATACCTTTTATTCGGACAAGCGATCATCCGTCCTCGCCAAAGAAGACATCGTAAAGCGCAGCAAAACCTCATACTTAAGACTACGGCATCAAGGGGTATCATGGGTCTTGGACATGCATCGGAGGGATGAAAAAGAGGGTGCCAATCAATCTATCGTCTTTGCGATAGGACTCGACTCCTTCAACAGAAGAACCGGCCTGATGACGAAAGCGCACAGCATTTCAGATTAGGTTTATTACATGGATATAGTGCAGGACATCTAGTCGCGACTGTACGCAGAAAAAGTTGAAGCTCAAAAGCCTTTGAGCTAGAGGCCATATTGACAAACGGCGAACATTGGTTTGTAGAAGGAAGGGTAATGCGCACTTTAATGATCCAAACTTCGATTCAGTGGTTGTATTTGAAAGTGAATAGACGTTTCTAATCAAAAGTCTTATGCGCCGACTAGATGTCCAGCACTGTAAGGAAAACAAAGATGCCCTATTTGAGCTTTATTATCATACAGCCAACGTATCCTTATTTTTGCCCGCAAGGTCAAATCATCAGAGTACACTGTTGTAGGTGCTCACGATTACTACACCATTGTGAAATGCCCTCGTGAATCATTGCGATGTGTTTTCGGAGTAGGCCGAGAACAGGTCAGATTGCTGTTACCGTTCCAAGGCCAACCAAAACCGCGACGTAGTCGGGTCGGATAGCATTGATAAAGTATATCTGGTCAGGCTCGTATCGTAGTAGAGACCAGCGAAAGAAAAGCCCACACCCCACGCATTCATCGGGGCCGGAACGTCCCTAAGCAACTTATAATTTGATAAGGACCTTATTTAGTCATATATTCTTTTTTATTCAAAGTTTGAGTTTGGGCACTTAGGCGCATTCAAAAATAGAAAAAGAAAAAGAATAAGAGATAAAAAA